CGAAGAGGAAAGGCTCTAAATAATAAATGATGAATGATGAATGATATATAGCGTTCATGCTCACTACTCTTCTCAATTCTTTGGGATGTGTTGAATTATTGTAATTAAGTTCCATTCCAGAATGAATTTTCTTTTCTTTTCTTTTCTTTTCTTAATTACCCCTTTCATCTTTCATCTTTCATCTTTTGTCTTTTATTATTTTTTATAACAGATGTCGCTGGGATGTTTTCTTTTTTCCAGTTTTGGTTTCCTGTATTATTGTCTGGTTGGTACTGTAATATTACATACATACCGAAATACACAGAATACTTTATAATATAATACGTATGCGTTCCCAATACAAGAAGAACAGACAACACATGCTGGTTTTGAGCGACCACAATTCCACAAAAAAAAAAAAAAAAACCAGTCTGTTTCGTTCAACTGCTCGCTGGCCTTATTATTACTGTTGGAGAAAAGAAAAGGGAAATAAAAAAGGAAATAAAAGATCTAGATTCATTCCCCCCAAACGGGAAATGAAAAAGGAGCATAAAACCGGCCACCCCTTCTCTTTCTCTACCGTTGAAAAACCAGAGTGAAGATGCAGAACAAGCTTTCAAAGACGTGGCGCAGCAAAAGGGCTTTGGATCGCATCTGGGGGGGCTGGGTTCTGGAGATGAGATGAGATGAGATGTTCTTATGTATATGTATGTATCTGTACTATGGATGATCTCACTTTAGGTTACCAGCCAAAAAAAAAAAAAAATTCCATGTTCCTGTTCCTCGGTTTGGTTACTTTTTTTTTCTTTTTCTTTTTCTTTTCTTTTTTGCGTGTGTTTTCATCAGGGGGATTCCTTGTTACCATTAATCCGTACAGAGTCATTCATTGCTTTTAGTTTTATTATTCTATTGGGTTGGTTTGGTTGCTGTGCCGGAAAATGCTCAACCGTTCAGAAATCCTCCTTCTTAGGGTTCATGTCTCATATGAATAAGTTATAGATCGTTCATGGTTGTTGTTCATTTAATCCGTACTCTGTACAGATCCAGCAAATTAATTGGATATTACTACTTACTATATATATATTTATAAGCTTCCTCCTGCATTGAGCAAATGTATGTGAATGCACCGCACGCTGTAAGGATAAAGGCTTGATTGATTGATTGACCTCAAACTCAACCCTACCCTACCAATACCATAACCATCAATAATATTTATATTAATAATAATATGTCTATCGTGCGCGTATCAAAGATGGCAAATGTAGGGGGTTTGGCTTTTGCTGGGGCTGAAAGGATTCTCTCTCAAGAAACGTCCGTCCCAGTTAAAACAAAAAACTATGTAACTACTGCCTCTAGGTTATCCAGTAGTATAAAAAGATACAGTTATCGAGATGATGGGGATTTGGTGATATCAAGTGATGATTGTGATCTTGCTCTTTGTTTCAATTCAATTCAAGGAGTTTTGTCCTTTTGGACTTTTGCTACTGTGCATTTTTGTCAATAATAATAATAACCAAACAAACCCCTGGAACCCACCGCGCTGAACATAGATAGTAACTTGGTCTGGAAATTCCCTTCTGTGCCCTTTCTGCGAAGTAACGTATTCTCTCATTTTAGATAGACACACACACACACAGAGAGAGAGAGAGAGAGGGAGAGAGAGAGAGAGAGCAAGAATGAAACTGTTACCAATGTCAATCCCTGCTTCTCATATTCTTTTATTCTCATATTTTTATTTTTATTTTTCTATTATTTATTTTTATTTAACTTTTTAACTTTTCTATTTTGATCACGCAGCTGAAGAACTCCCCCCGCATCCGCAGCTGTGTTTTCTTTTAGTGATCGAGGACACTCCTGTACATAATATGTGCACATACTGTGTACAATGAGGGGGATTGGCAAGGGGAGAGACGTAACCACTTCTAACGCACAGGAGGGGGGGGGAATAAAAAGAGAGGAGGAGGAGGAGGAGGAGGAGATGCGAAACAAAGAACATTCTACGAGACGGGAGAGGATACTCTGGATAGACCAATGAATTGGCAACCAGAATTGTGGGAAAGAGTATCCCAATTTCTTCGTCGTCGTCGTCGTCGTCATCATCATCATCTTCTTCTTCTTATTCTCCTGCTTCAGTCTTCCTTCCACTTTTCAACTCCTTGTCTTTTCGCTCGTGTTTTTGCGCTTTGGTTGGTTAGGGGTAGAGCCGGAGGAGAAGGAAGAAGAAGGGAAGAAGGAGAAAAAAAGCAGGCGACAGATATCCGGGGTAAGTTAGGTTAGTCCACCAGTGCTTAACCCATGGTTATCTCATAAATAGAAAAGGGAAAAAAAAAAAAGAAGGAAAAAGAAAAAAGAAAAAAGAAAGAAAACCAGAGAACAGCAGCGGCACAGACGAATGATGAACTTTTGGTTTCCAGGACTGTAAGAAGCAGAGGATCTTCTTCTTCCAAGAACTCCAGAAGACTCAGCGAAAACGAAAGAATAGAAGAGTGGACGGGACCCTTGATATTGTAAGGTTGCTTCCATAACTAGTTAGTAGTTAGTTAGTGAACGATGTGCGGATTTGACGGCAACGGTCCCCAGACAGAGAATCGGTGGCGGCGGTGGGAATGCAGATGGATGCGTTTATGCGTTGTTGCGTTAATGCGTATGCTCTCTGCAGAATCAATAATAAGACACATGCCATTCGTATGGGGGGCGAGGGGGGGCCAGGACCGGGGGAAGCAAGAAGATCAAGCTTTTTTTATTTTATTTTAACGTATGCAACTACGCTTGTGGTTATGGTGGTTGCAGAATGCAGTCAGTTTATAGAGAAACTCCTTTAGGGAGATGAGATGGCCTGGTTTAACTCCCGCACTCTGCTCTGCCAGCAAGTTAGCAAGTTATCAGCAGGCGAATTGGAGAAGTAGAAGGGAGAGAAATATTATTATTATTATTATTACAAGAAGACAACAAAGAAGTGAAAGAAAGAAAATAAAGCAGGAGAAGACATACTCCGTATTTTGTATAACTAGTTATCATCATACCCTGCATAACATACATACATAGCTGGCAGCAGCCAAGCTGTAGATGAATATGGGATCTGGCATTTTGGACCCTGACCCAGTGAGCTTAACTGTTCTCAAATCTCTCTCTCATTTCTTGTTGTCTGATCTGAAGGGGTACATGTATGTAAATAATTGCTTGCTGAGCGAACTACGAACACGTACTGTAACGTTCTCGCCGCCGCCTTGTAATGGGATCATTCCGCGGGTCACTTCAATGTACAGTACAGACTACTGCACGGCGAGTTATATGTGGAAGCTTGTACATGTACATGTACTGTACATTACATATATATGCCTAATGTAGGTACTGAAAACATCCATGCCAAGTTCGTTGATATGTAGGCACTGATAGCAGGTGGCAGCTGGCAGTTGCATAGATTATTTTAGTCTCAGACCGTCATGGAGATCTCGGGGAATATCTACTAAAAATAATAAAAAAAAAAAATTTAAAAAAAAAGGAAGAAAAAGATATTGCCCCGATCCAGCATTCCTTTTTGGTAGGGATTAGCATGAGCTAGAATCCCGTTAACGTAGTGATTTTCCTTTTGTTGAATTTGGCTCTGGGTTGCACGAAAACCCTTAGTAAGGAAGGGTGTTTTGGAGAGGGGAAAATTACTGGAGTCAGTCGAGATGGAAATTGTTGGTGAGCCACAGCCACAAGGGGAGGCTCGCCTTGCTCGGATCTCTGTTAAGTTACCTTTTCCAAACAAAAAATATCCCCTCTACAATAATAAATGTAGTTAATGCTGAACAGGAATAATTCACAGTTGGAAAACAGTTGTTCCATCACGCGCAAGAACTGCTTACTACCAAAATTAGACCACTGGCCCTTTTCCATATCATCTCTGAGCACAAGGAGACGAAAAGAAGACGAACAGCTCTCCACATAACTATAATGCCTAATAATAATACAGAGTAACTAATTGTTGTCTCTGCGGATATGCACAAATGAAAACTAACAAGTTCATTCTCCCTCCTCAAACAGCCAACCTCCCCTCGGGGCATCGGAGGAAGATCTCCCTGGTCTCCATTGCCAGCCAGCCAATGGGTGCGGAACAGGGCTTTTTAGGGCGACTGGGGCTGGGATGTTTTTGCGAAACGTGATTCTGTTGGAAAAAGCGAACCTTCTTACTGGCTGGGCTCTTGAGTTGGGTGGGAAAGAAAGAAAGAAAGACAAAATAGGCTTAATATTTCCCGTGTTCTGTTCTGAGGCTCGCTCCTCCTCCTGGGTTACAGAGATTGCCCGCGGGCTTTGTATATAGTACTGTACGGAGTACATGTGCATGTACATGTACAATACTACCGTTCGTAGAGTCCATTGAAAATGATTCCACAATTGCGAAGATGAAGAGCTTGGGATTTGCCTGGGAGGTAACTACGCGTTGAAATCGAATCGCTGGGCTAAGAATAGGGCTTCGGGTCGATCAAAACGGATCGCTTGTTCCAATTTCCAATGGCGTATTGGAAATAACAGGACAGCGCCATAGTTATTTATCGTATTTCCGTAGGTACATACATGTAATAAGATGTTATGGATATCGTTTTCGTAACCATACAGCTAAGTACTATAACTAGCGTTACTAGATACGTCGTTGATTCGTTGGTCCAATGGAACATCGAACATAGCGACCGCTCAGCTAAACAAACGGTTGCACCCGCCCGAGAGAGGTAAAAATACATACATACTGGGAAATTTTTGTACCCGCTCATTCATGGGAAGAAGAGCTCGCGATTCTCCGCTCCGTTCAGATGTGAGAGGGGGAGCTTTTTCCTCTCCAAGATCGCTGTCCGTGTGGTTCGGCGCTTAAACAGGCCTCCTCTGGACATAGCTTTGCATTTCCTAGCCGGCTTGACAAGGGCAAACCTGGCCAAGGATCAACCCTGTCCACACCGGGGATAAGAAAGGAGGGATAACTTGTCTTGAAGGGAACAACTCACCGTCAATTGTCTTGTTGGTTGTCGACATTCAAGAATCAACTTACGCAGCGTATTTTGCACTCCATATAATCCCCTCCCTGCGAAAATGGGAAGGGAAAGAAATATTCCGTACTCCGTACAGATTACATGCACTCCCAATGATCTGAACTCAAAGCTCACTCGCCCGCTCCCGTTTTCTTCCTTTTCAGCTCATAAAAATACCATACGTAACCTCTCGTATCCGGCTTCCGCTTCCCCACTTCCAACGATGATGAAGTGGCACAGCGGGATGGACGCGATCCATGGTTTTGGTGGAGACACCACCAGCCACCCACTTATTATTCTTTCGACAAGATGTTTCGTGGCATGTCCGTGCTCAACTCCGTCCCCGAATCATCCAGGGAGAAAGAGAGAGCGCAGTGGGCAAATAAAATGGGTAGTCGACTTTGTTAGGCTGTACGGAGTAATCAATGTATCAAACAGCTCCCCATCCAGAAGTCGAAAAATCGGCCTCTTTCCACCCGAGGCAGACCTTCTCCTGTCCGTCTGCCCGCCAATCGCCAGATTATTTGGCCTGGCGCTTTGATATCCTGTTGTAGTGATCAATGCTAACAGGGAATAAAATGCTTTTTTTCCGAGCTTTAGGAGCGTCAGAATAACGATGAAAGCCAAACCTGAAAGGGAAAACTGACTCGTTAACGGAACCGGGTTTGAATGTAGTGCAAAAAGGGGTTGCTTATTCCCTTCCCTCTGGGATTGCTTTTTCGATCTTCCCCTAAAAGATGGAAAGCGTTTTTGGAAGAGAGAATTATCCGCGTGCAACGGACGAGAGATTTGGGAGAAACTTGGAGCGAGAATCCGCCGATCAATGCATGAAGCTAGGGGATACGATACGCCCGTAATCGATCATCCGAGCATCCCTAGCCGGCACTTATAGGAGCTACGCCGTGCCCTGGTTTATTTCGTCTTTTGCGGGAGGCTTTTTTCTGCAGGCAATTTATTTAGCTAGATCAACAGATCTGTTTCAAGATTTCGGGAAGTTCTCATCGGCGAAGTAGAGCATAAGTTCTAGTAGTTGGTCTTGTCTGGATCTCGTTAAGCCAGAATTGGAATTTCGAAGCAGGATCAGAAGATCACATCTCTTTCTCATCTCTTTCTCTATGGTCCTGGGCGGGCGGCTGAGTTTGGTGGTAGCCAGCTTCGATCTCATCATATCCTCAGCTTGCTACGGAGTACATAGACCTGTAATCATGAGAACTCAGCTCCTGAATCGTCACTGGTTAATACTGGCTTCCATCCTCATCGATTAATTGTCCCCAGCCAGCCACGACCATTTTCGCCTTGCTAAGATGGTTGGGCAGGTGGTGGCCGAATTCCTCACGGAATATTTTTTAATTTCCCACCAACCGTAGTATTTTCCTGCCCGTCATCCCAGCCTGTTGAGCTGAATTGCAGATTTAGCTCCATTTCGCCATGTGGATTCCACCCTCACCTGCTTCCTCACATACATATCCGTGCCTTAATGCAAGATAAACAGTATTATTCACTGGCGACTGTGTGGAGTGAGATCCCCAGGTCAGCAAGATTTTCCTTAGTAGTGTAGCAGTTGTAACCTGTCGGCCCATGCATTACATATCAGCCGCTCGCTGCCTAGGAGCTTTCGGAAAGCAACGAGGATGGTTTACCAGGGCCGTGTCACGACATATAATTTTCGAAAACGTGATAGTTACTATACTTATTCCTCTCGGCTGGTGGGTTTGAAGTTTGAAGTCGCCAACGGACCAGAACCACCCATATTGGATAGTGACTTGTCCAGGGCCATATATGACGCCGACATTTATGCCCCAGAACCTGATTCCCAAGGCGGTTTTCTCCCAAGTTTATTTGTATCAGGCCAGCCACCCAACCTAGTACTGGAAGTTCACGGTACCTCCGTTTCCAAAAGCCGCCGGCCTGTTGTTGCTGTGAACGAATGGGATCACGGGAACGGCCTGTCCGAGGTTTTATCCAGCCTTGTTCGATATCCTTCAATGGCCTGATTTGTCTTTAGCTTTCCAAGAATTATCTGGATTGCCGTCCTCAACAGGCGGTCAACGAGCAACAAGAGCGAGGGAAAGAAGAAAAGAGAGAAGAAGAAAAAGAACGAGGCTCCAACCACTCTAAGTTTACGGAATACATACGCAGTACTTACGGAATTTCTCCCCCTCTCCAGAACCAAGGAACACACCCTGTACGTGGCGTATTTCAAAGCGGTCACCGCAGTTCCATGGTAGTTGTTAGTTTGGTCGGACCCCTTGCTACCCTTAAATCAGCATTAAGGGACTTACGGACTAACTCCGTACATTGGGATAGATAACTATCCATTCGAGGCTGGCAAAAAGGTTGGTTGGCGGCGCCACCAAGGCGAAATGAGCCGGAAGTTAGCTTTTCTTCCAACAGGCCAAAAAAAAAAAAAAAAAAAAAAAAAAAAAAAGAAAAAAAAGCAGAAAGGATAGTTAAAAAACCAAACCGCTGAATTGACCTGCTCACTCGTCAGAATCTCGCACCCGGACCCCAGTTAGCCGAGATGTGCATTCGAGTTGGAGATTCAAGGCCCTAAAGCACGCCAATGAACCTCTCTCTGGAGCCTACTCCGACCTTCCCTGCATATCAAGTTAACAATAATAGGCGGCAAAACGGACCGTATGATTGCCGCAAGCACAGCACAGCAACAAATGGCCCTAAAGCGCGGCCTAACCCGCGCTACTTGTTAGTTCTTCGAGGCGGTAGTTATTATTCTGTCAAACCTGAAACATCGCATCGCCAACTCATCTGATAGCCGGGTCTGGGTCGAGATGAATGGGTTGCTACAGACTGGAGCAAAGAGAAGACAATTCCGCGGTGAGCAATTTGGCCGGCCTCTGTCCAAATCACCTGGAGGCTTCATCTCCCTCACCGGGTGTCAAAACCCATAACACTTATCTCGAGGTCTGCTAACTGTCACACTTGCTCTTCAGTTCTTTGGTTGGCACCTGCATTCTCCAACAGTCATTGTAACGATCAACACCTATCTTTTCGTTGCGGTTGTGCAACAAAGCCCCAAGGCAACGTGGTGATTGAGAAAGAAATGTTGAGCTGAGAGTTACTCATTCGTTCTCTCTGGTTCTTCTGATATTTGATACTATTTTTGTTCTGTTCATGAGGCGTGTATCTTTCTTTTCATTTTGCCAAAGAACAATACAGAACGGTCACGGAACCCGCGCTAGAACGATACGGCTCAAAATATTACATCCAGTATATGTATGTATGTACTGTACTGACACTACGTACGAAACCGGTCATGAAATATAAAATACATACATCCCTTGGTCCCCGTACCGTACCCGGGCTTCAGTGCCAGGGAATATCGGATACCTGATACCTTATAGGGTAAAATGGCACAGCTATTATCACTGAACTGCATACGCCGTACATGAATCTATGCCTGGTAAATCCGGGGTAGAACCAAGCTTAGATCCAAGCAAACCTAAATCTCGAAGGGAGAAAGAAATACCAGAACGGCAAAGAAGGAAGGACCAAACAACGCCAAATGGAATCCCTTCAAAAGTAGCTATACTAACACGCATGACAAGGTAGAATTATTTTAGCATGGAATTCCTAGCATCAGTACACTTGGGGTCGCTCCCACCTTCTCAGCTATCTGGTCCGCTTTGTTCTTCCATTGAAAGCCACAGGAACAGAAATCTGGTTGAGAACGTCCCATACAGGTACTACTAATATATATACGCCACCTACGGAGGATTTAATAAGAGTACCAGATCAGCAGATCATGGAACTCTCTCAAAGAAGAGCCTGCATACCGCAACTCAGACACACAGGAAGGTATATGTACTGTACGTACGTACAGATGGATGGATGCATGGAAAAAGTATGTACCAGCACAGTACACTCTGATCTTGGCAAGGGGCATGACAGATATCTTGACAGAAGGAGAAATTCTCCCTGAAAATATAGTTACAATAGAGGCAAACATTCTTGTGAATTTTTTTTTTATCTGGCATTAATTTCCATATTTTGGTTTTGGTTTTGGGTTCTTTTCTATTCCCCAACACACAAACTGTACTGTGTCTATTTACACCGCATTCTCTGGTTAAGACCCTCTTTCCCGGGGACGGGCGGGACTTCCCGTTGCCACACTTTATGGCTATTTTTTATTTTTAATCTTGAGCCTATAGTTACAACCTTGGGACAGAGGCCAGAAGGTTAATAAGTTACCAGAAAAAAAAAGCAAAAACCCAAGTTGAGGGGCTTGAGCCCTAACTCTAATTCCCAGGAACACAAACCGGTCTTAAGAATCAAACATGATAGGATAGGTGACCAGACACTGACAGACAGACAACTCATTTTCTTTGTTCACGGTTTGCCTGAGCGTGTCTCACATTTTTTATTTTTTATTTTTTATTTTTTTTGAACAGGTATGTACTTGAGGAGATATTTCAATTGAGACTAGAATCACAGCATATTTTCTTCTTATCAGATAATAAGATTGCTAGTGTTTCATATTGCTAGTGTTTCATTGTTCTGTTCTGAAGATACTTCTCATTTCTTGCTTTGTAGAGCATGTATTCAGCCATGGCAGAGATAAAAAATGTATTGCTTTTTTCTTGAATTTTTTAATGTACTGTATCATTCAACATGTGATAACTGAAGAAGAGATAAATGAACTTTCTTCAGTGAGATAAAAGTGTGTTTCTCAGAAGCTCATCTAGGTAAAGAAGTATCATAATTAATACCTGTCAAGTTATGAAACCTGAGTTAGGTTAAATTAAATGAGAACAATCTAAAAACAGCATCTTAGAGAGTTTCTCTCTTTTACTCTCTTAATAGTTCTTTCATTAACTAATAAACAATTATATAAGTATACTCGTGGTATATATACATCACGATGAGAGGAAACAAGGATAAGTCCATTAGTATTCCCCTGCATGTTTCCGATACAGGGCGAAGACGATATCAGCGGGGTAGACCATGAGGTCGGTAGGTAGTGCTAATGCAACGTAGAGGAGGGCAATGGACATTCTACTTCACAACTATAGGTTGTGATAGATACGGCAAGCAGTCATCCACGTTTTTTTATGAGGGGATATTGCTGCATCCCCGCCTCGTTCATGTGGCGAGCGGGAAAAAGCAGATGGACGTCGTTATATACCCCGCGCAACAGACATACAATCAAATACTGCTAATATACGGTAGTTAACCAACCATGCTAGCCTCATCTAAGTTATCTAGCTTGGTTATGTAAGATAAATCCCCGTTCTTACGTTTTTTACTATCAGAAACAGCAATTTCATCAATTGTTAGGAGATACACGCGAAATTCATCCGGAAGCGAAGCGCACAAGCGAGCAGACAGGGGTTGTAACTTTACTTGTCGGTTGTTCGGTACAGTGCATAAGGGTGGCGGCTCCATTTCGTTCCCTGCTGGTGACAACGTCGGGGAAGCGGGCTAAGAACCTCGTTACTGCAAGGCAAGGGGGGAAGGAAGCTGGAAAAAACAGAAGCCCGCCGTTAACGACCTGTCAGCTGCAAGAACAGAATTAACCTCACATTGCATAGTTTTGGCGGTGGCTTTGGACTGAAACGCTCTTCGGGTATGTGGGCAGGATGCGTGGTGGGGGTTCTTCAGGCTTCAAAGTGATGGCCGCATTTTGCGCATGCATAACGCAGATATTTGTGGGTTCTTCTAGTACGCTCGAATTTGATTCTGCCGTATGTATGTATGTACAATGTACATCCTGTCCAATTTGCCACTTCGGGGAACTCTCAAGCTTTGATTTCAGCTGGAAGCCGGAGGCTTTTTTGAAAAAGAAATGTATAAAGTTAGCTGTGGCCGGTGGGCTTTTCAGAATGGGAAATACTTGCAATCTGGAGGAGTTTTTGCATGTGGGAAGGAAATATCTATCTCGGGATACGAGTGATCAACTGCACATATTAGCCGTCTCCATGTGGTCAAGACCATAGTCGGTTTCGGTATGTTTTGCACGCGCCTTGTATGCCTAGCCTCGGTAGCATTCAAGTTAATATCCAATTCTGGAAAGTAATGTCAATTAAGCTACGGGACTAACGGAGCTGACACGGCGGGGGGGGAACTTATGATTATGGAAAATAATGCAATCGAGGGTCGGGATGTTGCTTTGTCTGGTATGGCATTGCAGCGATGGATTGGCGATGACGGTCCCTGTCAATAGTTCAGGAAATAATAATAATAAAAGATCGGAAGCTCGCTGCTGTCATCATTTCAACCCCCGCTGATTACCCCTCCATATGAAGGCTCTTGTATCCTGGCGTTTCCAGGGCTCCGCATTCAATAGGTCTTATTTTTCTCTTGACCTGTCAGCAATCATCAGCGCCCAGCGTATCTCATCGATTCATGGTCGAGGTCCAAAGAGGAGGAGGTTATTGATGATCCTATCGACAAGAGACAGCGGCCGCTCTCGCCGCATATCAACGAGAGACACCACCCTGTTATACCCAGTGCCAACAACCCCGATATAATCTCTACTGGATGTATGGAGTAATCTGTATGGGGATGCTGTGGACTTCATTATATACTTGTATGAGAGTGGAGCTATACAAAATACGCGGTACCAAAATAACGAAAAAGTACGCGGGTATACGGAGTACAGTTTGCGAGAAATACACCGTTAATTTACTAGTGTCTGTTTGCCTGTATTCGTTACAGCCATGGACGATACATTCGCACATCTACAGCCTGTAAACTCGACATGAATTGGTTAAAACGGTTCATCCCACTGTCTGATTGATTCCCGTCTTGGAAGAAGGAAGGAAAACCCTTGTCGTAGCATTGAACGGGAAATATCATTCGAACGGAACGCTGACCCTTCACGGTTCGAAATACTGAATTGTGAGATTTGCAGGGACGGACCCGGTGGCTTCCCGGGGCTCCCTTACGCAAGGGACAAAAGACTCCACTCTGCGAACACGCAGGCAGGGCTTGTTGTTGTTGTGTCTCGTTGACAGCAGTATTCACCAGATAGGCGGCGGACTTTAGCGGGGAAAATTGACGCTGACCTTCATCCTGATTGCAAGAGCAAATCCCGGAGTCCATGAAATCAGCGAGAAAAGCAGGCCGTGAAGTCAATGAACAAGAGCTTCCTCTGAGACAGGGATCAGGGTTCAAACGTCCAGTCCGATCGTATTATGAACAATGATTTGCAGTTGCTGGATTGGGCGTTTGGCTCGGCTGGAATGTTCGCACAATGTAATATTGGCACCAGCAGAGAGAGGAAATCGATGAAAGTAGAAGATCTAAGGGCTCTGAAAGAAGAGAAAAAAGGTGCGAAATTCATTCCCATGAAGACAAGTCCCAATGGTTGTCATTTTTGATATCCAACTCACACAGTCGAAAAGGAACAGACAAGTCAATAATCATTCATTGGGCAAGGGGGAATAACCACAACAGCACACTAAAGAGGGTCTAGACAGCCTGGAGCCGCACCATTTGGCGGCTGGTGGGAGAATCGCAAGCCGACAACGAATCACAGCAACAAAGGGTGAAGTGAGTGAGGGAAATCAGCGGTTCATGGGTTAGGCGGGCCGGATCAGAGGGTAGGCTTTGAAAGCGAAGATAACGCTGCCTCCAATCATGGGAGCAACAGGTCAAGAACAAAGGAGCAGAGGGCGATGGATAATTTTTGGCTTCGTTGATCGCCAGCGAACAGGCTACTGAATTGGGATAGTCCGGAAGCTGGGCTTGTCAATCGCAGCACCTGGTCTTGATTGACTGGCGGTGGCAGCGACCACGTATGTGACACGCTGACCATCAGACTATCCTTGAAAGCCGCACACCATCCATGCGTCGTCACTTGGTACGTTGGTAGGGAACGCTGCCAGGGATCTCCTTAGCCTGGATTATTGACCACAGCGATCAGATACCCTCGGCTGCCAGACTCCACCAACTGGCTTTTTTTTTTTTTTTTTTTGTATCAACCCCCCAAGGAAGTGCCGTGATTTTCCCATCTAAATTTGGCAAATTTTGTTTCGTGCGACTTGCAGGGGCATTTTGTGGCTTTGGGTTTTCAAGCATGTCCATCATCTGATGAGAAGAAGCTGAATTCTTCCCCCTTTCTTCAACTGTTCAAAACTCTAGTTGTACGGTGGGCCTGTCAGATATTGATTGCGGTCACAGACTCAATATCTTACAGCAGTGACAATAGCTGTCCACGGTGGGATAGTTCGCAGAATATCTTCCGCAGCCTCGTCAACTATTCATCGTAACCCCAACGGAGCAAATTAATCACTCGAGATTTTTATTCCTTATTATTTCTTGTTCTTTAATGTTGGCGATCAACTTGCCTGCTTGGATTTGAAAAAAAAAAATGGTCAAAGCGATCCTGGCCTTGAGCACATTGACACTGGCTAGGGAATAAACCGCCGGCGCCAATTTTGGATATTTGTTAACTCCTTTGGGCTGGACTGGTATACCATCCCCAGCCTACAGTTGCCTGACTGACAACGACTGGGATTGCAAGAGCTGCGTGATTTTTTTTAAAACTTTTGTTGGTAGGGTAGTTAGGGTAGGCCTAGTTATCCGAGCTTCTGCTAAGTTCTAAAACCTCGCGCCCAACCCCCCCCAAGTTCCCCAAGTCCAAGATTCCTGGCGCCTCTAGTGACCCCACCACCAGCGCATCCCAACCGCCGCCCTTGCTTCCCGACGTGGTACAGATTTTTAGCCTCTTCTGAATTGGCCCAAGACTTGAAGAACCAGCAAAATCCGAGCTCTTTTGTGGATGGCCTGCCCCGTTTCAGCTGCATCGACCCGTTCATGCATATGCGAGTATGCGAGAAAGCGACAGGACGGATCCACGCCACGGATCCTTTCTTAGAGCCATCCGCGACACCAAACCATCTCCAGCTTAGCTTGCCGCCTCCGCCTAGAACCTCCAAACCCAGGGCTCACTCACATTCGTCTGTGAGATTTGAATAAAAATAATTATTATTATTATTCTTGCAGCAATGTCCAACATATCTGGAGCTGACAGACATCCGCTGGTACATGTACTGTGCAAGCCTTACAACATCACAAGGCAAGAATGTCCGCTCGACTTTGGTTGGACTTTCGAACATCCTGTCCTCCCAGTAACTTAGGTAGTTAGTCAAAGACCCCTGCTCCGTGCCGAGTGGCTCCAGCCACTTCTTCTTTTAGGAAGTGGGTTTGCTGATGGGCTTATTTTCCATCGACTTTCTTGTGAGATTTCAGGAACACATCCGTCAAGGCTCAATACGGGGTACCTTCGTGCGATCCACTCTACGGAGTACAACAACAACAACAACAATAATAATAATAATAAAGAAGGGTCGGTTTAATAACATCCCCATGGTTGGTCGACTTGGCCCCTCAGCATGGCCAGAGCCTGATGGTGAATCGTTGCATTTATCTCGGCTTTTGTCGAAGAAAAGGCTGCGCAGCGCCAGTAGTACCCTGTACGGACGGCCTACAGGCTATGCGATGGGTAGATAATAATACACTTTGCTGTGATTGAGTTACACGGAGAGTTCAGAGGCGTAAGGGCGTGTCGCGTGTCGTGTGACTTTTTTTGACCGCCCAGGAACAAAATCCCCAAAACTTGGTACTTCACTGCTCTGAGTCCATCATAAACGAGGTCTTCGTACGTTGGTACGAATCTACGGGTGTTAACGAGAACTTTCTTTCGAATAAAGTTTTGTTTTTGATGTTGCTGTTTTTTGTCCGCGCCTGAATTTATGCCAAACGCCTAGTTGCATTCTATGTTACTCCTCCCACGGGGTCCCCAACCAACCCCCTATCAACGCATGTTTCCGCGCCCACGTCCACACTTGACCGGAGTAGGCTTGATTGTTGTCTACTATTTACCCTCGGCTGTGGGAGGTATTGGGTGTGTGCCATAGCACCCTTTCTCTTGATGTACTCTGTGGTTGTCTCAGCTGCCCCCTTGACAACCTGTACGGAGTAGCCTTCGTCGTACAGTTTTCTTCATACCTGTTCTTGTCCCTTTTCTGACCAACAGACATATAATTCCGTTAGCGGATAAGTGATTGAGAAGAGATTTTCATGGGAGACGAAACCTTAATACTACCTCTACCCAGCTTTCCCTCTGTGTACTTATGCATGTGCCGAACGCGTGGGAGGAGGTCGCCATTCTCTACCCTCTTGTCAACAGCCAAGCCCGTCTGATACTTCAAAAGGTGTGTATATCAGCTTCCCGGGCACACATGTATGTACGCACACACACCCCATCCATCCACAACATTTCGAACACGGACACTTCTGACCTCGATGGGTAAATCTGTTCAACAGAGGCTCTTCCTCGTGGCGTTGAGTGACGCGCAGCACCTGAGAGAAAAGTGCAGCACGATTATATGCATGAAATGAACCTTTTATTTTGGCCTGTTTACTACTGATGATATTGGCATGGGGATGGGACGCCTTGGGTTAACCCTCCAAACACCCCTTTCCTTGGAGCTCATCAACTGCTAGGTTTAAAGGTGTACGATTTTTACTGCAGAGTGTCAGTTCGCATTTGTTTCTCATTGAGGTGTTATTTCAAAGTAGGTCAGATGTCTGGTCGCCTGGGAGGGAGTAACTCTCCGATAATTCAAGAACAGAATGTACATGTGTGTACATTACATGTATTTTCTCTAGGTGCTATCATTATACTACAGAAGAATATACGTGCTGTACATATTAGATCTGTGTCCCTTGTCACACACGAATGTATAATGTGGGTTTATTGTTGTCCATCATATATTGTCTGTAGTGCGTAAGGTCCGTAAACAGTTGCAAATAGCAATGATACACCCCTATGCAGTCCCACACTGCCTTTGATTAATTCTTGTTCGAACCTACATTTCCATAAACCGTGAAAAAAAAAAGAAAGGAAGGAAGGAAGAAAAGGTTCGATATCAAAAGCAAAATCTATAATGCAAGTTAAACCATTTAGAGCAGCGATTACGACGCTCTTCGTCAGCTATCTGGCCGTTAAAGAGGTACGAGAGATAGCAATCAGCGCAACAATGGGTTACACACGGGCAAGGAGGCAAGATATGTCTCTGGAATTACATAACTCGAAGGTATTGGTGACCTGGATCCGATTTTGAGAAACCAGCAGAACCATGGTACCCTGACAAAATTCTTGGGTTACAAGAACGCGCGAGCGTTTATTGACCTGGACAACCTTTAGCTGGAGAACTAAAAAAAAAAAAAAAAAAAAAAAAAAAAAAAAAAAAAGAACCCAGGCATGGGATATAGGGGTTTTATTTTATTTTACCGAGGTGTATCGTGCATCTCCGGGCTAGAAATAGCCTTATCCCACGGCCGAATCATTGTCCATGTTGGTAGATCATAGATCGAGAATTGAAAAGGCCATTCTACTGCCCGACTTGGGGTGACTTTAACGGGAGACAACAGGTTCATGTCGTACATGTACTTCCCATCAAACCCATGAGCCCCTTCCCCTCCCTACCACATGGAAATGGTGTCTGGTCATAGTTCTTTTTGCCGGTTGGCTCGTCCATTGGAGCCACATACACAGCGCGGCTAATTGGTAGAATGGGTAAAATGGCCCCATCTCACAGGTGCCACGTAGCCCGTCCCTCTTATTGAAGATAAAGGGCGAAGCATCCCCATAAAGAAGGGAGGGAAGGGAATTAGTGTGGCCTTTTCCCGGTTTCTCTAGGACAGAAAACGCCACCTGTGCTGCATTATTGTTCCGTTTATTGATTTTCTTGCCTGTGGGAAGGGGATCAATTCCGAATGGGAGATAGTAGATGTTTGTTAAAGCTTCCTATGGCGGGTCAAAGGTATGGTTTTCCACGGTTCATTCATGTATTGATTGTCCGTTACTGCATGGATTTGCGGTGCATGCATGTATGTACCAGATGATACCATGGGAACAAGACTGCTGCTGACGAGGAAATTTTGACCGACGACTTTCAAAACAAGAAAATAGAATCGGGAAACCAGCAACCGAAAGCTATTTGGCACAAGAGCAAACTCAGCGGCCAAAGATTTGATGGCCAGGACACAATATTCCGTTCGTTGGTAATCTACATTTTTATCCAGAAGAGCATGCAAGGGTTGCAAATCGCCGGACGATAGATCATGTAGAAGGTCCTCCTCATTAACAACAAAGGCTCATCATGATATGCACTCTGGATATATGTGAAATGTTCTTGTTATTTTTAGCAGCAGCATATTCAGTTCGTGGCCAGTATCTCGAGGACAGTATCCTTCCTAACTGCTTCGTACTTGAAAACGGAACTTTATCACGTTAAGGGTACGGTAGCCTATCACTGATCGTGTACATGTACATGTACATGTACATTAAAATGGAACGGATTGTCTCTTGCTTCGCGTGAATTATCAACAACCCGTAGGAGTACATCTGGTACCTGAGTACATGAAGCAGTTTAAGTCGCTGTCAGTGCCATGGTCTGCTGAGACGCAGGGAAAGAACTTTCGAGGCAACGATGTGGCAGAGCAAGGAACTCAGAGTGGTTGGAATCTAGTAATGAGTTCTCGGGCCAATATAGGCGCTGAGCCCGCAGCAGTTTCAATCGACGTGGTATCGGGTGTAATTCGACAGCCATAGCCCCGGATTCCTTTCAATCTTTAACACGACTCCGGCCCCAACTAAGCAGATATATTTGTCCGTTCACCAAAGTAAACACAGGGGCATCAAATATGAGCTATCAGACATCTCCCACTGCAAAATTGTTGGACTGTGACATTGGTCGAAGTGATAGGTGTCTTGCAGTGTACAAGGTTTCAGAACGAGGCAAACTCGACCATATCAACATCGAACAGCACTGGCCCCAAAATGTAAAAACTCTGCAGCCCGATAAAACATAAAGCAGGTACAACGCACATATACGCAAACGGCTTGGCGACGGTACCGATGTCTTAGACTTTTCTTACTGGTTTGATCGTTGAAAATGAGAGCCTCGATATCAATATCAGCGCTAGTTCAAGGCGCGCGCGGATGTTCGCGATCCACGTGATCTGCACCTCATCCCGAGTCGCGGGAAGCGTCAATCAGCTAAACTCCTTTAGGATAAATGATAACAATCGCCCCAAAAATGGCTGAAGATAGACTTTTTGCTGGCGTGGGATATTTAGGCAAACTTGATACCGCTGTGGATAGTACTATATACCTGTTGCAGATATAACGGAACTCCCATCGCCACAGGAATAACGCGGACGCTTACTTCGTCCTCCATGATATGAGCTGCTAGGTCTCAAAGCAAGCCCAAAAGAGGCTATGTCCCGCAATAAGCGCCCTCTACCATCCTCTATCCGTGATGTCTTAACGACTCCCTCGACCACCACTCTTGGACCTTTTGATCCTTGGAATTCTGTATCGACCGGACATCAACGAGCTGAAAGCTCTAATAGCAGGACTTCCGGATGGCAGCAGGTATTGTCAGAGAAACTTGGAAAGCAATTTGGTGATAAAACAGGTCGCGGCGGTTGTGGAAATAATAGGGAAGGCGATTGGGAATGGGTATCTTCAGAGCAGTATGAGGATGTCAGACGGAGAGAAGAACGGATTGGAGACATTAGGAGTTTTATGGGTGGCGTTAAGAAAAGGCGGCTAGATTTAGGAGGGAGGACCGAAGCGAAGCAAATCGATGTGAATGACGAGATTCATTGCGGGATTATCAAAGGAAATGGGGCATTTGTTCTTGATGATTCGGAAAGCGAAGGGGATAAGGATCACCCCGCGGTCTGTCAAGACCAAGTTCACAATACATCTTATACTAGTGATAACCCAAAGAGGGGAGATGAGCCTGCCGAAACTCGCACGCCAGCAACAAGGGAATCGGAAACAGGCATTTCCAGTTCGGCTCCCAAGCCCATTCAATCCAATATCCATACGACTTCACGGCCAGCATCTTCCAAACCTACAGCCAAGGGAATATTTTCAAATTTGACCATTTATGTCAACGGCTCCACGTATCCTCTCATCTCGGATCATAAACTCAAACAGCTCCTCGTTTCAAACGGTGCGAACGTCACTTTTGCCCTCGCTCGACGGACTGCCACTCATGTTATTCTCGGCAGACCAAATAATAATCGAAACGGCAATGGTGCTGGCGGGGGACTTGCGGCGACGAAACTGCAGCGTGAAATACAACGAGTCGGTGGAAAGGGGGTGAAGTTTGTTGGCGTTGAATGGTTTGTATTCCGCAACCCTGCCCCGATATAAATGCGCGCATATTCGTCTGGAGGGTTTAATTTTCATTTCAAGTACAACTTCGTCATTAAAGGCGTTTCGATTCTAAAGGGTGCTGACTAGTTCCTGCTCGAATATAGGGTTCTGGAAAGCATCAAAGTCGGATGCCGACTCCCGGAGGCTCGATTTGCAACTTTGCACATGGCGCCGGATAAACAAAGAAGCGTCATGAGTATGTTTCAACGAGAATCATAGCAATAGGAAGGGGTTTTAGAGGGTTTATTTTTTTCATTTTCCCATGCCCGTTACGTGTGATTCATTGTATTATGTCTCTCCTATCTTAATGTTACGTGCTTCAACGAAACCCGGTGATTCCAGACACGTACATTATGTTTATGAGTACTGGAATTTGCTTTGGTTACTCTTGTATGGAAATAGATAGTTATGATAGACGTCTAGAATATACTCATTCGCATGGCATCTATTCAGGGAATGGATGAAAACCGCGGTAGTTCTAACTTTGTAGCCGAATGACCTGCAATATAATAAACCAAATAAGTATCCAACCCTCCCTCCAGGGTTAGCCACCATCTAAATAAGAGAGAAAATGTAGATATCCCAGTAAGTGTGGTACTCCCACTCAACATACACAACTTGTTTCGTGCTCGATCGAAGAGGCATCCTCGAAGGATTTTCCTTGTACTTCATTAAAAAAAGTAATAAAAAAAAGAAAAAGCAAGACAAACGAGACTGACTCTCTCTAACTTCTAGCCACTCCTTCGAAGCTCTCTTTCCCTTGCCTCTGAAAACACCTGCTGCCATAAATCAATCCAACCTTGTTGGCTGGGCGTTAATTCTTTGCGCGGATTACGGATGGTGAACGATAGCACATTTCTTATTCCAGTGGTGAGTGCTTTGAGGGCGAGCATTGATTTCCAATCCTTAACGGAGAATCGAATGCGGGAACCATCTATGGAGATTATGCCGGCGTATAACTGGTTTTGCTCTGTGTTAGCAAAGGCTCCGAGTGGTAAAGAACTAGCATAAATTTATGAAGAAGAACACAGGAAGGAAGAAGTATGCGCTGCTGGGAACCAGCGGGAACAGATTAGTTACCTTGAACTCGACGTCGCCACAGAGCAATGCAACCGCAAAATCTTCCACCGGGCTAGTTTCGTGGGCATTCAGGTATCGACTGCGAGCCTGCATAATGTGATAGAATGAAAGCCATTTCACCGTGGGGTCTGGCCTCTTGTTCACTGATGTTGGATGGAGAGACACGGGTTGATTATTAGCAACATTCCTCCAGCCTTTCCCCTCGCGGATAAGTAGTTTGGGATAAAAGCTCCACGCGATGACCGAGTTTATGATTATGTCGTTTTCGCTATTGATATCTACCCGTTTGGGCACAGTAAAGAATTGGCGTTGGCGGCCGGTAAAGCGGGATCTGCGTTTTACTTGATGTTAGAGGTGAGGAATTACTCAGAGAACCAGGGGGGAAATGGTGCAAACCTGGCAAGAGATTCTTGCTCTGCGCGGTCAAGGCTGAGCAGTCCTGCGTCAACAATTGATACCAAGAGCTGCATTTTCACATCTTCGATATTGAGCAATGTTTGCGGGCTTAGATAATTTTTTCTGCAGAATGCATATTCGCTCATTCCTGGGGTACTTCTATGCCGTTTCCAGGCTAAATACGCATTGTAAACAGTCAGAAGGTCGGAGTTTCCTGCCTCAAGGATTAGTACATGAAAAGATAGAAAATTAGTGTCAAAATGCGTAATACCTCGTTTAAACACTAGTTTAGCAAGTTCTCTTTGCGTGCTAGAGCCAACCGCAGTAATGAATGGAGATTTAGATGAAAGAATCGCGGCGATGCTGACAGCGCTGTCCAAACATTTGAAAAATGCGCCGTATATAATCAGCTTCCCTAAGAAGACGTCTAAAGGCAGCTTCGCAAGTTGTCTGCCGAGCGGCGTAAGATTTTCCGCATTTGTCAATGCCTTGACCTCTTTAAGAGCTTCGATAGCCCGGCGAATATTTTTGGATGAGGGTGGGTCGATGGCTTCCGAAAGAGTCTGTTCAACTTCTCCCAAATTACATATTTTCACCCGAAGGACAAGATCTTGTAATGAAAGCCGGAGTATTTCAGGAGTTTGTTGTTCTGAAAGCTGTTCGTAATTGTCAATATGTGGGCGGTTTACTTTATGGGTTGGCATAGGGGCATAATTGAAACGAACCAATTGGTCATGTCGAAATTTCGTGAACAGATGGAAACAAAGTCCGCTCTGCACTCGGCCGGCACGCCCCCGCCGCTGCTTTGCGTTGGCGCGCGCTATGAACGATTCAACTAATTTGGATAGCTGCCTCCTCTCATCGAACCTACTTCATTGTTAGTCTTGCGGTAATTTATTGGTTAGGAATAATGATTATGACGAACCGCATAACTTTTTCTTTGCCCGTATCGATAACGGCCGTAATATCAGGGATTGTAATACCTGGTAAACATTAGTAGAGTGACGAAGAGATAAACTGGAAGAATTGTCCCACCTGTTTCTGCGATATTTGTCGCTATCACAATCTTCCTCATACCTATAGGGGGGATAAGAAAAGCCTTTTCTTGATCCTCACTAGCAATTGAAGAGTGTAGCGCGTGTATAATCCAGTCACCTTTGTTGAATAACGACTCGGATAGGATTTCGTCATTGAGCCGTCGTATCTCTGCCATTCCCGGCATGAAAACTAGTATGGCTTTGCTATATTGCTTAAACTCCTTTTTGGTTGCAATTGCCGAGAGGAGGCTGACTATGAGTTTATAGTCTAGGCGGTATTCATCAAATCCAGTTACAGTTTCTCGGGTTTGTCTGCTGTATCCTGCCAATGAAGATGCTAAGTCTTCAATAGGCTTCTCAAGTGCCTCGTCATGCGAATCGTCGCTGTCATCTGTGAGCGCAGAAAGCCCATCACTATTTGGACGATGTTTTGTAACCTCGATTGCGTCCTCTAGATATTTAACTTCGACAGGAAATGTCCGACCGGGAATGTCCAAGATAGGGGCACCATGGAGATACTTTGAAAATCGCGTAGCGTCAACGGTAGCTGACATCAACACAAGTTTTAGATCTGGCCTTTCCTGCATCAACCTACGGAGGATAATTAGAAGGAAATCACTGTCGATTGTACGTTCGTGCACCTCATCCAATACTAGATGTGTAATATCCTGGAAATCCTTAGGCCGCTCTAACATCCTAACCACAACACCTGTTGTGCTGGAGAATTTGTTAGCGAAGGAATATTAGGAAATGGCTGCATGATATACGTACGCAAATATTAGTCGTGTTGAGCTGGAGATTTTACTTTCCAATCTGATAGCATATCCAACTAGGGAACGACTTGTTCCTACAGCATTTTTATCTTCTCCAAGCTCCTCGCTCACTCTTTTAGCCAATGACATTGCTGAAATACGCCGCGGCTCCGTGACATAAATTTTGCAATCATGACCTGATAGCAGCTCCTTCTCCAGTATAAATGAAGGTACTTGGGTACTTTTCCCGCTCCCTGTTTCACTGCAGATAATTATTGCTTGATTGGCTGCAAGAGTGTCTAGAATGTGGTCCTTGAACTGCCATATGGGCAACGACTTTCTGGAAAACTCCATGGACGCAAAAGAAGATGTTGAAGATCTTTGTACCCAAAGATCTTGGAGCTGCTCATGCGTCTTGGTGATTTTTTTCGACCAGCTATCTCCCCGTGGAGCAGGAGAATTGACTCCGCTGTTCCGTTTCCTGAAGTTCTCCAAAAGAACAACGTCTTCCTCCAGCGTTGACATTTTCTCTTGGACTAACCTTTGAATGTCCTTCAGAATTCCTTTATCAACTTCGTCGTCATACTCTTTCTTGACATGAGCAAATTCATCCCATAGTTCTCGCCACACAGCAGGCAACTTCATGTAAATTTTACTCTCTTTCTGAGAATGAGAAAATATTGCGAAAAGAGCCACCATCGAAATATACGACTCAGCCTCTAAGGGGGTGGGAGTCGACAATGAAGTCATTGCCGCGCATACCAAATGTGAATCTCCTTTGTACGATATGTCACTCAACGGTACCTGAGGTGGGATATCTTGTGCTTTTGACCATTTAATTTCGATCTCTTTTCGGTGGGAAAAGGCAGTAGAGGAAATTGCTTTGTAAGATATTTTACACCCAGAGTCCCTTTGTAAGGCAAAAGTTAGCTGCGAACAACTGTAGAGAAGAGGCGACTCTCAAACCTTGCCCGGCAACCTTCTTCGAGAACCCGTCGCGGGGTCATGCCCGTTGGCTTGCCAAAATCCCTACTTCGTACTACTGTGTTTCCCTCTGCCTCTGTGTTCGAAACCGCTGCCGAAGGGCCTTCCAAATCAGCAGCAAACAAACCACCTAACATATCATCATTTTCATTTGAATCAGACAAAATGGTTTCTATCAATACGTCAGAGGAGTCTTGAACTTGGGTGTCTTTTAACTCAATAGGCGGCGTTTCAGGCTGCGATTCTCGAGTGGCTGCATTTTGGAGGAATTTTGCAGTATGTTCCCTTAGCTCGGAGAGCTTACTCTGCCATATATTCTCGGCCTCATCGCGATCGAATAATACGTCGTTTTCAATTTTTGCGAGTTTTTTCTTGAGCTTGGCGATGTTGGATGAAGCCTGATCATTAGCCAATGTCACTGGTAAAACTCCTTTTCTTTGTCGCTTATTCGTCTGGTTAAACAAATCTGGCTGTTGCATGTAGAGCTGCGTTCGGAGTTCAATATATTTGGGAACAAGAGAGTCTGGGTCACTATCAGACTCATCAGAACTAGCGCTGGACAGGCTCAGGGATGATTTGATTTGAGTTTCCCGTGGTTGTGAGCGAGCATCACTTGGAGTATTATAGCCAGTGGTAGACGGAGTTGGGAATGTGTTGCCTATGGATGTTTAGCATACGCGTTGCAAACACGGTGAAATGAATGAGCTCACTCTTTTCAAAGGTAGCATCTTCGGTAGCAATTTTCGAGGACTTGGAACTTGGTTTGTCGTAGACAGGCAACTCCTTCTCATCGCAATTCATCCCAAGCCATTCTAAAGCCAGGTCTAAGCCCCATACAATGTCCTTACTAGCTGTTGGATCATTGAAATAAAGTTGCAGAGTGGCTTTTAGCGCTGCATCAATGTTCTGCTGCGCAAAGCCCAAACCTTTTAAAGATTGTCGAAGCGTCCAAAGTTTTATAGAGAGTTCCTCTCCTTCTGTATGTATCTGGGCCTCCTCCATTTCGGGTCTCGAAGTTTGCTCACTGGACTTCTTTATCTCCAGTTTCTCTTTTTCCATGATTTCATTGAGAATTTCAGGAGATAACCAGTCCGCAACATTTAGATGTGAAGCCTGGGTCCGCAAGATACGTTTCTCGGTCTCTAGCTTGAGCACCTGGCGAGTGGAATCGTTCTTGCACTTGACGCCATACTTTTCAACCAGTAGCTGTAGCTCAGCATCCTCAAGGTGCTTTTGAAGCTCATCTGGGGATAGCTGCTGAAGCTCAGGCTGCGGTTGGACTCCGACGGAAGCGGTTGATGGCGACTCAGTTGAGCGTTGTAACTCCCCCTGAGGCTGCGTTGGCGCATTGGCCGATGATAGTGATGCTGAAGATTCAGTCGCCTTTACCTTTGATGGTACTGAGACTGTTGTAAACCCTCTGGCTGGATTTGAAGCAGGCTTCTTCTTCTTCCTGCTAGGGGCCATGACGGGATAAATATTTTCTCTATGACATATATTTATATATCAGAGCACAGTGGGATATAAAAACTGCAGAAATAATAAAGAGAATTAACAAAGGAAACAGAAATTAAACTAATAAGGCTTCATATATAGCAGAGTAACCTACACCCGAATATGCAATGACGTGCTGTTCATGCCCTCGTTGTTGGCGGAGGTGGGTTAAATAAGAAATTATCTAAATCTGTTGGAGAAATAAATATTTAAAGTGTGATCAAACTGCTGACTTCGCCGCATCCCCTCCTCCCCACAGAAAAACTCTCGCCGCATTTTCTCCGAAACTAGCAAAACAACGAAACGACCGGAGATCCATATTGCGCGCAAATAACCTCCATATCGATGCCTAAAGTCCCGAAATGCGCGAGAGCCACGCGATATGGATGAAATTGAGTGGAACAACGTGAGCGAAGGCTCACTGGAGAGTTTGGAGAGAGTGGTGCTCTCCGGCTCGACTGCTCGTCGCTGTCATGGACTCCATGAGCTACACGAGAAACTGTCTGGTAACAACGCCCAGTCTATCACATTATGCTACAATATCCTGACTGACTTTGTGTGAAGGGTTACAAATCTCACAGAACCTCTTCCGATCAATTGTGAAGCTTTTATTCAGGACGTATCCTTTCTATGTTGACCGCGCCTCTCGTCAAGCCGTGCAGAAATGTCTCCGCTCCCTATTTCGAATTCCAACCGCAAACCCCGACCTACAATATTTCATACAGGAGTTAAAGAAAGAATGTTCCAAATCCACAATAGCTGCGACGAATGCTTTTGTTTTAGCGGAGTGGTGTTCACTGCTGCTACAACTCCTAAGCGAGGTGCCAGACTTCACGCAGAGCATATTGGAGATTTTATCCGCAGATGCCAAGGTCGTTGAAATTTGCTTGCGCGCTAAAACCAAAGGAAGTGTGAAGCACTCGGCAATTATTGTGACTAGACGAGCATTGCGAGCCGTTATTTCTCCGGAGGGAAATGGCGAGGAGATCCTACGGCGGGCAATTCCTCTTTTGACGAGTGAGGCTGTCTCGGGTTCAAGAAATGCTCCTTTTCTAGGGATTGTAGCTGGAGTCAGCGACCGGATTCCTAATAGAAAACCGATCCTGGAGGATTTGAAGACTGCCATACTGCAATACTATGCCAAGGAGATTATTGGATCGCGGACAGTTCTGCCCTCCCATATTGTAGGAGGATTACACGATTTCTTTATATCGTTCGTTACTGCTAAAGACCTTCAGGTTAATATCTGGCCATCCCTGGAAAAAGCAATTCTTAGAGCCCCCGAAATAGTTTTAGGCGGGCTTATACCTTCCTTAGCGTCCTCAATACGCTTTGAAGTCGATATATCGGAAATTTTCTTCACTCGTTTCTGCAAGCCACTCCTTACAAATATTAAGATCACAAATCCAATCATCAGAAATGGTGCTGTCAAAGCTTTTGAAAGCCTAGTTTCTAGATGTAAGGCTGAACAATGGCTGTTGAAAGTAGTAGAAGAAGTGATGGCTCCCCTCAAGACGCAGAAAATTACCAACGCTGAACAGCGTGGCCTTCAAGTCCAAGTACTTTCGGCTATTCCGCCTTCCACCCACGTTTCGCAACTGGTACTAGGAGGCCTGGTGGTAGTCTTGTCCCGCGAAGCCAGTGAAATCGCCTTGGAGATCGAGATTAAAGCCTTTTGCTGTCATTTCGCCTACCTCATTCGAATCGCAGCACCAATTGGAAAGGAAATATTATCTGCCATAACAAAAGGATGCGGTGAAAAACGAATCGCCCTCCGCAAATTATGGCTGGTCAACATTGGGCAACTCTTGTGGGATATGGATGTTGAGCAACTGTTTGGCTCTAGCCTAACAATGGATTTCTTACGTCCAGTTGTTGCTAGGCTTCTGGAGTCTTCTGATGACATAGCCGCTAACCCATTACCTTCGGTTCAGATCGGGGCTATTACAATATCTTTCGTCCTCACTGCTTTATCAAGTAGACTCGAAAATAGAAAAGATAACGAAGGGGAGCTGCTACTGGCATACGATAACATTGCGCGACAAGCATTGTCCATATCGCCTAAGCCGTCTTTCCTTCTCAATCCTAAAATCTACACGAAACTGACTTCAACTGAAGACTTCATATGGATAATACGTGCATTGTCTACCGTTTCTAGATCGAAAGCATTTCACGCTGGAGATCCTGAGATCAGAGACTCATGGGGACAGGCGTTCATTTATGTGATTTGTTCATCTAGTACACCACCAAAAGTTCGAGAACATGGAGTGAGTGCCCTCAAACAATGCTACTGTGGAAATCCGGCCCTTGTTGGGACGACAATGATAACTGCATTGTGGGGGTGGCTTCACGCTTTGGATACTGCGAATAAAGACTCCGCTGCGTTGAGTGCGGGGACCGGAAATGAAAAAATTCACCTTGTAATCAAAGCCATTAACCTTGCGCCCTCTGAACAAAACCCTGACGACAACATATCCAAAGAGGTTCTCAAAACCCAACTCGTTGAATTACTTGTTATCTGCCGCCCACAGTTGATACCAGGGACACAATGGATTGATGTGGTCTTGAAAACCGGCATAGATCCGGGGGAATTGGTCCGTGAAAAATATGAAGAGTGCATGTCACAAATCCTAAGAGCTATTGATGTAAGTCGCCTCAAGAATTTATCTCAGGGTGTGAGTGACATTGTGTTTGACTCCTATTTTGATAGGACCCAATTCGAAGCCAGATAACCAAGGGAAGACCTGCGGCGTGGGACGCTGCGGCTGACTTGGCTTTTGTGGCTCCCGATACCATTATTCCTCGCCTTGTTAAACAGCTCCATGAAGATTTGAATCCGAAGCGAGTATTGAAATTCGAGTCAACCGACCTTGCTATTGCCCGAACCCCTGAAGGAACAATGTTTGTGGATGTTCTTAGTACGAAATCTAAACCTGTCATAGGTAAGGGCAAGGATTCGGATACGCTGAAATGGGAGGAAGAGCTGCGCGCCCAAGTTGCTCAGAAAAGAGGCCAGCAAGCGAAGAAGTTGACTGCCGATGAACAAGCCAAAGTTAATTCTCAGTTGACTAGAGAAGCTGAAATTCGAAAGAATGTTCAAGCGGAAGAAGAAATAATCAAGAGAGGTGTCGGGATTGTTGAAAGTCTTGCTCGAGGCCCCCCAACTGATGTCGAGGCCTGGATAAACCCAGCTGTTGGGTGCGTTACGGATCTTGCGAAGGCTGGGGCTGGCGCCTTGGTCGGGGATGCTGTTGCATCGGCATACGTCGCGTGTTCAAATCGAATCTCCTCTAGACTTGGGTTAATGCGACCCTTTGTCGGAATAGCTACGCTGCGAGCACTCGGGAGAACCTACTTAGACCCAGCATTGGAAGACGAGCCTCTAGGCGGTAGGTTTCCACTAACGGTTGATTTTAGATATTTAACTGACAAGTCTCTACAGAACTTGTGGCAAGAATTTTATATCGCCTTCGTTTGGGCTCCGAGCAGCGGCCTTTTGATGTTGCTACCCTATCATATATCCTCCCCTTGATTTTCATTATACTCGAGAGGGATGGAATTGAAGAGTCTAAAGAGAGCAAGGGAGAGCAAGTTCTCCTAGCTCTAGAGTTCCTGTCTTTTCACACAAATTCATGTAGGTTTTCATAGATATCCATTGGTTAAGAATCAGTTGACTTACAAGCTTTATAGTCTCCGACAATAGACTCCCTCGCATTCGCACCTTGCAGAGTTTAATATCCTCTATGCAGATATATACCCAACACTATAAAATTATTCGAGACACCCTATTTGACCTTTGCAGGTGTATAGCACAGAACATCGAACAAGAAGAACTTGAAGTTATTCTTAAGGCTTCGATAGTCCCTGAGATATCAGTTCGTACCTCGGTTCTCCAGGCTATCCTATCGGAGTTGGATCTCACGGACCTTGACTTCTCCGAGTACATCTGGTTGGGTTGCCATGATAATTTGGCAGAGAATAGAGAAACGGCGGAAGTCATTTGGGAGCAGAATGCTCTCGATGTTGATGAAAATTCGGCAAATCTCCTGGTAAAATATCTCGATAGCAAGGACTCGCAACTTCGAGGAGCAGCAGCCCGAGCACTTGCCCATGCCTGTGAAGTTAGCCCAGCGGTGTTTACTGATATTTTGGAAAAGCTACAATCGAAATACAGGGAAGAAGTGAGACCCAAAGCACCTGAAAAAGATGCCTACGGTATGCCCAAGAAAATCGACGGGCAAGATAAATGGGAGCCTCGTAGTGGGATTGCACTGGCTTTTGGGGCGATGGCGAAGGGCTATCAAAAAGACGAAATCGTCACATTACTCCGATTCTTGATCGATGAGGGCCCACTGATAGACAAGAGTGCTTTCGTGAGACGACAGATGGCGGAAAGTGGTAGCACTGTTATTACTTTGAGAGGCGGCGAAAAGGTCGAGCAATTGATGCAGCTATTTGAAAAGACATTGGAAACCTCAGATAAAGCGAGTGAGCAATCCGATTGGCTCAACGAGGCTGTGATAGTTTTATACGGCTCCCTAGCTCGCCATCTGAGGTCAGGAGACAAGCGGGTTGATATAGTTATCGGGAAGCTCCTTGCCGCGCTGTCTACCCCGTCCGAAACGGTTCAATTCGCAGTCGCTGAGTGCCTTCCACCCGTCGTCAGACTCTCAAGTACAGAAACGGGTACCTATATCCGGGATATGCTTGACCAACTTCTGCATTCGAAGCAATACGCAGCAAGACGTGGTGCAGCTTATGGTTTGGCTGGCATAGTTGCCGGAAAGGGCATATCAGCATTCCGAGAATATCGCATCATGGCCCACCTCACGGATGCTTTAGAGAACAAGAAGGACCCGAATCAAAGACAAGGGGCTATTATGGCTTTCGAGCTCTTCTCGTTGATCCTTGGGGCAATTTTCGAGCCATATGTGATCCAAATTGTTCCACAGCTGTTGGGCAGTTTTGGTGACCCCAGCATCGACGTTCGCAATGCTTGCTTAGATGCTGCTAAAACATGCTTTTCAAATTTGAGCTCTTATGGCGTCAAGCAAATCCTCCCAACCCTCTTAGACGGCCTTGACGATCAGCAGTGGCGCAGCAAAAAGGGAGCGTGCGACCTTTTGGGAGCCATGGCGTACCTTGACCCTCAGCAACTCGCTATTAGTCTCCCAGACATCATTCCTCCTCTCACGATTGTCCTAAATGACAGCCACAAAGAGGTTCGCAATTCCGCGAACCGCAGTCTTCAGCGGTTTGGAGAAGTGATCAGCAATCCTGAGGTGAAGAGTCTGGTTGGTGTTCTGCTGAAAGCTCTTAGTGACCCTACGAAATACACCGATGAAGCCTTGGACGCGTTGATAAGGGTGTCGTTCATACATTACTTGGATGCGCCATCCCTTGCGCTAGTTGTGCGGATCCTCGAACGCGGCCTTGGTGACCGGTCAACTACCAAAAAGAAAGCAGCTCAGATTATTGGCAGTCTGGCCCATCTCACAGAACGTAAAGATCTTATATCGCATTTGCCAATATTGGTCGCTGGGTTGAAACTTGCCATCGTTGACCCCGTCCCCACGACTCGTGCAACGGCATCCAAAGCACTTGGCTCCCTCATCGAAAAACTCGGCGAAGACGCTCTCCCTGACCTGATACCAAGTCTTATGACCACGCTCAAATCCGACACCGGGGCCGGTGATCGGCTAGGTTCCGCTCAGGCGCTATCTGAGGTACTTGCAGGATTGGGTACTTCTCGCCTCGAAGAAACGCTGCCTACTATATTACAAAATGTATCCAGTGCTAAGGCGTCAGTCAGAGAAGGGTTTATGTCACTCTTCGTTTTCCTTCCTGCCTGCTTTGGAAATAGTTTTGCCTCTTATCTTAACAAAATTATTCCCCCTATTCTTGCTGGCTTGGCAGATGATGTTGAAGCAATCCGCGAGACTTCTCTTCGTGCCGGACGGTTACTCGTTAAAAATTTCGCGACGAAATCCATTGACCTTTTACTGCCAGAACTCGAGAGAGGCTTGGCTGACGATAACTACCGCATTAGGCTGAGTTCAGTCGAGTTGGTTGGCGACCTGCTGTTCAATCTCACTGGCATTCAAAACAAGGGAGAGGAAGATGAGGAAGATGACAAGGCTGTTCAAGCTGGCCAGTCCCTTCTTGAAGTATTGGGAGAGGATAAGCGAAACAAGGTTCTTTCTTCTCTATACATTTGCCGTTGCGATACGTCTGGTTTGGTCAGAAGTGCAGCAATCGCGGTTTGGAAAGCACTAGTCGCAACCCCGCGAACCCTGAGAGAACTTGTACCTACCCTGTCTCAGCTCATCATTCGTCGGCTTGCAAGCCCCAATATGGAACAGAAGGTTATCGCCGGGAATGCTCTAGGCGAACTAATCAAGAAAGCTGGAGAAGGGGTCTTGTCAACACTGTTACCATCTCTGGAGGCAGGCCTTGTTGCATCTACGGACGTAGACTCGAGGCAAGGTATTTGCATTGCATTACGAGAGCTCGTCGTTTCTGCCACAGCCGAGTCACTTGAAGATTATGAAAAGATTCTCATATCTATTGTGCGAACTGCTCTGGTGGATCATGATGAGGCGGTCCGAGAAGCTGCTGCCGAAGCGTTTGATGCCCTGCAGCAAGTACTAGATAAGCGAGCAGTCGACCAAGTTCTACCTGATTTGCTTCACCTTCTTAGAAGTGAGGCTGATGCACAACAAGCACTATCTGCTCTCCTAACATTGTTGACGGAAACTACGAGAGCCAACATAATCCTCCCGAATCTCATTCCAACATTACTTACTTTACCTATCTCCGGATTCAATGCAAGGGCTCTGGCATCATTGGCTGAGGTAGCAAGTTCTTCGATGACTCGGAGGTTGCCTGCAATATTAAATGCCTTTATGGATACTATCGTCAATACCAGCGACGATGAACTCAAGAAGGAAGTTGAAGAAGCTTTCGATACTATTCTGGAGTCTGTGGATGAATATGACGGACTGAATGCTTCGATGAGTGTGATGTTAACCTTAGTGAAGCATGAGGACCATCGCAAACGAGCAAATGCAGCCACTCGCTTAGGAAGATTTTTCTCCCATGCGGACGTCGACATTTCGCGTTACCATCCCGATTTAATTCGTGTTTTACTTATCTCATTTGATGATCACGATAGGGATGTGGTAAAGGCGGCATGGGAAGCCTTAACACAGCTTACTACACACATACGAAAAGAGGAAATGGAAGTTTTGGTCATTCCCACGCGCCAAGTTCTGCGGCAAGTTGGTGTTCCAGGATCTGACCTTCCAGGATTTTGCTTGCCGAAAGGAATTGGAGCGATATTCCCCATATTCCTTCAAGGCCTTCTCAATGGAAATGTGGATCAGCGTGTACAATCTGCGCTTGCGATTGCTGATATCATTGACCGGACAAGTGCGGAAGCATTAAGACCCTATGTCACTCAAATAACTGGTCCATTGATCAGAGTTGTCTCGGAGCGGTCTGTAGAGATCAAGTGTACGTTATCTCGACAACCTGGTCGGTTTGCGACTGTATGCTAACAATGTGTCTTTAGGCGCTGTTTTCTTGGCTTTGAACAAGCTTCTTGAAAAAATTCCTCTATTTGTGAAGCCCTTCTTACCACAACTACAGCGGACATTCGCCAGAGGGCTAGCAGATACTTCGAGCGATGTATTACGGAAGAGAGCTAGCAAAGGCTTAGGCATACTGATCACATTGACGCCTCGAGTTGACCCACTCATAGCAGGTAAGCTTTTTATCTTAGTCCGCTCCGTGACATGACTTGCTAATATAGTGGTCCAGAACTTGTTGCTGGCTCCAAAACCTCCGATTCGGGTGTCAGAAATGCCATGCTTAGAGCGCTGTATGAAGTGGTAAGCAAAGCGGGTAAAAATATGAGCGACACATCTAGACAAACAATCCTTACTCTTATTGACGATGAGTCCAATGGCCGAGATGGTATGTTTCCATGAACCCGTCTTCCGATCAAGTCCTCAGTGCTGACCCGCCGTAGATACGATGAATATTACAAACGCTCGACTTCTCGGCGCTCTTGTCAAAACTCTTCCAGCTACTACTGTCGTTCCACTAATAAAGTAAAATATGATTCATATCCTTACAAATTTGAATTCTATCGCCTTCAGAAGCTAACCGTATATTTCTAGGAGCCGTGTTCTCTCGCCTCACCTAACTCATTCCTCGGTTCTAAACCTCAATGCACTTCTGGTGGAATCTGCAGCATTGCTCGTGGAAAACTTTCATTCTGAGACTGCATCCGTCATATGCAATGGCATTTCAAATAAAGACGTAAGTGCTACACAAGAGCTTTTGATCGAAGAATTGGACGCTAATATTTACTATACAGACATTCATATCAGACAACAGCGTGCTCGCAGCAGGCAAGTATCTTCTATCAGAGGACATAACCCGTAACTTCGAAACGGATAAACCATTGGTAGAAGCTCTCGCGCCTGCAATCAAACCTGGTGGGCCCACCGACACTCGCCGGATAGCTTTGGTCATTGTTCGAACTGTCAGCCGTCTGCATCCGGAACTCCTTCGTCCTCATCTCCCTCTCCTTGCGCCTCCCATCTTTGCCAGTGTGCGGGATGTTGTGATCCCTGTTAAACTGGCAGCGGAGGCAGCATTCCTGGCGCTGTTTTCAGTGGTTGAATCCGAAAGCACTGTATTCGAAAAGTATATGAATGGCCCTGGAGCAGAGTTGCCCACCGGTACGAAACGGAGCTTGCAAGATTACTTCAAGCGCGTTGCTCTAAGACTTGCCAATCAAGCACGGGAGAGGCGAGAAGCGGAAGGCGGCCAAGGGGGCTTGGGCCTTTCCAGCGACGAGCTTGAAGACGAGAAGGAAGTTTGGAGTGTGGGTAAAATCGACTTGGACGAGTCGACAAGCGAGGACTGATGCTGATTGTGACGCAGTGGTGGATCGTATATTTTTTATTTATCATTCACAACGGATCCTGGACACAAGTACAAAAATGGCTTGGCGATATAATGGATGAATCTCATCACATGATCTTCTCTCACTCTTAACATACATTCATCATCGCAATCACATCTACAGACAAATTTTACACCAATAATAGGGCTGTATGTAAAACAATACCGTCATCTAGAGCTTACAGAGCTGAAATATGCCAACGTCTAGATACAAATTGTTCCTCAAATCTGGTCCCCACTGGGTCCAGGCGCTGTCCCGATCCGGTCTAGCGCGCGCAAGCCCTAAGTGTGGACTTTTTTCTCGCTTAGCAGCCGCTGCTTAGCTAATCGCCCATTTCCCCCCATCCCCAACCCAAACCTGTCGTCGTCGTCGATATTGATTGTAGAATTCGAATATCCAATCCGTCAACGACCGACCATCGATAATAGCCGACATCAAGATGTAAGTTCCTCCTGCATCACCAGCCACCATTCCTATACCATCTATCTCGAATTTCCCCAGCCCTCTAGCCGTCTAGCGTTCAGCCTACACTCGCAGATTTGAACACAAAAGAATCTGTATCCCGGGGGCTCTCCTCTCCCCTTCCTTACAGCGCGCATAAAATCCCCAAATCCAGCGAAGAGAATTCTCACTGACAGAAAAACCATCGTTTCTTGGAAAATGGCAGGGTCAACCTTCGTACCCAGAAGCGCCTGGCGGCCTCCGTGGTCGGCTGCGGCCAACGCAAGATCTGGCTTGACCCCAATGAGGTCAACGAGATCTCCACCGCCAACTCCCGCCAGACCATCCGCAAGCTTTTGAGCGATGGCCTCATCATCCACAAGCCCGTGACCATGCACTCGCGTTCCAGAGCCCGAGAGCTTGCAGAGGCCAGAAAAATCGGACGACACCGGGGTTTCGGTAAGAGAAAGGGTACCAAGGACGCGAGAATGCCAAGGTATGTCGAATTCTTGCTTGATGGGATTGAGGGATGTAATTTTGTGGTTGGAGATTTGATGTATTCCGGCGTTTCGCGAGAGTCAGATGGACTATTTTTGATATATTGGGTGGAAGTTTTGGCAAACATGAAAAGAGGGATTATAACCTGAAATGTGTTTGGATTATGTTGCTTACCAGTCATTTTTTCTTCAACCTTATAGCCAAGTCCTGTGGATGCGCCGTCTCCGAATTCTCCGCCGTCTGCTTGCCAAGTATCGCGCTGCTGGCAAAATCGACAAGCACCTTTACCACGAGCTGTACCAGTTGAGCAAGGGTAACACCTTCAAGCACAAGCGTGCTCTGGTTGAGCATGTAAGCATACCCATACCCCATTTACATACAAATATTTTTATCTACGCCCTTTGCTCTTGCTTTGAGCAACTAAAAAAGAAGAAATATGAAGAGCAGCCATCATTTATACTTCTAGCGACCTACAAGCCATAATCTGCTCGATAGTTCAAAGCTAATAATTCCTCGCAACACAATAGATTCACAAGGCCAAGGCTGAGATGGCCCGCGAGCGTACGATCAAGGAAGAGATGGATGCCAAACGTGCCAAGGTCCGGGCTGCCCGCGAGCGACGACAAGAGCGTATCATTGCCAAGAGAAACGCTCTCGTGGCAGAGGGTGAGGAGGGACAGGAGTAAATGCCTTGTTTGTGTTTTTCTTTTTCATGGGCCCACTACTAGGGAGGTGTTTATATTTTCCTTGTTAGATGATTGCGTGAGAGAACAAACAAATAACAAATGGGTCTTTGTTAATTTTATGTCATTTTCCTTATTTCCCCCCCCTTTTTTTTTCCTTTTTGATCTTGTTGCAACACTAGCAAGCAAAATATTATGACAATCCTCCGGCCTTTCGTCCTCATTTTCCTTCCCTAGCTTCCTACATTTTGGAACCTATCTTGTGTATCCTTGATCTATCGGATGAGGAAGAAGAAAAGGAAAATAAGGCAAAATTAGATTTGGACGACAATCACTCGCATGAAAGTGAATAGGCAAAGGCACAAAAAAGATGTAAAAGAAAACGAGCAAAACGATCGACATGATTTAAAGGAATACAATAATAAATACTCTCCCAAAAAGAAAAACGATGTCTTCTCTCGAGTTGTTCCTTGCCGTGTATCCTTTCCATGGTCCTTGTCTATGCCTATCAATGAAAAACATCAATGTGAGACATTCATTATTGCTCCCTATCCTCTTATACTGAGGGAATATCCCTCAAAAACCGCCAATTAAGAATCCTATCTTTATAAACCACATTCAATCGTATATGGAATTAACCTATGCCGCTACTACTATTCCGTCTCCCATTCTCCTTTCGCGCTAGAACGGATTAATTACATTTACACAAACATTAAACGTGCCAAGTCCGACACCAGTACACTCTACGACATGGAATCCTCAGCGCAGGCATTCCCGGCTGACCGTAACTGATATGACATGGGGAGAACGTTTCCCGTGACAAAAATTCAATATACAAATCCTCCCATAATATATTCGAAAGTTCAACTTTAATACAATACTTGTGCTCGAATATCCCATTATGAAATCAATCGTGAGGAACGCAACGGGGCAACAACAACCGCGGATTCCAAGTGTCCGGGAGTTCAGGAGTAGGAGCATCGTCTGCAGGGCTGGAGTTAGGCCTTTCAAGGTCGAAAGGATCACTTCTTCGAGTATCGAGTCTGCTCTTTTGTGGGGAACGGTTAGTTCGCCTGTAGGAAATATCTGATGCTGAAGCCTGGAAGATGCCAGAGGAGGCTTCGCTCGTTCTCCCGGGGGGCACGATAACGCTGTCGCTGCTTGCAGAGTTGCTCTCTATTTGGGATGCCGTTGAATCGTTTCGTTGAGGAGGGAAAGGGGCTCTGACATCCGGGTGCCTGAAACAAATACCTAGTGGTATAGGAGAGGTTGATTAGGAATAAGATTTTGGATTCCGCCATTATTGTCTAGCATCAAAGAAATGCTCATAGGTCGCCTGGCTGTGTTTGACGGATTTTAATGAAAGGAGTAGGGAGGAGTTGTAGGGCGCCGCAAAGAAATTTCCGGGTCTAAATCTCGAGGCGGGTCAAGGAAGGGGTCCGAGAAATCCATTGGCGCTATACGGCGGGAGTTCCCAATGACTGATCCCGGGATGTTCGGGGACGGAATACAATGCCATGCATCGTCCCGGAGTTGGCTTGAGTGACTAGGTAGACTCGCCTTTCCAAGGAGCCTAATAGTGTGGTTTTTCTTTGCGCTAAAAGGGGAAGTTGGATGGGGAATTACATTGTGTTGCTCAAAGTGAGTTGAGACGCTGCGCATATGTGAGTGTATTCCACTCATTGGATACTTAGATGATCGAGCGGGCCTAGAGGATATGCGAGATGATTTGCCAATTTTACGCTTCTTTTCGGAGCTCAATCTAGCCGTCCGTTCCATAGCGCATTGTTTTCGTCTCCGCCATCGCAACACCACAAAAACTGCAATTGCAATGAGAATTATGGTCGTGACGCTGACAGATCCCCCGATAATGACTCCCATTTCAAGAGGATTGAGCTTCGGGGAGCTCTATATTGCTGTGCGCAGGCATATTTACTCCAGTCAGGGTGGGTGTTGTCCATATCTGAGTTGCTCCCTGTGAGGAAGAAGAGAGAGCAGGGTTCGTTGGTGAAGGATTAGATTGAGAAGGGGTGACAGCGATCCCAGCATTCAGTTGATGAGAGGATAGGAGTATGCTTGTTATAGGATTGCCTCGAGAACTGAAGTTATGGGCCGTGGGCAAAACAGAAGCGCTTCTGGATAATATAGAAGCGATTCGGGAAACTGACGAGATTGTAATCGTCGTCGCAGCACTAGTGGTACCATGATGGGCACTTCTGACTATAGGGTGCTCTCGACCATTGAAGGTCGTTGTCGACTTCGACATTGTGACATTGCGAAATGCCAAATTGCCGACTGCAATGTCCCGGGCCCCAACAAAACTATCCATACCACTATCTCACCAGCGCCGATTCAAACTCTAGAGGTGAAAGGAGTTTGGGACGAAATGGCTGGATGACTAAGGTAGTAATTGAAGTGAAGAGGAAGAACGAGGTTTCGAACATACCCGTAAGAAATGGTTGCACGAAGACTCTCACAGAACCGCTCTGGCCTGGGATCGGATAAAATGAGATTAGAGAGAGCCGAAGACAAAGTAAAAGATGCAAATGTTAAGACATATGGAAAATGTCGAATAAGGTAAGTAAGAAGTCTCCGGGCACGGAGGAGGCCAAAATAGATAGATACCGTGGACGAATCATAGTGGAACGAGTCGTGAAAGGAGACTGGGAACGTATAACCCAATCATTTGAAATATGTCAGCATGAAAGACGGAGGATTGTCAAGTTCACCCACCAACTCTGATGAATGGGGACTCCAGATCAATATCTCAGTTTCAGAATGACAACATGCAAGCATTGCTGGAACAGCAGCCGTATCCATCCCCGCCGTCCCTGGTGCACAGACAAAAGTTACATCATTGATGGCGAAGCGATGAACAGGATTCAGAATTAATGTAGTGAACAAGGTGAAGCTCTTGAGGCAGGAGAAGAGGGAAAATCCCAGAATGACAGAAGACATGCTACTCGACGCACATCGAAGGCACGATGTCTTTCTTACCCCGTGTAGCAGAAGTGCATGTGATAGGGGATTTATGAATACACTAGGCAGGAAACGGAGTGTAAGCTGGATTTAGCAACGTTCATGTTTCGATAGGCCAGAATAACCATGTAAGAGACGGTACTGAATATTAAATGGCTTCAAAATAGAGTGTACTCTTGGCCCTTTAAGCATAGCTCATACTAAGGGTTCTCTTTCTCTATATCTCCCTAGGCCCTAGCATATAACGAGATTACCTAGAGCCTAGAGGAAGAGCTAGTGAAAAGATGAGACAATGGAGGATCCAAGCCATGTTGTGAAGAAGAAATAAGGGGATCTCAATCTTTTGAAACAGCTTTCATTAACTTTATTTATCACTAAGCCGGATTGTGACAGAAGAAAGACTGAAGGCCCGGGGGCCCGACAACAGGAGAAGTATCCGGTCAGTGAGAACAGCAGAGCAGCGGAGAAGAAGTAGATGAGAGCTTGAAGATGTGGCAGTGTGCTGACGATGAAGATGAAACCGGACTGAGGCTCAAGCGATGTGAGGTTGATTTAGGCAGTTTCCTGTTCGGGCATGAGGCCCTGGAAAGGAATAGCGTGGTGCCAGGCTGGCTTGAAAAGGAAATCCCGGAGCAGATCCTAGACGGGGTGGTGAATGTTGGAAAGGGAAATAAATACTTGACACACATGCCCATAAGTAGAGTACATAGGGAATGTACATGTAACTATGTCCCTGTATCAATTTATCAAAAGGGGTCGAGGCAAGCAGAGGTCGGAACAAGAGAGCTCACACTTTTTATCCGTGGTGGCTTTTGCCCCGCTCAGTTAAACATACCCCGCCGTTGGGATCCCGTTCTCACTGTCTACATTCATCGTTAACCTTGTTTTGTAGGGCTCACTTGAACTTCGACTTGGCGTTCGAACCAAACCACCTCCTTGAATCAGGGAGCTGCGTGTTGTACATGTACATGTACATCCATGGATAGCAAACCTCTTGTGGGAAATTTGAGAACTCGACGAACCCAGATGAGGAAAGTTGAACTTCTTCCTAGCGGGGTACCATTCTATATTCCTTAAAAATAGACACATTTCCATGCCTACTAAGTATATTCACCCTATGAACTTACGAAATAGTGGAATGGTCCACTTGCCTTCCTGCGGAAGCGCGGGTGCATCAATTCACGGTAAGGATTGGGCCTGACTTATTGTTGCTGGCTTTGATATAAGTTGGCTCGTTGTATTCCAGTTCCTCTATTTTGTGCGCCTTATTATGTGTCCAAAATAGAAATTCTACAGACTGATAAAGGGCATTAAATGCTAAAAGATGGCTATTCCTTATAAGTTACGCCCTCGATTGCTCTCCGGCATTGTCACTCTTTAAGTCTGCCTAACTGATGAACAAACAAAGAATTCCGAAATTTCGATCCCAAAGCGGGCTTAATTTCCATTAACTACATGTACAGTACTCCGTACATAGTAGCTTCCTCTTCAGTGTGTCTAGGTACCTGGTATTGTTAGCCATTTTCGTCTCTGCACTGTACACATTGTTTCCCACATATTGTAGACTTTTCCCATTGTTCACACCCAAAGGTGTATTTGCCCTGCCCTTGAATCTCAAGCATCCGTCCTCGTCCCGAATTCCTCTGCCGCCTAATGATTGGATACAAGCATCTTGGTGCCTTAGCTAATTCGACCGTTGATTTTGTGCCTAACACTATAGGCCATTTTCCCTGCTTGTGATGCACCTTGACCAAACAGGCTTATTACCCGCACTTCCGGGGTGAAATGCCACTCTAGCTTCTCCGCTCTGCTGTGTTGACTGGTCTAATTTGCAGTCATCCTGGCGACAACTCGCAGTAGCTGCAGGCCTCGCAATCCAACGGCAGTCGGTTTTGCCAGCGCACCCACAAAGCACTGCGAACGAGGGAAAAACAACATGATCGGAAGAAAACCACGAGGAAAGCCGTCGTAGCAGTATTCTCAATAAATCTATCCGTTAATCGAGGAGAACCTACTCACAACTGCATGAACTTGGTGGATAATTATAATTCGCCCCCCTCACCATCCTTTATCAACCGGATAGCTACTTGTTCCAAAAGCGCCCGGAGACCACAACCTCCCCTCAACAACAACGGTTGCCACCAGCTTCTTGTACGCCCCGAATTCATCGCCCAGATCATCGTTCATATGGGATTTCCTGCTGCTACAACTATAGTTACCTTCCCCTCATAAGCAGACGGGCCATATTAAATTATTCGTGGCTGGAAAGGACGTATAAATTCTACTTTAAGTCGAGTGTCCGCAGAACATTGTATCGCCAACCCGAGGACGACTCCAACAGCGATAACCTGCCACCATGTTTTCTTGGGGAGGCAACCTATGTAAGATTCTAATTTCCTGATTCTCTATGCCTATTCTCTTGTTCGCCATGGCTCCCACGTTTCCATGCGGAGTACATTCAACACAAAACACAAAACACGATTCACAAAACAAACATTCCTATAACCGTTCCGGGGTTCTATTCCATTTCTGGTGTGCTGCATCGTCGATCTGGCGGAGGACGTTCCTCCGTAATTCGTTCTCTTTGCCGAATTATCAATTTCGAAGGGGGGAAGAGCAGCCAAAGCCTGCGCGATGCTGGCATCAGTCTACTGAAATTGTGAAAACCCATGCACAAAATAGTGTATTTTCATCGTTTCCATGGCATATGGGTTATTTACCACGATCGTTTTATACATGCCATCCCCCTCATCCCATGCACCTATTTATTTCTTCTGTTATCATCTTTTACTTAGCCAACTCCTGAATGCGTGCGAACCTATATAATTTTGTGTGTATTTCAAAACTAACAACCGACCAGCGGTACCGTCAATCAGTATTGACCCAGAAAAGGAGAGAAACCCTCCGGCTTTGCCAACACCTCTTGATTTCCCTAACTACTCTCCCGAATCAAAGTCCAAGCCACTTAATGGGGGAGGCCGCGATGACTTCCACAAGCTGCTATGTGCTATTAAAAAACCTCAAGATGTTTCACCCGCACACCTGGAAGCTTTGAATCTTACTACCGAGTCCAATGTCCCTATCTCAGAAATCATTCCGTCAGGGGTCTTAAAAACCCTCCCTCCCTACCAATGGACAGGTCAACCCACAGCAACAGGAGGGCAAGGAACGGACGAGATGCCCGTTCCGGTTCTAATGAGCAACGGTTCCCCGTTTCCAAACAAGGAGAGATATGACCTTCTAAGGGAGGAAATCCTCTATGATAACGATGCTGCCGTTCGAGCAGTTTCACGGCTACCTCCTCGACCCCGCCGTGAGAAGATTAAGCTCACCCAGAGCAGAAAATTTTGGGCCGGTCTTGACCAAGTATCCCAATATTGGGACACCAGTTTAGATCAATACTTTGAACGCCCTGTGACGGATGATACCCCCGGGGAGGAGAATGAGGCCTCGGGTAAAATGCAGCTCGATGACCCCCCAAACGCTGAAAAGCAGAGTGGTGCCGTTCAGGACAGCGAAGAGAGCTCCGGAGTCGGATCTCAGGCCGAGGACAGCGGTAATGAAGCATCTCAAACCCCAGGCACAAAAACAATGTATCGTGGCCGAAGGATTGGAACAGGTCGTGAATGCCCAGATGATGTACGTGAGGAAACCCTCCGTGGCTTGATGGAAATGGTTGCATGGGCATTTGGATGTCAAGCCAGCATTCCAAACATCCCTCCTCGCCTTCAGGTTAAAGGGATGCTTTTCCCGGTCCGCCAAAATTTTGTCGTTGCCCGATCGCCCCAGGATAGACAAGTTGCAAGAAAGGGGATACTTGAGGGTCCCATGGTTTTTGTGCAATGCAGAAGTGAAACATTATTCCATGACGAGAACGATCCAGCTGGGAACAGGTATATGGAGATATGCGACCTTTTACGCGAGACTTCTGCCATGCTTTTGTTGGCACAAGAGCGAGCTAGAGAAGGCACAGTTGAAACGCGACCTGGAGATGGAAAATGGTGGACCACTACGCCGCGATGGGGCGGAGCAGATAACCCCGGCCCAGAAGCCGATAAAGAAAACACCGATAAATCCAAGAAAACTATTTCTGATGCGGACACCCCATCAGCAAGTAAAAGATCTAAATATGATAGATCCTCACTTCCGTTTAGGCGACATGGGTCCAGCGGTTCAAAAAAGCTGAGCATTTCCGAGAGATGGAAAATCTTGCAACCTGGTCCGAGTCTGTGGGACAAGAAGATGATATATAAACAGATCGGGAAAGACAAAGATTCTCCTTTTGACGATGTTAGTCTTCGCTTTATTCCTCCCCTAATTCTGCCATTTCTATAGCGCGCACCGTCACACATATGGGCTGTCCCAACTGACGATAATTAGATCTTCATGGTATCCTCGATCAACCACCACTTTTCAATCGTCCACCTCCGCGTCCACTCCACCTACCTCGAATGGCTGACAAGCAGTGAAGGCAGCTTGTCCGACCCATCAAAAGACATCAGCGATAACCCGTGGAGCGTTCTTCGGATGCGTCGAACCAGATGGTTTGACATTTTTAACCCCGGTGATAGGTTAGAAAGTTTGGAGGGCCTTTGGGCCCTTTTCTCTTGGCTTATGAGATGAGCAGGGAAATGAAAAGTCAACCACAACCCTTCTCGGGTTTTATCAAGAGGATAATGATACCATCGGAACGGGCTCACTTTTGTCTTTTTCTATGTTATGTAGAAATAATCCTTGAACCGGGCAAAGCTATCTGGCGTGTATACACTTTGGTCTACGATCGTAACTGGTATTTCATACGGGTATATATATACTATCACAGAAGCATATTTTGGGAGCAAAGGGGGGTACCGACCGACCTGCCGAAAATATCTTACGATTAATGACAAAAAAAGAAAATAAGACCGGTATGGGAACTAGTTTATCAGGACTTTTGCTGTTTCGTTTTTCATTTTTTAGTCTTGCTCGCTTCTAATTTATTATTTCCTTCTATATTCTCCTTTCCCCTCCTGCAACTTGTTTGTACTGACATCTAGACGTCTGCCTGTGTTTTTATTGACTTTAATCCCTTTGGTTCTTTTCATCGAGTTTATTCGTTTCCTCCCAATGTTTACGACTGCAGTTATATTTTATCCCATCTACATATTAACAATTTGCATTGGTTTTGCGACACATAGTGTAGTATAACGAATCAACTTGCATCTCATATGTTCGGCTCTAATTCACCCGGGTAAACTCGAATTACCGCTTGTATATGCTAGAAGCAATCTAGTGTGTCGATACAACAAACACATTTTCATATCCAACACGATGGCTGCTGAGGGTCAGATCCTTTATATAGTGATGCTGTATCAGGGCTGCGAACTTCGTCGGACCGGTCGACATCCGAGCCGCTGACTTATCAAAACTGTCATATACAGACCTGCTCATTCGCCCACGGCGCTTCCAGGTCCATGCATCCAAACTGCCACTCGTCTACAACTGCGATCGAGTAATACCCCTCCTGCAACTTGCCATCTACCTTCACACCGAAGAGCCACTTAATATGCTGCGAATATTGCGGAGTTGCCATGTCCTGGAAGCGTATGCGACGGCAGCTCTATTCAAGCATTCCACCACAGTTTCCAACCACTGCTTTGCTCCGGGTTCGCATAGCTAACTAGCTAAAAATGCAGGGCTGGCGCCGAAGTATACACATGCCGCGTACTACCTCCAGGCAGTCTGTGCAAGAAGAAGAAGTTATTATGAAAACAAGAGGAATAAAAAGATAAGCTAGAGACGATGGTCCAGCAAGTCGACGTGTTTATTTGCGGGAGTTGTTCTGCAGGGGCCATACGGCGCCATCTGACTTGATCGATCCGGCATCTCATATAAGATCCTGGAGCGGGCGCCCTGGGTCATTGATGAATGGCCTCACGGAGGCTTATCATATGAGGGAGATTGCATTCTGTCCCGCGGATCAGGGAGGCAATGGCCATGACATCAAAAGGAACCCACTATTCTGCTGACAAGGAGATCAGAGAAGGGAGCAGAAGAGATAATTCACGCGAAATTTGCGCTGGGTGAGCCTTCCCCCTTATCTTCTATGTTCGGCCTTGAGGCTCTCTTTTTGTTTTCATTTATGTCCAGACGCATGGACGGGCAGAGACTTGCGACGGAGCTCATAGTAGTGGTCGCAAATCCATGGGGTTTTTAAAAAAAAATGATTGATGTCAACAGCGATGCGGTATGGGAGTAATGGATGTTTATCCACAAAACCGACTTGCCTGCAGATACGCAGAAAAGTCTGTCTTGAACGCCGCCATGGGAAACTTGATGATAGTCCTCCCTCGCGAACGCGGATCGTTTGCCCAGTTCTATATTGGGTTGCCCCATGGCACGACGGTGAGCAATTGCCCCGTCTGAGGGCCTGAAAGAGCGAGCATATACCATGGAAATAGTAGAAGCGCTCTGGTGGTCGACATACCCCATCGGACAACGCCAGGTCAGCTTTTCGCTATCGTTGTCTTCTTGACCGGTGATGTCTGTCATTCCCATTTCTCCAAAAGGTTGGCCACGGAATGAATGTTAGCCTACAGCAAGCGTACAACATTGGCCGGAAGCCGGGAATTTCTGCTTCATATTCTTGTAGACGCGTAATAGCTGAGGGGCCAGAATGCCTGCTAAAAATCTCCATGTAACGCCATGAATGCGAAGTGCCGCCCGGTCCGCGGGGGAAGAAGAACAGACAATCAAATACCTCTAACTTGCGCCAACTAGGAGCAATATGTAACGAACGTTTGTCAAAACGATGAGGGAATATCTACCATGAACTTCCAGCCAATCTTGGATTTGAATCCTATCTCCACCACCCCCTATTAACAAGTAGGAGGTCCAAAAAGTTTCGGGCACTAGCTGATAGCAGTTTTGTTGTAGTTATGCCACCGGGTGGGTGCCGATTGTCCAGAATGACACCTCAATCCTCCAGTAGTTACAGTCACTGGCTTGTAACTGATATCTGGAAAGCTACTTAAGAAATAGAAAAGAGCCACGATCTGGGCAGCCAGCCATGGCGCCTGTTCTTTTCAACTGTGCACCTGAAAGGGAACCGAGAATATGGATGAATAGGGGGGAAATCTTGAAATTGCCTGGGGATTTCGTCAAGCTCCTCATGGATGTTTCAATCCCGTTCTCATTCTTCCGTAGAACTAGGATGTAGGGGCCTTAATTATTAGTGTACTCGGTACGTTTCTTTAATCTCGGGAGGTTTTGAAGAAGCCTTTGATTTCTTTCAATAATGGTCGATGAGTTTAACTACCTTCCAATCATATCTCACTCTTGGGGAACTATTTCATCCTTGGAAAATGTTTCTAAACAATGAGGGTGACAGCACATTCTAACAATAATAATAATACATCGGTGTCCACTCCATTATTGAATGAATATCTTAACTGGAGGTTCCAGACATTTACTGCGTATTATTTCCCGTTCCTCGTAACGGATTAAATCAATCAAGGGATCAAAATCAATCCCATTTTGGTGGCTGAAAAGGGCCCCCCATCATCTTTGTTCCTCCCTCCCTCAACGCCTCCCCGAGAGCTCACCGATCTCTATTTCGAGTTGAAACATGTTATAACTGGCGGGGGGCAAGGCAGGCGACTATTTTCCAATCAAATAATATCTCTCAAGCCCATCATCGCCTGCCACCTGAAGACAGGACTGGCCTGAAGAATAATATTAAATAATAACCAGCCTGGCTACCCTGTGCGCCATTCAGCAAAAGCCATCCATCCATCCATCCATCCATCCAGCCAATGCGAGGCGTGTGCGAGCAGGTCGCCATCAAAGTTTGCGGGCTGAAAGCTAAGTGGTCCAGGTCTCAAATGGTGTTTTAACCCATTCTTGAAAATCAGGGGGCAATCAGACCTCTCATCTGAAAAATGATGAAGATGTTTGTGATTGGAAAAAAACCAGGTGGATAAGGTCCTTAAATACCTCCCTCGAAAGAACTCATAAATCTGTCGCCAGAGAAAGCTGTATACTCCACACGCAACTGGTCATATTTCCAATTTCGCCCTCAGTCCGTCGTTCCCCTCAAAACCCTTTTTCCCCGCCGCCAATTGTGACCTGAGTGGACGGCGGTATGGTATGGCCCATTATTGTTTGGTCCAACACAAGGGGGACCAAGGCACACAAGGCACCGGCGAGGATGTCGAGTAAACATCACAGCCTGCCCGAAGCCAATGCCAGGCAGGCTATTATCTCACTTCCTTCTCTCTGGTCAACCTGGGAGGGGTTGGATCTACAGATTTACAGATTTACAGATTTACAGAGGACTCAGCATTCCACTTAGTTATTGAAAAGCAAACATTGGCATCGGATGGGGTCTCAGGATATCATTTTTTTCAATAATAATGAGAGACCTTGATGCTTTTCTGGGGTAACTGTCTGGTTGGTTATTTTGAAAAGATGCGGTCATAAATGCCCCTCTAGCCACCGCTTCTGATTGCGATAGATGCTTCATCCCTTACCCCTGCGATAGGTGAGCAACCCGAGTATAAAACTTCGATTCTGCCCATCCGGTAGTTCTTTGTTATTTGTACTCATATAGTTACTTTTGATGGATATTTACATTTATCGGGATCCTCCCAAGTCACAGCATCCACAGACCTATTTTCATCGCAACGGGCTTGGGCAGGTTGGACTGATGCCCAACGTATCACTTTTGGGCTGCTGTCCAAAACGATGCCTGCAGCGAAAGAAGCTTCAGCCCCATGATTTTTGTTCAAAACAAGACACGAAAGGAATAATAATATTAATATTAAATAATAATAGCAGAGCGGTTTATTCTAGGGGAATGAAAAATAACAATGAGTAATAATAAGTTAACGAGAGATATACGCTGTAATACGAAATACATAAATAACTATTCAAAGGAACCAGGAAGCATTCATTGTATTAAGGTTAACCTAGAAAGCTACCATACCATGGCTTTGGGAAAGGGAGGAGGTCTGGTAGCAGCAGCTGATTGGTGGTCCATGGCCAGGAAACAAGAATACCCTGCCCAGCTGCTCGGGAGCATAGCATGCCGAGTTCTAGGGTTGAAAATCGCTTGATACTTTGATACGAACGAACGCATTAAGAAGCGAGAAGCGAGAAATCGAGAAATCGAGAAATCGATTGGGATGGACAAAGCAAAATGTATCCCCCCTTGGTGTCAATTGGAGGGGCTAAGGAAGGAGTCAGCAAAAGGGTTATGTTATGGGGCGACATCCTGGAGCAGTAATAATAACCAGTCAAACTTTACAAATCATACATTTCACCTGATTCTCACTCCTGTTTTGATGTTGTTCTTCCTTCCTCAAGACTTACCGAAGAAGCTGAAAGCAAGACAGGAATACTCAAGCAAGCCACCACGACCCCTCTAAAAGCCAAGTGGGGGGACGACGGGCAAAGGTAACTATGGCAGGAAGTTCTTGATGATCGAGAGAAAGAGCAGAGAAGGAGCCGGGGAACGATCTGCTGGTGATCTCTATTGATTTACGCTGTAGCGTTGCCTTTTTATTTTTTATTTTTTATTTTTTTCGTTTTGTATTTTTTCCACCCTCCGATCTCTCCACTATTTTTGATATCTACGACGAAAGAGAGCTGAAGTTGTAGAAGTGGTCGATTGGAACGTGGTGAACGGAGAGCCACATGCCATCCCATCCCCTGTCAGGGGCAAGGTCGACAAGAATGCGCCCCTATCAATAATCACAAGAAGACCACAGTCTGTTGACTCTCTGCTGTTTAGCCCCAATTGGCGTCTGCCCAGTTAACCCTATGTGGAGCTAGAATAGGAGACATCCATCACAAGACGAAAGAGTGGGGATTCGGAAAAGGCGCTTCCTTCGCCTTTCGGGGGTTGTTGGATTTATTTGCTTGGAAGTTGAAACGAGCCTGCAGGCGGCGAACGGAACGGGGGTGAACAGCGGAACGGCTGCCTGCCTTCCCCGAACCCGCGACCAGGGCGGTGGTATTCCCCTCCCCCCCCCCCTGTCTGGCAGTGTGGCACCCACCGGCTGCCACTAGGGAATTGGTGATGATGCAAGAGAGGGCGCAAGAAGCGAGAGATTTTTATTTTAGGAGCTGAGGCCCAAGACGGGGATGAGGGAGGCTGTTCACCCCTCCCCCATCGTAGATAAACCCCCACCTAACTACCATTGAACCCAGGCAGAGCGTAAGCACGAGCGAGCATGGCTTTCTGTTGCTAGGGGAAAAAAGGGCGGAGGTCTTCAAGACCACGATCTTCCCAGGAACATGGAACGTGGGCTGTATAGACATTTTATTTCCATCTCATTCCATATGCTCCCCCAATTCGTATTTTGTTTCCCGCTCCCTCGACGTTGGGAAAAGGGGCACATATTGTTCTCTAGCCCAACACTGAAGAGAGCATTTTCCCTGATGCCAAAATAGCGGTATTTTTTTTCTCCCTCAGCGATCTGCCAACGCTCCCCCTCCCACCGCTTCGAGGTCCACAATTGTGGGCTGTTGAACTTGGCAGGGATGCAAAGCTCGATTGCACTGTCTTGGTGCCTCTTGTCTGGCCAACCACTGGACATTAATGCGACGACTGAGCCGGATTTGCTTACCCCTCAGACAGACGCCGTCGTTATTGGAGAACCCAAGCGTCTTGGATCAGGCGGAGTTTCTCGGGAAATAATACGCTGCGTATACTCGTGAAGAGCAACCTGTTCCGTTTTTTCTATCATATCTCATCATCAATAGCTGGCAACCAGATGGGCTGGTTAGCAAGGAACGGTCTTTTATCATTTGCCCAGATGAAAAGGTGATGTCGACGATGAAAGAAACGTTGTAGGTACAGTAGCAAGCAAGACTTGACATCCCCATATATCGGATTAATAATATCTTCCCCGTGCATTCTAACAGATCTGCACGGGCAAGCTGGTTGTCTGAAGCTTGAGCAAGTTGAAAAAGCCACTTTGGGAAATCCAGGGATACTCAGCAGAAACACGTGGGGAAGGGACTGGCGGTGGCTTGTATTGAAACGTGGAATACAATACCGTATTGTGACACGGTATCGCGTACAGGATGTTCTTTTTCGTGTAATAGTTTCATGCCCCTTATGAAAGGGGTACATATATATATATGTATGTTGAGACAGCAAGAGAATGCATGCGATATCAATTGTTCACGGACGTAGGTTACCTAAATTTGAACTGTCAGCTGTGCTTATTACCAATTTGATTTTTATACTTTTATATATAGATAGATAGATATATTAAGAAAAATGCATCCACCATCTGCGTGACAAGAGGTTTGGAAGGTTGATTGATTCGCTTCACGATCATGATAGAAATAGCAAAGAAAGTACCAAGCAAGCAAAAAGTCATTTTCCTCTCCGAAAACTAAGTTCCTCATCTCACAAACAGCGCACAGAACAAGAATAAATAAACAAATTGCAGGACGGTGACTTGCATTTCCCTGCATAGTGAGGCTACGCTTCCTTCCTTCTATGCGGGAGTCGCCATGACCCGGAAGAGACATTATTGCTCTTCTTTCGCACTCAACAGTTTCCACATCCTTATCAAAAGGGTAAGCCCATGCTTGTGTTGCCCTCGCTTCCTGAGCGGTTCCCTTGCCAGAAACCAAAAAACGCCAAAAGCCAAAATAAAAAATGTTCCAGCCATGCATCCGCTATGATCTGACCCGACGGAGCTCGATATGGACCATCTCAGAACACAAAATGAAACCAAAAAGGCTCCATACCCGATAGCCTGGGTTGCGGGATCCGGCCAGTTTGTCGCCAGCGTCACGACTAAGGCTTATTCTGATTTCATCGTGGGTCCATAAGACCTCGATTTCTCATGTAATAAAAGTAAGTAAAACTGTCCAGACTGGATTAGAGTTTTTGGAGGAGGGATGTCAGCCGCGTTTTCCCCGCTTAAAATGATAAAGTGTCAGACAGACACATCATACGAGAGCCGTTTGCGCGAAATCCCTCTTCGTCTGAGTCGCAAAACCGTTTTTTATGGGAAAGTTGATCACCGTTGATCTTGCTTCCCACCTCAGCCTCTGGCGACGTCGCCTTCCGAACCCCGAGTCCTCTGATCTGTGGATCACTGCGATCAGTTCCGTCGTATTCTGCACCCCGCATTTATCGAGGGGGTGAGTGAAAAGGGGGGTGAGCCGGTCCTCTCGGTGTGAGATTTTGGCAGGCATTCGCAAGACTTTTCAATTTCTGAATCTCTGTCTATCTCATGTGTCCACCAGTGGACTTTGCGCGGGGAGGGGTTAAGGAGGCACCAACAAGAAAGTATGAAATGGTGTCTCCCAGGATAAGTATCCCAGCAGGAGCTAACTTAGTTCATAGCAAGGTGCAAGCAAGGTGAGTCCCGACGGCTTTCCGCTCCCTGTTGGTCGGAAAGGATGAGGCGAGAATCTTGGAAAATGTCAAGGCGAGGGTTGAAGGACTGAATATTATTCGTCCACATTGACTAGTGAAAAAAGCGTTCAAGCCAATGGGAGAAAAAGCAATTCGTATAAAAATCATAAAAATCACTTGGGGAGTGATATTACATATCACGCGCGTCTTATCAAGTTAAGAGGAAATGCGCCTTTGAGATACCGTTCATTCACCAGTTCGTGACTCGGGAGCGTTCGGCAAGTGAGAGAGCAGTTGTAAAAGGAAAAGAGATACTCATTTTGAGCAAGCCAACTGCAGGATTCTTCCTTGCACCCAAGCCGCACTTGAGCAATGATCGATGACGACTTGCTACGGGAAATAAATGGCCAGTACTCCGTAGTTGAAGCAGCATATTGTGCGTACGCTCAAAAAACGAGAGAGCAACCAGCTAGTTGGTTGCCCCTCGCTGAGTGGCTGAAATTCCCTGCCCCGAACGAAAAGTTAGCTCCAGTAACCCGACATGATAGAGATTATCAACAGTGATTTTGTCGCTTGTGGCTGGCATCTCGAAGTCACCGGCCGGGGGATTTCGCGGCCTGGTCGTTTCCCTCCCAGCGACGCTGAGGGGTCCTTTCTGGGATTCTTCGGCTGTTTACTATTTAGCCATCGCTTTCAAGCTAGTCAATAATTGTATCCTTAAGATCGTCAAGTCTTCGACGGAGGGATTCCCCCATCTGCTCGGTAACGTTGCTCAGTAGTCCATGAGGCGGGAACCTTAGAAGCTGCTATGGTCTACCCCTATATTTTCGTTAGTGGCTCCCTAAAATTATAGGGCTCTGCTAACCAAAATACTGAGGGGTCATTGAGATTTTGATGGATGTCAATTCATACAGATTCTGAATGATTCAAAAATAACATTTTGAAGCTCAGAAAACTGAGAATATAGAATGGTTTTTAATAATATATCTCACTTATGTTTTCTATTGAAATATTTGAATAATAGAGTGCGGGTTAGAAGTAAATGACCACCCAGTATTTTGGTTAGCAGAGCTCTATAATTTTAGGGAGCCACTAACGAAAATATAGGGGTACAATGTTAGACCGCAGTACACGGCGCAGACCGCCTCCCTCCCTTGGGCTCGATTCCCCCACTTGTCTGCTGGGCTGGGGTCTACTAGTTAGCGTCTTTCATGCAGAGTGGAGAGGCTGCTAACTATTGTTCATCATCATCTTGGCGGCTGCTAGCCTAGGTGGATAGCTAGAGCAATACAGAGTTTCCTGATCCTCTCCTTTTGCGCCTGTCTCCACGCGGTATGGTATGTTAGAATGAAGCCATACTAAGGTTCTGCTCATAGAGAAACTCGTGCGGGAGACTTGTATCAGCCATCTGGTCGTGGTGGTATTTCCCAAAACAGAGGGTTTATTTCCCAGCTGGTTGCCCAAGTTTATCTCTCTGCGCTTCGCCGCGATTGCGAACAAGGGTGGATTCCCCAATAATCAACTGCTGATGTTGAAGGAAAATCCCTAGTTTTGCTGCGGAAAACGGTTGAGAAGCTGATAGCACTAGTAGTATGGGCAATCACATCACCACGCTTGACGATACGAGGGAGGTGGAGTGTACGGCCGCAGGAACCTTGGAACTCTTTCGATGGTTCCAGGGCGAAGGCAAAAAGAAAGGCTTGAAGTTGGTGGTGTCTGCCCGCCAATAATATATATCAAAAGCACAATGGTCAAAGCAGACCTGACAAGCTTGGTCTATCCGATCCAACGGCGGTTGTTGTGTTTGTGTTTGTGTACGGAGTATTATTAATTAATATTGATCTTGCACGCATGTAATCGCGTATACCAAAACGCGTATACCGGTATGGTATGTACTGTATAGAAGAACTATGTACCAATACCATCTCCACCGCTGTGGACAAGCAGCGCCCCTAAGGGAAAGCTATCGTAACCAGGGCCCCGACAGCATTTTAGTAGAGTTCACCATGAATGACGGACACTGCGCCTAAAGCGGGCCCTGGAGAACTCGTCACCAAAGTGGAGTTTGGCGCACGATGCTGGGGTGGAAATGGTGCTAGGAATTGGTGAACATTTGGGAACTTGAAAACCATCGAATCTCGCGCAAATCTGGCGTAGGCCTCTGAAAGATCGAGTTCCAACTTTCGTTGACAGGCCCACAGGGGCAAAAGGGGAGTAACAAAAAAAAAAAAAGAAAAGAAAAGAAAAGAAAGGGGTAGTGGATAGATAAAGACGCGGAAAAAGGCTCCCGACAATCTGGTTAATTATGACAGAGAGCTGGGATGCGAACAGACAAAACAAAAAGTAGTTACAGGAAAAAAAAGGCAAAACTCCAGCACAAGGGTGGAGCAGAAATCATGAAAAAAAAGGCAGCAGAAAAAGCAATAACAGGAGAAAAAGAAAATACAGATCAAATGACAGACGGCCATTTGATCTTATTATTATTATTATTATTATTGACAGGCGATGGATGAACAAGGGCGGCGGGCAGGCTGTAAATGTATTACAGTGACAACCAGGCAGCTGGTAATATATATATACTGTACTGCACCGGTCAATTGGCAATTGGGCATATAATTGATATATAATTGATATATATATCACTTTGGGCTGCCAGCTGTACTGTATATGTACATGTACTTTACATTGCTGTACTATACTGTACTGTTTACCATACTGCCCTTGTATTTACAGCCTGTTTCTCCTTGAAGCTTCAACTTCTCCTTTGCTCTCAATTCCTCCTGGCTTCAATTCCCTCCAGCCCACTTTATATCCCAGCGCTTGAAAGTGCTTGTGTTGTGGTGGGAAGAAAAAGTGAGGATATCCCAGCTGCTGTCCTGGTCGGTCTGTCATTGTTCTCATTATTAGATATATATTACTATACTACTACTACTACCTTTTGTTCCTTGGACCGTGCTAGGTTTTTCCTGGCCTGGCATTTATTCGCTGGTCTCTTCGCCCTGCCTGTCCTGCCTACAACAGTATCCGCCCACCACCACCACCACCTCCACCTCCACCTCCACCACCTCGGTCGGGAACACACATCTCCCCCTCCGCTTCAACCCTCCCCATTTCTACCGTCCAACCCCTCTGCGCATAGTATTCCATATCGACGCAATCTCTAGTACTTGCTATCCAGCTCTGCAGCACCGTTTGTTGAACCAGCCGGTTCCTGCGGGAAACTAAGCGGGACCAGTGCAAGCATTTTAACTTCCCGAGCCACAACCAAGGATTCGAAAAGCGAAAGCGAATTGTGACGTCCCCGAACTGCTGGGCTCCTCAGCGCTTTGTTGTCAGGCTGTTGCAGGTAATGATAGAATCTCGGTTTCCTTTATAAACGCTTGTTTCCCTTCTCTCCTCTTCCGCCGGTTAGATGTAAGAAACTGATCTCTCTCCCTTTTTTTTTTCCCTTACAATTTAGTTGTACTTCGCAGCAAGCAGATTGGATTATATCGGCCCATGTACCGTGACAGCAAATATTTCTTGTTAGCGGCAAAAGAACCAAATCTAGGATATATTCTACCGTCCTTGAGATTCTCTAGACCCCTCCATCTCGCTCTCAAACCGGGAACGGCTCTGTAAAATCGCCATGCTGCCAGTTTTGCGTGTTTTGTGTGTCTGATGCTGGATATTTTACTCTGCTAGAAATTGATTATTGAAGGCCAGTAGATGGTCTGGGGCTTGGTAAGCCGATTGAAATGATGGAAATGGCAACAGAGGACAAGTCCAAAGCGCACGTTTTACCGGCGTCCCAACCTGGTCATCGGTTGCCCGCCCCTCCTCGGGGCCATTATGAACCCGGGTGGCGCCCATATAATACTTATGACGGCCCCAACCCGGAACATCATGGTGAGACCCCGCGTGCACCACCTGTGTACATGGCTTCGGCACGTACCAACCCACATGCACCTCCCGAAATGTCGTATGGACGACCAGGTAGTATCTCAGCTCCTCCTCCCCAGGCTCCCACTGAGTCCCATCCACCCACTGGCTCGTATCGGCCCATGAACGGCTCCCAAGAGCAGGCGCAGCACCCGCAAGCACCACCGCAACAAGCTGGACCTGGACCTAGCAATTTCCAACAGCCACGGATGGGATACCCTCCGGATGCGCGCCATCTCAACGGCGAAACTCAAGGAATACCGATGTACACCCATGGTGATCCAATGCAACCAATACCTGCCTCACAACCGTACACCTCTGGAGGACATGTACCTCCTACCCCAGGATTGTATGATACGAGTAGTTACTTTCTTGCTCAAGCTGGAATGCCTCTAGCGAACCGTCAACGAAGGACGACGCGAGCTCAGCAGGTAAAATACCCATTTTGCCCCTGTTTGATTAGAGCCATCTGACGGTGGTCTAGGCTTGCGACCAATGCCGCTCACGGAAAGCGAAATGCGATGAAGGTCGACCGGCTTGTAGTCATTGCAAAGAAAATAATGTTCCGTGCGTCTACAAGGATGTTCCTCCTCAGAAGTAAGTTTTATATAGTTGTCTCAATCATCCCAAACAAAGGTTTATAGGAGCCTGACGTGAAACTGTTTGCAAAGGCAAGAGAGGTCGACTCAGATCATCATAGAAAGAATAGACCGACAGGAGGAGTCAGAAAAGGCTGCAAGAGAAGACTTGATGACACGACTAAATGAGATGAAGGCTCTTTTAGCTGGGGTCAAGTCGCAAATAGATGCTATGGCTGGTTCTACTCGCCCAAGAAAACAGAGCCATCTGACGCCGTCCCTCGCGAAGGTGGAGGCAAATGCGAATTTTATCGCAGCAAATCTCAAATCACCAGAAAAACAAACCCCGGTTGAGCGTCTAGACAGCGACGAAACTCGGGTTTCCGAGGGTTACATGAAAGAACTGCACGGTTCTGATGTTGGCGAGCTGTCAATACCAATTGAACATACGACTGCTGCCCATAAGCTACTATTATGGCCATCTATTCAAAAGCTGCTCCCTGAGAGGATCGATGCCGATTATGTGATGCAGCTGGAAGAAAATCGTGGTCCCCTCAGGTTGTATGGTATTGGAGAGGGCGATGACACTTTTGCGGAGAGCCCAGTTACTTCACATACAACCCTAGAGCAAGACCCTACTATTGCATCTTTAGCCAGTGCAAATGTATGGGGCTCGGGTTTTGGATTTCCTTCTGGATTTGACACCAATAGATTCTCCATGCAACCGCATCCAGGTGGATTAACTCCCTACGGTACCTTGAATCTCGAAGCGGACACTATTCAAAGATACTATCAGAGTTATCTAGATAACATGCACGCTCTCCACCCATTCCTTGATGCATCGGCATTGCACCAGATGGTTTGCAATTTTGTTAACAATTACAGCCCTCGCAAACCCGCTTTCTCATTCTCACCTCAAATACCACAAAGCCATAACGAGAGAGTAGCTGCAATACCCAAAGGTAAAAGAAAACGATCCGCCGAAGTGGCCTTTGAAGTAACCCCAGAATCGATTCCTGAAAACACTGGAGCTCTCAGCACTGTAATCCACAAGTCTTTGGATAACGCTGTTGTCCTTCTTGTGTTGGCTCTGGGCTCAATATGTGACGTTAAAACAGTTATACCTGGGCCATTGAACCGGAGCAACAACGCACAATCCCCTTTACAATATCAACAAATTACCACAACTTCCCCGACCCTATCCGATTCCGGGAAACTGTCAGCATTCCATCCTCCAAATGAAGAGTTTTTTCCATTGTCAACGGGACATCACCGAAGATTTTCTGCTGCAGCACATCATTCTACAGATTCCTGGAACTCAACGGATCAATCTGACCCGCCGTTGCGAAACTTGGATATCATTCCTGGCCTAGCATATTTTGCGTTGGCGTCAGATATTCTAGGTGATGTGCTAGGTGGTGGTGGTCTGAAACACACGCAAGCTTGCTTGCTCGCGGCCCTGTATACTGGGCAAGTCGCGCGCCCCTTTTCAAGCCATGCTTGGATATGCGAAGCTGCTCGGGCTTGTCAAATTCTTCTCCGACCGTAAGCCACCATCTTTTCATTTATAGAATACCCCAAGTATAGATGGATGGACTGACCTGTGTCTATTAGCCGCACATTTGATCGTATACCGAAGGGAACGCGCCAGAAAGAGCTAATCAACTTTGCCTTTTGGACGTGTCTACAGCTTGAAAGGTACAGCCATGAACGGTTCCTCGATTCTATTTACTTGAAGCTCATATATTTTATAGTGACATTCTCGCCGAACTGGATCTTCCGGCTAGCGGGATAAGCCGCTTCGAAGATCGGGTTTATACCGAAGCTGGTCTCTTCATAAGTACAAATGAACTACAGACCCCCGATCCTCTTACCATGATTTACTATGTTGCGCAAATTCACTTGCGGAAAGTTTTGAATCGAGTCCACACGGAGTTATACAAAGCTGAGAGTATGTACTCTAGCTTTACAGCCGATGTTTCGTAATTCGCAAAGTGAATGACGAGCGAAGACTAACGTAATAACGTGTTCACAGCACCTGAATCTAGGGGACGAAAAGTATCTTGGTCGACCAAAGTACAAGAAGCCCTAAGCTGTAATCTCGAAGCATGGAGAACTGGACTACCAGACAACATGCGATGGGAGGAAACCGACCCCCCTTCTGACAATATTATCATCGCGCGAATGCGGGCGAAATACTACGGCGCTCGCTATATTATCCATCGACCCTTACTCCACCATGCCCTGCACCCCATGGCCAAATCTCTTCCAGGGACTGCCAATTCCGTCCCATCACCCAGCGCTTCAACTGTGTCCAGTTCACAGTCACAAGCGTCGCCGCTGTCGGCTAACCCAGCTCATCTTCCACACGGTATGGAGCGGCTCACGAGTGATATGGGCCCCCCCAGCAGGCCAGTGGTGCACTCCGAGAACCAACACCTGTCTATCAAAACGCTTGATTCGAAAATCCGTAAGGCTTGCCAGGCGTGTATTGACGCGGCAATACAGAGTACGATAGCATTTGATGGCGTCGCGGGACGACCGGTTGTCACTAATATCTTTGGAACGGCACACGCGTAAGTTCAAAATAGCACACTCCGAGTTATTTCAAATACATTTTAGCAAAAATCCTGACGGAAAAAATTAGGCAATATGGAAATATGCTCGTTTTATCGGCAACCTACATGTCACCCCTGTCACAGCTCGTGGACAGAGAAACTCTCCGAGCATTGCTAGACCGCACAATCAACTTTCTATTACAAAGCCGGCATATTTCCCCGACCCTTAGTAAAGATGCCGAAATACTGACGTTAATTCGGCGAAAAATATTTGATACTCCGACCACAAGTTTTTCGTCCGTTGAGGGGTGACCGAAGTCACCATCGCCATTTCTATTATTGGCGGTTCTTGTGGTGGGTGCTTTTCTCTCTTCCTTCTATTTTCGCTATACATATTCTCCCATCTATATTCTCCATACTTAGTCATATTTTTTTAACTTAATTTTTTTTTCATTTCGCCATGAATTCTTTTTTCCCTTCGGGTTGACGTTGCTGATTTAGTCTATATATTTCTCTTTTGCCTATGCGCTCTCCCCTTTTCTCAGTCTATTTTGTTTTATTGATGTTCAAAAGATCTTTCTATTTTTCTCTTTCAAGAGCTACGTATGTACATGTTTTCTGTTTGGTTTAGCTTCCTGTTCTGCTCTTTTTCTTTTTTTCTTTCAAATACTGCGGGATATCCACTTCCTGTTTTTTTTTCTTTTTTTCTTTTTTCCGATTCACGAGACCCTTCTGGGTCACAAGTTTGGCGATGTGATAGTGTTCAACCCTTTTTTTCTTTTCATTGTTGCCTTTAACTCTACACCGCTCTCGTTATTATCTACTGGCCTATTTCTTTGTCCTCAGGGTGGTGTGGTTTTGAATTTGGTTTTAAATTTTGGTTTTAGTTTTTCGTCGGCTGTTTGTTTTTTTGGATCTTCCTTGGACTCGAGGGGGACTTGTTCATCTCCATATTTCCCTCATCTATCATTTCATCATATATATGGATATATTCCTGTCCATTGGGCGGTCGTTGTGATCTTATATATTATTTTACATATACTTGAACGCGAACCTCTTGGGTTTGAGTTTTACGCGCATTTAGCCTTTTGGTTTATTTGATTCTTCTTGGTCCATTGGATCCAACGATTGTGTTATATTCCAAACGGCGACAATGAGCCCCGGGCAAACGGAGTCAAGACGACAAAATTGGTTTTGAATAGCCCGGTGAGGGAGTTTTTTCCTTTTTTTTTTTTATTTTACCCCTGTATAGACTTGAATACAATAACTAGTGGACACACACTTGGGTCATGCTTCTTGCAAGCCTTATTTGGTCACCCTTTATTATTAGGGCCTGTTCGGTGCGTCCGTACTTTTTGAACGCAATAGTGGATCTCATTAAAAATAGTGTATTTACCAATTATTTAGTAGCAAGCCGGTGTTGTGCCACCACACTATTCCATAATTGAGATCACTCCACACTGGCTTTTTTTTTAATTTCACATTCATCAACGCGTCCGCATTGAAATCATATTCTCTTAAATCTATGGTTGATTTGTCTATATTTAACTGTCTTTATTAGCTAGAATTCATGAAAGCAGTGAATAAGAATATCACAGTATGATATCTCAATATAATATCTGAATGTGAAGAATGATAATACTCAAATCTCTACAATTTCAATCTCACTGAGTCAATAGTCAGATTCTCAATTATTATTATTCTCTCAAACATTCTCTCAAATATACTCTGAAACACTCTCTTATCAAACATCTACTATCTCTTGAAAGTGAACACTTGCTTCTCAAATCAGATATCCCAGAATATCATGAAGTCTCATGATGAAAAAGGCCCTGCTTACTGAACTCTTGAAGATGAAAAAGAAAGGATTGAATACTGACAATGACAACTTCAAACCTGTGAGTTGGAACCTTGTCACACAGGCTGTCAAGCAGTCAACAGGCCAGACAATAATCAAAGAAGTATATGATAATCAGTGAAGAAAGATTAAATGAATTTAAATACTTTGAATAAGACATAAAAATCAGATATCTGACTGAATATATGATCACAGGCATGAAACCTATATCAATAATAAAGAGATTATGAATGAGTATTTCTTCAAACATTCTAATCTTGAAATCTTTTGAGAATATGACTCTGAATTTTAAGAACTTACTGAAGAATTACTTGATAACAGGCTTATCACTGATCAGTTTGTAATTGAATATCATGCAATGATATCTGAAATGAGAGAATCTTCTGTGATGAATTCAGAAACTGAAGAAAGTTCATCATCTTCTGTAATAAACCTGTCAGTCTTCAGAAGTATCAATCATGTGAAAAAACACTTAAAATCAGAGAATATTGATGAGAATATTCAAAATCTGACTGCAGCTGTAAACAGTCTCAGTCAGATTAATATGCAGATTGAAGTTAAAAGAGAAACTGAGTAAGTTACTAAGCTATTTATAAGTGAGATGCAGAATCTACTATCAGAAGATTGAAAGATTAACAGTAAGATTTCTTATCAATAATATGCTATAATTTCACACTGTTTTCTCAACATTCAAGAAGCTCAGCTGTATCTAGGTTTGAAATATAGCTTAATCAGTGTTCAGTAAGATTATATTATACAGATATTAAATGAGATATCACAGTCACAGTGAGAATAGTAGAAGAAATGATGAGAAAAGTAGTGATGAGAGTAGTAATGAGAGTAGTGATAAGAGCAGTAGTAATAATACTTTTAAATTATTCTTTTTATATCTTATTTCTTTCAAAATAATCAAGAACATGGCTGAATTTTACTCAATATTACAATAATGATGAATTACACTTATAAACATGTGTTTTAAAACATCACAACTTTTTGTATGAGATGATTAGGTGATTTAGAGCATTTTATTGACTCATAAATTATAATATGATATTATATACAGTGAATACATCAATATATTATCATTTCATATTTTTAAAAGTGAAATTATGTGTAAAATTCAACTATTTTTGTTAAGATATATGTAAGCAATCTTGATTCATGCATCAATTGTATGTGACTTACTGATTAATCTTTCATATTTTCAATATATCTCTTATAGAACTCTCACATTTTCTCTACAATCTGATCTCTTCTTCTAATCATCTCATCATTATTCTCTCTTTCATTCATTATATTTAACTGTTCTGGCTTTATTTCATCATTCAAATTCTTCAGATTAATATCATCTAGGTCTTCATACTTATTTATGAAGTTATAAAGTACTGTCAATGTAAAAACAAGATTGATTTAAGTAATAATGAAGAATTCATCTCTTTCTTGATTGTATATTTAAAATCATTATTTAAATACTCTGAAAACTCACTCAATTACACTTTACAAACTGACATGTTAAAGATTGAATAATTCCTTCTTATTAGCAGATTATTTATCTGTCTTTTCAAACTTCTTGAGATGATATCACACATCAGAATAAGAAATCAATATTATAAAGACTCTTTTTGAATAATCAGCATCTGTAAGAAAGTAGCAGAGCTTCTTCACTGAAAAGTTATCATACTCTTAAGCCAGATTAAAAATACATATATCATGAGCAGAACCTTTCATTTCTGAGTATATATATACAAAGTTCATCTTAAAATCATATACTGTCAGAATGTTCTGTGAGATTCATTCTTTTCAATTTCATCAGTCAGATTACTGATTAGAAGAAATGAATATTAAAAGATAAGTATCATCTAATACTTTAATACAATCTCTAAAGAATAATCACTGCTTAGAATTACTGCTGAGTAAGTCTTTACTATATTTCATAGAAGGTTTTGACAATTGTACAAGCTGACTGTAAAGCATACAGAGTGCTTTCAATATCTCATGAAATACTCTATATAAAATAAGTGAGTATTTTTAAAATAATAAAAGTCATATTGTAATGTGGCGGAACTGAAGCAGTGACTAGTTAGTGGCATCATGTAGAAGTAGTTGTTTGAGAAGCTGTATAAGTGAGCTTGACTATCTTGCTTGAATAGTGAGCTCATAGACTACAAGGTTATTGCAAGGATATCACAGATATGATACTTAGTATACTAAGAAGATTGTATGAAGCACACAGTAACTCTCATATATATTTCAGTAGAAGAAAAATGAATTGCTGACTTCTTTGATGAGAAGTCAGCATCTAGCTATTCTATATAGATAATGAGTGAATACTCTCCTCTCATTTCATAAGCAAGAATAGCTGAAGTGATACCTCAGCAGCACCTCATTACTAAGAAAGAGTAATCTGCTAATCTTGTATAGAAACAGGGTTCTTATATTCATCAATCAGATCTTTCTATGATATATCTGAATGATGTCATAGAGTGATTGAAAACTGGTTCAGACAGGATGAAATCATCTGTATGAAAGTGATGAGCTGTGTGAAACTGTAACAGAGTCTTGATATGACTGAGAGTGTGATAATACTCTTCTTCTTAAGAGTATAGTTTCTATGTTCTCAAGATTACTGAATTAGGAATTATCTTTGTTGTATAGCAACAGTTGTCAACTGATTAACAGTGTGTGTGCTGTATATGATATAAAGAAATAGATGAGTTGTTCTGCTGACTGCATAGATCTTCCTTTTTCCATCTTTGTTCAAATCAAATGTGTGATAAGTGAGTTTCTTATATATCAATTTGAGATGAAGAAAACATAGTTAATAAGTGACTTACAGATCTCTCATCATATTCTATTCTATGTATGAAATTCCCTGCAAAAGTGATATGTTTTAGGAGCAAAGCTGACAGTAGTGACAGGATTTTTCAAAAAGATTCTCTCTCTTATAAAACATTTTTCTTCTCTTCCCCTCAATTGCAACAGTGAGTGCATGGGAGTATTGTTCTTGAAGAACAATCAAGGACTTATTCTGATGTTTTCTAGTGAGTAAATATCTTCATGGTGTGGCAGCGGCCTCTGTGGCTGCCAAGAAAGCCAGATTGAAGGCAGAGACAGCGGCATCACTGAGCCGCGGGAGCACCACTCCCATTGCCACACCTCCTCCTCCTCCTCCTACTTCTCTTGCGGCCGCGGTGGTAGTCGCTGTGCCCTGCAGTGGGGTGTCATCCCTTCTGCCAGTCGGTTCGTCCGTGTCCAGTCCTTCCCCTGCCCCCCCCACCGCCATTGCGACGCTGCCCCCCCCCCCCACCAATACAGTGGCATATGACCCCGTGTGGTCATTCAGAGAGAAACCCAGGGAGAGCTTGGTTCCAGGAACAGTGGCTCTGAGGAGCTCAATCTGTAGTTCCCCTCCCGCATGCCTGAGCCCTGCTCAGAATGCTGCTGAGTTGGGTCTGCAGGGTCCCGCGGTTCCTTCATCTTCTCCCTGTGAGAAGGCTCCAGTGCAGCCTCTGGCCAGTATCACCACTTGTCTGTGCTGCACTAAGCAGCTGAAGAAGAAGGAGATTTTATACATCTGTCTCTTCTCTCACTCTCATTATTTCTGTTACATCTGTAACAATGACTTCTGCCTCTCTGTAAGTATTATCTCACAGAAAGATGTTATATTGACTCTGATAAGAAGCCTAGATGCTCAAGCAGTACAGAGTGAGAGTCTCAGAGCTTCAAGTATTAATAGATTCTATCAAGACTGAGGAGGTTCTTCTTGCTCATCTATAAAAGAAGGTGAAAGCATGAGTCTCTGAGATGAAAAAACACCTCAGAATGACTGATCTTAAGAAGAGATCAGTCAACACTGCTGTTGAAAATATCACAGAGATTAATCACTGATTAAAGAGAATCTCACTTTAATTAAAGCAGATAACTGAAATGCTTTATAAGTTGATAAGTTGATATTTCATGCATTTCTTCTACTCTTCTGCAGTGTCACAGTGCTAACTTCTCAGCAGACAAAGATATCAGTATCAGAGACTTCAACAGTGAAGAATGAGTTTGATGAAGATATGATTATTGATGAGTAGACTCTGATCCCTCTTTTTACTTTTTCAGTGAGCTGCAGTCTCATTAAAATAGCAGCAGTCTGCAGATCAGTAATATTAATCTTTTTATTAATTTCAAATATCTCTTTTCTTTTAATCACTTCAGAAATGTTACACTTGTATAGTCTCATTAAACTTCTAAAAACCCTTTGAGAGAAAATAGAAGAAGAGTGCTACAGAGTCTATAAGACACTGACTTATCACTGTGAGATTATCTCTAAAAAATTCTTTAAGAAAAATAAGAAGTCTCAAGCAGCATTTCTTACTTAACATCTCTGATATATAACAGAGCAGTCTCTATTAACTGTCTCATAGATTGTAATCTCTTTCTCAGCATTTTTTAAATGCTTAAGCAGTTTTCATGAATTCTCTGATAATGAATAATCTTCTTATTTAACAAGGTATTGAAGCTTGTTATAATATGTTCACTTATTCAATATTTTCTTTATAAGATATTCAGTATCACTCTCAATCTTAATATCATTTAACTGAGATAACTCTGTCTCAGAGTGTTACTTATAGAGCTTCAAATAGAAAATATGAAAAACAGAATGAATTGATTTTAATTCTGTGAGTAATTTCAACTCATATATCTGCTTACTCATCACTCTTATTACTGAGAAAGATTCTAGTCACTGCTCACTGAGCTTCTTACATAGTCTTATTATCTTGATATTCTTTGCTGAAAGTAGTACTTGATTCTCTATCAAGAACTTCATTGAAAGATGTTTTTAATTATAGTATTTTATCTACTGCTTCTAAGTATGATGAATACTTTTCATCATCTTCTCATAAATTTTATTCAAAAGTTTCAATCTCACTTTTACTTCTAGTACTGAGAGATACTCTGTTCTCTATATCTGTCTGATATTCTGACTGTCTATTTCTCTCTTTAAAATATTGTCTGTGACATCACTGAGTAATAAAGAATTATATTTATAATAAGTATAGAAAGAAGATATCTTTAAGATTGTATTCTTTACATTATTATATATAAATTCAGTAATCAGAAGATGTTTGAGTCAATCATTCTAATAATATGAATAGAATGCTTAAAGATGCTGTTCTAGTGTCTGATTCTGATGTTCAGTCTGATCATCAGTCTGTGAATGAAAAGCAGTACTGAGAAGATGTCTTATTATAAGATAATAGTAAAAAGCTGATCAGTACTTGCTAATGAAGAGAGATTCTTAATCTGTTATTAACAATTTCAGAGCACTGTAATCATGAATGATGATATCTAAAAACAGGTTAGTTAATTCAGAGACTTTAATCTTTTTATAAATAGAGATATATCTGATCATCTTTGTAAAGTAGTTAACAATGATTAAAATTGAGTCATATTCTTTGACTCTTGTTAACTTCAGCAGATCAACTATGAAATTCATCAATAGATTCTGTTATAAGCTCTTTGAAACAGGCAGTGATGTTAACTCACTGTATTACTTATATCACAGAATCTTTATTCTTTGACAGATATTGTAAGTCTTAATATACTCTTTGACATCTGTCTGAAGCTTGTCTCAAGTATATTTATATTTTAGAAGCTTCTTAGTCTTCTCTAATCTGAAGTACTCTGCATGGAAATTATTATAATGAATTCTCAATAACTTCTGACACACTGCTCTACTACAAGAAATGAAGACTGAACTATTCAGCAGTAGAAGTTCATATTCTTCTAGTTATCAGTGACTTGATTTCTCAGCAGCACTGTTCTGCTCAGAGTCTGTCTCTTTCAAGTTCAAATCAGATTCTTTCTTCTTCAACTTCTGAATTCAAGCTGCAGTAGAGACATTCCTCTTCTATAACTTATTAATAAATTTCAAAAGTAGTCAGATTAAAAGATTATAGACTGTTTTATTCTTTATCAATTCAATAATTGTAAGATATGATATGAGAAGCTCATGATCTTCAGTATCAGTTCTCTACAGAGACTCAGATTCTCTTTCATCTTCTATACTGAGTTGCACAGCTGTCTCTTCAGTGCTGTTTCTGAGTTTTAGAGAATCTCAACTCTCTACAGCCAGCTTCTTCTGCAGTGATGATAGAGATTCTTTTATAGAATTCTTCTCTGTATCAATAATATTATAATCAGACTGTCTAGATAGTGTGTCAGTGAGATTAAGCTGATCTGAATGATATCAGATATAGAAATTATACTCTGAAAGCAGCTCTGCTCATCTGACTTGATATTCTGTCAAGCTCTTTATTATCAAGAAGTAATACAGATTTGCATGATTAGTGAGAACTTACACTGAGTACTTACTATTCTGAAGATAATGTTATCAGATTTTAAAGAATTCAATAATTACTAATATCTTCTAATTATAAATATCATACCTTCTCTGTATGAGTGATAACTTCTTGAAGAAGAAGATCACTGATCTTTATTCACAGTGTCTTATAGACTTCATGAAAAAGCCTTCTCTTACAGACAATTCATTGCCTGTTTTCTCAGAGATGATTATTCTCTAATTCTTTTAACATTGAAAGATCTTCAGTGTCAACTGTGAAAAGATTTCACAGATCTCATTCTCAGATATATCAGTCTCACACTGACTGAATAAGTCAGAATTAAAGTGATTCAGTATTATGATATCTGTGAAAGCTTGTTTCAATTCTGTAAATGCCTGCACAGTGTCTTAAGTGAGAATAAACAGTCTTATTTTCCTGTCTTTCACACTTCTCTTCAACAGATCTGTAAGAAGAACAGTAATCTGTGAATATGTATAGATAAATCATCTATAGAAATTTGTAAATTCTAGAAACATCTGCATCTTGTAATATGTTCACAGTGCTGACCAGTTCTCAATAATAGAGACCTGACTTCTGTTCATTGAAATGTCATTCATCTTAATAACATAATCTAAGAAATCAATCTCCTGCATGTAGAACAAGCATTTTTCAGTGTTTATATAAAGTTGATACTGTCTCAAGCAACTTAACACTTCTCAAACATGAATATCATGTTCTTTCTTCATTTTTGAGAAGATTAGAATGTCATTCAAGTATACTATGCAGAAGACATTGACAAGGCCTCACAGTGTCTCATTTATATAGATCTGAAAGATGACTGAAGTGTTACAAAGACTAAAAGATAAAACAAGATATTTAAAATTACTGTACTTAATACAAAAGACTGTTTTTCAAATATCATCTTTGTTAACTCTGATTCTATGATAGATATTCTGTATATCAATTTTTAAGAACATCTTTACTTCAGATAATCAATTAATCATCTTATTAATCAATAGTAGTGAATAGCAATTCTTAACTATCATCTTATTAAGATCTCTGTAGTCTATGCATAGACATAGTCTATCATTCTTCTTGAACATAAAGAGTATAGATGCTTCTGCTGAACTCTTTGATGAATATATTCAGTTCTTTGATTATACTTCTTCAAGATATTTATGCAGAATATTCAACTTCTTTATAGACAAGTTATAAAGAGATCTGTACAGCACTGTTACACTGTCTTTAAGATAAATCTTATATTATATCTTGATATTAGAAAACTTCACTGCTTCTCTTTTCAAAAAGACATTCTTAAAATCTGTAAAGAGATGTTATATACATTCATCTTCAATGATGAATACTGCTGCTAATCTTACAGTGAGAATAATAACTTCTTCATCTGTTTCTAAGTCTCAATCATCTGCTATACAGTATATTGACTCAATCTTTTTCTCAAGATTCTTTTAATGAAACTCTTCAGATTTCTCTATCACTGTCTCTTCATCAGTGAGATGATACTGTCATGTCTGAGTGACTCAGTCAATGAGAGAATTATTTTCTCTCAATTATAAGAGATCTAGAATGATGTTCTCATCTATGATATTGACTGTGTGAAGAAGCAGACTGCTTTTCTTAAAGATTTCTTCTGAGTCTGTGATCACATACTTTGCTTAAATTATGCTAAAACAGTGATATTTCATTTCATCTGTAAATTTCATATAATCTGACAGATCTATCTTCTTTCAACTCTTTATCAAAGAAAAGAAATAGAATATGAAGTTGATATCTATCTCAGAGTTGAGTAGACATCTCACTGATATCTTCTCATTTGAAGTATGTATTATGATTGTAACATAAACTTGAAGATATGAGAATTATCAATTCTTTTCTTTCTCTTCTTTATCTTTCATGAATATGTTTGTCAGAAGAGAAGTTGACTTTGAGAAGATGTCTTCTCAGTTTCTTCTCTTCTTCAGCTTCTTGCAATCACTGATATAGTGATCACTAGCTTTGCAGTTGAAATAAAGATCTTTATCAAATCTTTTTTAATATTTCTTCACAGTGAGTGAAGAATCAGAATACTTAAAATTCTTCTTTACTTTCTCTACACTGAAGTTATCATGATACTATTTAGATTCTGTCATTGATTGCTTAGAAGAGATCTTGTTAATCTTTTTCTCAGAGAATTAATTATTCAAATAGATCTGAGAAGTCAGATTGACAAGCTCAGTGCAATTAATTGATGAACTCTGATATTATAATATTATTGTTCATATCTTGTGAGTCAGCTTTGTGAGATAAAGCTGTGTTTTTAATTAATTCAAATCATTAATCAGTTTCTCTCAATATTCTTCAAATCTTGCATTGAAATCAGAAGAATTTTCATTATCTTATTAATGTAATAAGTTAAACTGCTGTATTACTGTGAAGCTGCAGTTACAGTGATCTTTAATTTAATTCAATAGAAAGTTCTTGAATTCTTCTCAAGTCATGATAGTATTGATACACTCAAGCTCTCTCTTCTTAATAGCTTAAGTAGTCACAGAGATGCCTTCAAGAAGGTTGACAGTATATATTACTTATATCTTATGAGTATTATACTGGCTCAGATTAAGGCAGAATTTCTGTTCAAGAGTACAGATAAAGCTGTGAAATTCAGACAAGATATTTCTCTTATATCTTGATAAATCTCTGATCTTAATCTCTCTATCTTTATAATAGATGTAGGTATGTAGAGGCTGTGATAATGACAGAGTGATTGAAGAGCTCATGTCAAAATATGCAGTGAGTTCAGAAATCTTGAATTTCTGCTGAGATAGAGGTGTACACACTCTAGAAAATGATGTAGTGTTTCCCTCAGAGAGTGAGGTCAGATCAGTCTCAGTGTGAGTACATGAGATCATATCAGTCTATTAGAGCTCAACTGATTCAAATGTATAATCAGAAGAAGTAATTCAAATTGTAATGTGATAGAACTGAAGCAGTGACTAGTCAGCAGTGTTATATAGAAGTAGTTGTTTGAGAAGCTGTATGAGTGAGCTTGACTATCTTGCTTGAATAGTGAGCTCATAGGCTACAAGATTATTGTGAGGATATCACAGATATGATACTTAGTATACTAAGAAGATTGTATGAGGTATACAGTAACTCTTGTATATATTTCAGTAGAAGAAAAACAAATTACTGGCTTCTTTGATAAGAAGTCAGCATCTAGCTATTCTATATAGATAATGAGTGAATACTCTTCTCTCATTCCATGAGTGAGAATAGCTGGAGTGATACCTCAGCAGCGCCTCATTGCCAAGGAAGAGTAATCTGCTGATCTTGTATAGAAGCGGGGTTCTCATATCCATCAATCAGATCTTCCTATGATATATCCGAATGATGTCATAGAGTGATTGGAAACCAGTTCAGACGGGATGGAATCATCCGCATGGAAGCGATGGGCCGTGTGGAACCGCAACGGGGCCTTGGCGCGGCCGGGAGCGTGACACATATTATAATTATATAAGAAGCTAATTCTTACTTTAAAACTGTATCAAGTGAATACTCAAACCTTTTCACAGTATCTTGATATGAAGATTCTTGTGCAATAATATAGAGAAATATCATTACTTTCTCTTTCATCTTCATCACATCTGTAACACTGAATTCAGGAATAGTTATATGCTTTTTAAGAAGAATAATGAATTGAATGAATGTTTCTTGATAAAGATGTGTGATATTCTTAATACAATTAGAGTGAGTATTTGAATTCAGCAGCTGAGTAGTATACAGAGCACTGTTGAAAGATCTTTCATATAATATTCTTTTCTGCAATATCAAAGAGATTCTCATCATCAGATTCATCATGACTATTTTAATGAGCAGTTATTGACAAGAACTGATATACTGTTGAATCATGATTTGTAGAATCTGCTTATTCATCTTGTCATCATTCTGCTGTTGACTATTTTTTATGCTGATAATCTTTACTGATAATATTCTTCTGTAGAATAGAGAAAGAAGGAGCTTATAAAACATGTTCTTTTTAAATGAAGTTCAGAGTCTGTTCAAAAAGAATGTGTTTTTATAAGCTTCTTTCTAATCAATATTAGTTAACTGTCTTCACTATGAACACTATTCTACACTATATTGTCTCTAAAAGCACTATTCTACACCATCACACATCATTGAAGTTAAATATAACTTATTCATAAGATCTTGATAAAAGATCCAAGTACAGCTGCTCAATCTACTAAACACCTGGCCTTTTTCATCTGTACTTTGTAAAAAGCAGCTGTACTATTAGTACAGACACTCTGTCCACTGAACAGTCATGATATTGGGGCTGTACTTTTTAAAAAAAGTGGAGATCCGTACAAAAAGAACGAGTACACACGGACGCACCGAACAGGCCCTTATTATGATTGAAAAATTATTGGCGAGAATTAACCGAGGCACCAACTGCAGAACGCTTCTTTCTAATTGGGGCTTTGGGACTCGCTATACCCCGTACTACTCCGTACAGGGTTTGTCTGCAGGCTGTTGGTGTCGGCGTTGGTGTGCCGCAGGGATGGAATGCTGGGTACTGGGTAATGAGGACCAGGAGTCTGGGTTTCCATGCATGTACTCCGTACAGAATACAGATTTACTCTTCACGACGTGCACGGCAACTGTCGTGTCTACTACAGTATGCACTCGCCTACAGAGAGGAGGAATACAAGAATGCCGTGGACGGTGGATGTTTCTGGGCCACCTCTGCCGACAGTCGACAGCGGGGAAGCGGTTAATAAGTTTGTTAGTTAGCTTCCAAGGTTTCTTCTCCACAATACGCTAAACAAATAGTTACGCTGTAGTTAGTTCACATGCCCAGGTTCTTTGCTTGTCCCTCGGATCTATGGTATTGCACTAGGATATGATAAAACAGTGAAATATTCGCTGATATTATTTTCTTTGATATTTTACTTTCGTTTCGAGAACTTATTTTTTTTTATTCGATTATTCGTTTCGTAGAATCCTGTGGCCTTTTATTAGTTATCCTTGTATCAACTGCACCCCTTCAAACTAACAATGGCATCTCGCCGTTGGCCATCCCGTGAAGGTAAGGACAAAGGGGCTTGAGATGCAACCCCTCATAAAATCCAATTGACCGCTAACAAATATCATCCGTAAAATAACAGGCTTCACAGCCGATGTCGTAGGCCACCTCATCAAAAGTACCGCCCTGGCCCCATCTCTCACGCTCCCTCTTTACCTCCTCTCCCAATACACAGCCAAGGGCAGAGCAGTTGCCGCAACCCGGCCACAGGGTCTCAGAGCTCTCAAGTACCTCCTAGCGATCGGCCTCGTCCGCAGCCTCAATGGCTTGATAAACCGATACGCCCTCAACCATGGCACGTCAGACACGTACAACTGGAAACAAGAAATCGCCATCGTGACCGGTGGCAGTGACGGGATCGGGCGACGGGTGGCCGTCCTCCTCGCCGCGCGCGGCGTCAAAGTGGCCGTGCTGGACATCCAGCCGCTGAAATACCACCCGCCCGCCAACGTGCGGTATTTCCAGTGTAACATCGCGTCCGTCGAAGCCGTCGCGGCAGCCGCCGCGGAGGTGCGCGCCGCGCTCGGCGAGCCGACCATCCTCATCAACAACGCCGGCATCGCCTCGGGCCTGACGATCCTGGACGGCACGGAGGACAGCACGCGCAAGCTCTTCGACGTCAACACGCTCTCGCACTACTGGCTGGCGCGCGAGTTCCTGCCCAAGATGATCGAGCGCAACCACGGGATGGTGGTCACCGTTGCGTCGCAGGCCGGGTATGTGGTTAGCGCGAACATGGTGGACTATTCGGCGACGAAGAGTGCGGCGGTGGCGTTCCATGAAGGGTTGACGACGGAGCTGGTGACGCGGTATAATGCGCCGAAGGTGCGGACGGTGCTTGTGTCGCAGGGCTTTGCGAGGACGTATCTGTCGCGCGATCTGAATGCGGAGAATACGTTTTTTAATCCCCTGCTGGAGCCGGAGACGGTTGCGGAGGCGTTGGTGCAGCAGGTGTTGACGGGGTCGAGTGGGCATATCATGCTGCCCGGTTCGACGGGGTTTTTTGCTAGAACTCTACGAGTGTTTCCGTATTGGTTCCAGAATCGGATGCGGGATAAGTGTGAGAGGTTAATGAGGCCGCCGAGTATGAGGTAGGAGTGTAATGGTTGTTGAGTGTGTGTGTGTGTGTGTCAACAAGGATATTGTCAGGGGTTTCCCATGTATGAGTGTGTTTGCAGGGATCAAGATGTCTTTTGCTTCCTTTTTATATATCAGTTCCTTTACGTAAATGCATGTTTTGATAATTATTTTAGGAGCAATAATATCGAAGGACTGGATCCGGATTTTAATCGTATCCCTTGAGTATCCCCTGAACGAGTCAGCTACTTGCACGCCTATGATATGGGTTAAAAAGGCAAGTATTAATGCGTCTCCAATTGCTTGCTCTCCCCGTGAAAAACTTTCTGCTCTACCCTTCGTACCATTAATTTTTATACACCTAGGTAATCTAATATCGGTAATAAACATAACTGATTCAACAGGCTTTTCTTTGAAAACCCTGTGATAACGTTCTATGCAGTCAGCATAGAGCCCCCTAGACGACCATATCCAAACTGCGAAAGAGGGATAGAGAGACAGGCACCGACGCACTCGATACCCAAGGTTACGGCCAAAAATGCCTCCGATTCCACCGACCTGAATAAAGCACTCTGAAAACAACAAAACCACCTACGGACATCACAACCAGCGCCGCAAACATCCAATACGAAGTCCAGAACCCAGCAGAGGACCCAGCCTTAATAGGTGTAGCTTCCGGGTTAGGTTTTAGTCTATCACCCTCCCCATCCGCCGGCCTTGCGATGGGCGCTTTGATCCAACCCCTTTGATCAGCGGCCACGATACCCTCATGCCAAGCATCCGCAATCGACCTATACCCGTCATCAGTCGGATGAATACCATCAGTAGCATTAATATGTTGAGCGGTAACCCTCGCCAGATCGACGAGGAGCACATGTTTCCCAGCCCTGTTCCGTTGCGCTATGACAGCGGGCAACGCGGCATTAAACGCAACTTTGCGCGCTTCGCGATTTGCGTCTAGCATGGGTGGAATGGTCGCAACCAACACGACGGCGTCCGGACAGGCCGCGACAATATCGTCGACGACGCGCCCGAGCACCGTTGGCGCGTCTTTCAGATTGATTTTGAAGACTACGTCGTTCGTGCCGGCGAGGAGGAGGACGATGCTGGGGCGCTGGGCGTAGTTGGGCTTTCCGGTGTCGCCGACGGGGCCGATGGGGAATCCCTTGTGACCCTCATGGCGGTTGTTGCTCATGGAACCGTGCTTTTCACGGCCGATGTATTCTACCTTGTTCCCGCCGGAGAGAAGGAGGTTGTAGAGTGGTAAGCGATATCCATTGCCATCGCTGCTGCCTTGTCCGTAGGTGATTGAGTCTCCCAGGGGTAGGATTCGTAGGTCGACGCCTCCAGCAATGGCTTCGCTATTTGAGACTTGAGAGAGATATATTAGTGGTTATCTTGCTTGAATATTTCGCTCCCATTTCCGAGCCCAAAAAAGGATTACGGCGGTCCGGTGCTGGAGGAACTCACCACAGCTCAGAGCGAAGAATGACAATGATAATATACACACATTGTAGAACCACCTACAGGATGACAACATAGTAAGTAACCATCAACAGACAGCTGTTTTAACGGAGTTGCTTGGATGGATATAAGAATAGCACAGGCGGGGGGGAATGAATTGGAGAGTAAATTAGCGCCAGGAGTCTAACGTTATCAAAGCCCATGCTGGCAGCCGTCCAAGCCGCCTGCTGTACGGTAACTACGCCGCGTAGAGGCACTTAGGCAGGCGATCAATGAAATCGATTATTCGATTTTCAACTCCTCGGCGGTTGCATCTGGCTTCGTCTCGTCCATCTTCATCCCCCAAATCCCGGTGATTGGTGGTGTCAAAGCAGATGATAGCTGGTGAGAGCCGTCAGTAGAGCCAGGATTTAGAGCCAGCGGATTATTCTCATGCCGCTTATTCCTCGAGAGTAGTCCCAGAAATCCCTGGATGTAACTAAATTTGCCAGCATCGCTTACCATTAGGACGACGATGGGGCAGACACGGGATAAATGAAAAAAAAAAAAAAGCTTGAACAGGATAAGAGTCCTGGGACTCTGTCATCAAACCTCACCCTTTCGGCTGCAAGCTTGATCAGATAGTGTTAGCCAAAGCGAATAGTTCCTGGATGATATGTCTGATACTAGGAGGATTTTTTTTTTTTTTTTTTTTTCTCTCCCTGTTTCAGGAGAACCTTGATGGATTTGGGAGCATTTCAAGGATTTTGAAATGCATACACATATATACCCATATGTATGTATGTAGTCTGACGATCTGTCGATTGGAAGGGAAGATACATACCAGAGGCTCACACGAATTCTCAGGGTGCAATTACAAGACAACCAACCACCACAACCTCCAAGTGAAGATGAGTCTGAGATCGGAGTTTGCGGGTGTGGTGTTGAAAATTTGCAAACTGACGCATCGACAGCATACCCAAGCCTCGAAGTGGACTCGAGGACTGACTCTAAGTTCGCATGAGAAGCAAGCGCTGGTAAACGAACCGCCGGAAGGACCACAACTTCCGGCGGCTGGTTGGCAAGATAGAAAACGTTGGAGAACGCGGTGGATAATCGGTTGCATCCACGATCCCCCAAAAGAAACTTCAACTAATTATGTTTTTTTTTTTTTTTTTTTTTGCGTTTCTCTTTCTTGACAGACCTAAAGAGCCTGCCGGCGCAGATCAACCGATCTCCGCCTAACAAGGATGGCGTTCTCAAGGGGACCAGATTAGCCGCCATGGACCCTCGGAGTGGTGGAGATATTTTTCTATACCACCAAAATTGGCAATGCCAGCCTGCGCTATATCACTTCGAGCCCAGAACGCGTGTGGCAGGAACTCTCCCACTCGACGATGCGATGCTGCATACTCCGATCGCAAGCACATATACTGATTCCAACGGCATTATAACTGTCAGTTATGGTTATGCGGACCATGCCTTCGCCGCGGCTCGCTGTCTGATGTCGACTTGCTAATCGTGCTAATCTTGCCAATAGTGGTGGCTATTCTACTTGGATAAGTCGAACGTGATCCAAAATATCTACTCACGGGGTAATCCCACAGACTGGCAGAGGGGCAATATTGGCAGTAAACGGTACACTGTCCCCGCTCAGAGCTCCATTGCCTTCGAAGAAGATGACAGGTGGAGTGATGGCTCCGTCTTCCCTAACACAGATGGCCACGGTGGCGCATCCGTATGGTCTCTAAACAGCTACGCTTATCTATTCACACTCCGCAACACCCAGACGATTGATCTCTGGTGGCAAGACTACAACAGCCAGAGCGTAGACAGGAACAGCTGGCAACTGGGGCCCTCAAGCCATGCCGTCGTCATGGCGAACGCGAGCATGTGTGGGCAATTTGCCTTTGCATACCAGGGCGCCAAGGAGTGGATTCAAGGTAACAATTTCACGGGAACGAGGCCAGAGTTGGTACGGTGAGATACAGCGTATGATATTGTTGGTGGAGGAGGAGGAGGTAGTGACGAGGTCGGTGATACTGCTGCCGCTGCTGCGATGGACGGTATACAGCGTTGAGCTGTTGGTACCTTTTTCCGTCAGACGAGAAGGAGGTACATACATACAATGTTTCATGTATTTTATCAGTCGGAGAGAGGGGAGGTAAGAGAAGCGAAGAGGTACTGGGAGGTAGATAATGCTACTGGTACCGGGGACATGGCATTCTAGCAAAGTGCCTATTAGATAGCAGCTTTTCCAATAATAAATAGGGATAGATGGAGGAAAGTTACAGCTCTTGGGCGGGTCGGTCCTTGTATGAGCCACTTTAATATATGTATTTTATTTGTTTTCTACTCCGTATATCAGGATGTATATCTACAGAGCATTGTTCAGGGGCACCTTATACTCTGTGATCAACGGCTGCACTATTCTGCCTATACTCCTTATTTTCAGTTTTATATCCATATTCCTATGCGTATAACCAACCTATTTGTAATATTATTTATTGTAATATTATTTTAAATTTAATTAATATACACACGTACGTTGTGATGTTATTCCCATTCCCATTCCCAGCCAGCCACAGCCTTGTCACGTTATCCCTCTCCAAAGTCGCCACCCAAAGACCAACCACCACCAAACCTTCATCTTCTCTCCTCCATCTCCCCATCTCTCCCCATCTACAACTCTTCATTTCCATCTTCATTTCCCTTTCTTGTGTATATGTATCGTTTTCCCCGCCCTGATGAATCTATGGCCGTTACGACACACTCTTCTTGTATATTCCGTGGTTGACTTCCCGCGTTCCCCAGGATCCCCAGCCACCCTCACCCGTCAACCAGACTTCCTCCTCGGCAGCCCTAAAGTTAACTTAGATCTTGCGCTAGTTAACTCATAGCCCGCTGGTAAACAACAAACAAACAATTATTATTAACTACCGCTGGCTTCCCCCCAAGATCTGCCATCTATCGCAATATCTAAACCATATCTACCAAATACCTCTTATCTCTACGATACTCGCGATATTGGTTTAACTTACCCATCACATGCTGACATGATACTCACGTCCCTCTCATAATGCTGCGCAGCCTGCTTGGAAAGGCAATTGACCCGCCCGCCTCCAAGTCCCGCCGCCGCCATAGAGACTCTGACGACGTTTCTACCATTTCTTCTTCTTCTTCCCGCCGTCGCAGAGATGATCACAGCCACCGTTCATCCTCTTCAACCTCCGGGCGCAAGTCTTCTTCCACTGCTACTCCTCATACTCCCCGGGGTGACGACCGGGGTATTGACCGTGTAGGAGGAGACGACCACCAGCATGCGCCTGCTTCATCCGTCCATTCCTCTGGTAGATATGGTCGCGATAGTGCTGCCAGATCAACTACGTCGAGCTATGTGACGGCAGACTCGAGAGAGAGATTCGAAGAGGATTATGATCGCCCCGTCCCAAGGTCTGTAAATGGGCGCAACTACGAGAGAAGCTATAATACGCAGAGCATTGATCACGAGCGCTCCAGGAGTGGCGATCGAGAGGATAGGAGGTATCGAAGGGAGAGGGAGAGGGAAAGAGAAGATAAACCTCACTCGCACCGGCGAGCAAGGTCCGAAGTCATTGTTAATAATCCATCTGAATATTCCCGCAGTCGAGCTAGGCCAATGCCACCGTCATCCGGAAACCAAGAGTTCATGGCGGAAATCTCACAGCCTGGATTCTCACAGTTTCCTATGCAATATGATAATACCTTTCCTGGAGCAACGCCTGTAACCGGACCCTCTTCAGATCCCCATCAAATACCTACTTCACATCCTTCTTCTTACCCGCCTCAGCAGTTCCCTGTCGGCCCGCCACTGGTGAATCCAATGGTTCCAACTCCGGCTCCTGCCGCAGCTGCTGGGGAGGCGGCGGAGTATTATGGAGACCAGGGACAGTCAGTAGCGATGCAGCCTGGCGTGAGGCCTAATCCTCCATCCCTCATTGTTGGAGCTGAACCGCATTTAATGGCTGCTTCGTCAACGCCAAATCCCCCCGCTGAACCATCGTCCATGGGACAGGTGGGCCAAGCAGCCGACTTTTATGGCGATTCTCCACCAGATGTTACTAACCAACAGCAGCAACAGAGCAATGGCTCCGGCATACCTGTCCACCATCTGCCGGAGAGACCGCCTAAGCCATCCAAACCGTCCAAACCAGGGGCATCAGGCAAACCGCCAGTGGCTGCTGCGGTGGCAGCAGGGGCAGCAGCAACTTATGGAATCGGCTCACTGATTGGAAGTTCCAATGCCCACCACCCTGCATCTCCATCGGCTTCTTCTCACCATGAATCAGCACCGCACGCCCCCCAGCAACCATATTATCCCCCGCCCAATGGTGCACGTCCACCGAAACCCAACAAGCATCATTCCATGCCTGTGGTAGGTGCTGCTGCACTGGGCGCTGCCGCTGGGTACGCCGCTGCATCAAGTCACACGCCTGCTTTCCCACAGAGACCGAGCACTCATTCAGGTGTCGCACACCAACAAACCTTCCCAACGGTCCACGCAGGCCAACCGGGTTCGTTAGCCTACCACCAACGCCACCATGGGCCATTCAGAAAGTTTATAAATTTCTGGAAAGACCCAGAAGCTGTCGCGCAATATGAGGAATACTCCGAATACATCGGCATCTGCAAGTATTGTTTCGAACCCGGGACTACATCAAAACATGCCCCACGTAAACATCGCCCGTCTAGACGTCGTAGGTATTCTGACGAGTACCGGGATAGCCATGCCAGAGTGGACAAGCTGACTAGATACCCGTCGTCATCTGGTGACGAGAGCCGTCGCAAGAGATCTAACAAGAAATCTTGGCTTGCGGATGGTCTTGCTAGTTATGTTGCCAAGACTCTTCTTTCTGACGGAAGAGACAAGGAGTTTAATGATTCGTACAGTATTCGCTCTGGTCGACCTGCTAGCTCTACGACGAGTACTAGTACTTCGTCTCTAGGGAAGAAGAGTCGTACATCAAAAGGAACTACAAATTACTCAAATCGCAGTCGCTCTCCAATAAGACTTGACCGGGGACATGAAAGAGATGATCGGAGCCGGAATAGTGGTGGTTCTTACGAAACGCCCCATTATGGGGGTGAGAGTCATCTTCGTCGACGTAGCTCGCGCTCCCGATCCAGATCTCATGAGAGGAGCCATTCTGGTTTGAAAACGGCAGCGGCTACCGCCGGAGCGCTCGGTGCTACATCTGTCATATCATCTAGATCCCGACGTAGGAGCCGCAGCAGATCCCCCAAGAAAGCCCGCGGCAGCCGGTATTCGTCCTCGAGCGGATCTACAATTGATATTTCTCGTGACTATAGCAAGCCAGGGTTTGCTGGGCTGGCATCTTTCTTTAGTGCGCCATCTGAGAAACGACCAAAGGTGCATTCGAAGAAGGTGGATTCTAAGCATATGCCAAGCAAGAAGAAGAAAAAAAAGCCATTTTTCAGCTTCTCCTCATCTTCTTCTGAGGGATCATCTGCGCGTTCGTTCTCGTCTTCATCCGATGACGCCGATCTGGCCTTTGGGACAGGATATATCAAAGCACCACACTCTGTGCGTGGTAAACCCCAATCAAAAAGGCGCAATGACGATCGCGGGGTTGATGCAGCCCTGCTTGGACTCGGAGCGACCGCGGTGGGTCTTGCCGCCACTGCCTCCCATATCAATGGAAGACGGAGGCACGATGGTCATTCTTCCACTAGCAGCTCGCACTCGCCACATGCGATCTACACACGTGAGGCTAAGCCTACTACCGCCTCTGAGCGGGTTGATGAAGATGGATGGGAATCCGTATCCGATGAATCCTACCAGTCTAGTGTTGATTCTGCGTTGGCGTACGGTGGACGAGCAGCGTCATCTCTCTCCTCCGACTCGGGCACTTCTAAATGGGGGTGGAGGTGGGGTAGTAAGAAAAAGAGCTCAAAGCCTACAAAGGATCGTGCTCAACGACCGGACTTGGGCCAGAACGCTGAACAGGCCGCGGTTGGAGCTGGATATCCATCATATCAGACCCCTAGCAGCGTGGGTAGCCTGCCGTCTATGCAACATGTTTACCCGACACCAACGCAAATCCCATCGCTGTATGATGTGACGAACCAAAGCTCTTACTCGTCCCAGCCAGACATTCAACCTCAAATACCACCGTTAATGGCCCAAGTACCTGGCCCAGCTCACATCCAACACCCTCAGCCAATAGTCCCAGTATCTCAAGCACTGTATACATCACAGGCAGAACTAGCTCAAACCTACAACGCTCCAAGCGGAGGCCAACCTGCTTTCCCTAGGTCCTCTGGTGGATCCGACGATCGCTATGTCCCTGCCACCGAATCCCACATTGGATACGGAATTGCTCCACTGGTGGAGAAATCACTAAGGGATCGGGACCCCCACCATGACAACAATAACAACCATTCTCCACCGCGCAGTGGGGGTAGGCCTAGCGACGTGCGGAGAAGAGACACTTCCCCTATAATTTCTCACACGCGGGATGAAAGTCCCAGACTGAAGCATGCTAGACGTAGTACTACGTCTCAAGTCCAGTTCGATCTTACGGAGGAGCAGGCAGATAAGGAGCGCCGGCAGTTGCGGTATGAAGAGGAAAGGGAAGCAAGGCGGCGTGCAATGGAGTTCCACTTCCTGGCGGAGAAGGAAAGGATGGAAAGGGAGGAGGATGATCGTAGTGTGGAATGGGAACGGGGCCGTGATCATGAACGTGAACGTGAGCGCCAGCATGGGATCACGGATATCAAACCTTTTGAGAAGGACTCAGCTACTACTGGTAGACGAAGTGATGTGTCTGGTGACTCTGGCTCTTCCTCGTGGGTTGCTCCCCTTGCGGCTGTGGCTGGTGCGGCGACAATCGCATCCTTGGTAAGTGAGTTTGATGATAGGAAACGGAGAGAAGAACGGCGGGAGAAGAGGAGGAAGGAGAGGCGCGGGTACGTAGATGAGAGAGAGCGAGAGATAGAGGAAGAGGAGGAGAAGGACGGTGTAGTATCTGCTGTTGGGCGAGCGGAAGCAGACGACCAGAAGAAGGATCGGGTAGTCGAGACCGAGCCGGACTTTGATATTAAAGACATCCCGACGACGAAGATCCGCCTGGCGAGAATGGCTGTCAATCGTGTTAGGTCATCGCCTGTCTATGACAGTTATGCAGACTATTTCGTCCCGCCAGATGTTCGGTCTAGCGGAGATGAGCACTCTGTTCATTCCCACTCAGACGTAGAGTCTTCGTGCCCTCCTAGTCCTAATATTGTTCTCATCGAACCGCAGAGTGTCCGACTCGAGAGAGAGATGGCGGCAATGTTGGCAGAACAGGAGGTGGTGTCTCACGCCAACCTCCCGTGGCCAGTTCCTCGTCTTAATTTGATAAAACCCACCCCTCCACCGAGCGTTGCGCCGTCTGTCATTGGCGTGGATGACCAACAGCCGCCGCCCATACCACCCAAGGAGCCCGTGGATGCACAGCGGGACATATCCCCGTCTCGGATGAGCGATCCTGCCATTGATATGGATGACCAGCGCGTCCGCGAGGTTGATGCTGCAGATATCATATCCGAACATGTTAAAGCTGCAGACACTGTGTATGAACCGGAGCAAACACAGCCTACCCGACCAGAACCGCAACCACAACCCCAGCCTCAGGAGGGAATCAGGGAAAGGGCTACTTCGCCACTCGAAAAGGAACTCGATGGACAACAGCCAAAGGCGGTGACTGAAGGCGAAGACGACTCCGTCGATGAAGAGATACCGCGCCACGAGCATATGCCCGGTAGCTTCGGAAATGACTTTGAGTTCGCCGCAACCCTCGCTGCTGGAGCGACGCTCGCCGGGTTCAATTCTGCTGTTGTCACTGAGGATCCTACATATCATCAACGTGACTCGCCGCCTGGCTCAGAAGAGGAGGGTGTATTTACTTCTCTAATTGCAGAGGCGATTCTGGAAGGGCGTGGTAGTCCTGCTGGTGGTGTTGAGTATACTGCCAAGACATTCGGATATGTCGAGGATGGGGAGGTTGTGTCCTCTGATGATGAAGGGTTGAAAAACAAGCGGGCGTCCCGGGCGGGTCGTGGAGAGGAGGTGACGGATGATATTAGTAGTGATTCGCGAGACTTGACAGAACAGCGTGAGAAGCAGATGGACACTTCTGCCATTAGGCCGGTTGCTGAAGAGGCGGAGGAAAGGGAAGAGAAGCCGGCTAAACTCTCGAAGAAGGAGAAGCGGAAGAGAGCTAAAGCGGCTAAGCAGGGAGCTCAGGACCCGGATGAATCGTCTGAATCAGTGGAGAGATCCGTTTTTGAGCCAGCTGCCATACTTGACCGGTTCACAGAGGAGCGCGAGCAGGAATCTAGGATCGTGGGATCTCCTATTGCGGAAGCTGGAGATTTTTCGCACATCACTTCCACCACTGACAAGCCAACTAGACGTAATGATACCATGGATGATAATGAGTTTTACGATGCTGAGGATGGATCGCCGCGCCACTTGGGTGATGTCAATGGTCAAGAGGGGCATCGGGAGGCTGGTCCTGCTGTTGTCGGTGATCGTGACGACGATAGAAGATCTCTGAAGGAAAATGACTACGTCTCCGAGTCGCACAAATCTGTTTCCGCGTCTGTTCCTGACTCGTACGGCCTCCATGAGGACCGGGAACTAGGTGACTCTGAAGAGACGGAAAAACCAAACAGAACCGGTCAAGAAGAATCCACGGCAGAGGATCAAAGTCGGCACTCGATGCCAGGGGACTTCTTTGACGAGCCCAAGCAGTCTAAGAAATCGAAGAAAAAGGCGAAGAAAGCTACCAAGGACGCTGCATTCAAGAATAATATTGAGCCTGGACTGGAGCGGGGATCGGGCACAGAAGCGCGAGCTGAAGCTGAACGTACGCCTAGACACACTGTGGAACCTGATCCTGAGCTCGAGTTTCACACTATTAGTGCTAGCAGTAAGAAATCGAAGCGGAACTCCAAGGGGAAAAATAGACAACGGGATTCTGATAACAAGGACGCACCCGCTGGCCCCGCTGCTGGTTCCGACGAAGGGCTCGTCCGTGCCGTTAAGGAAGATGGCCAATATGATGATCATCGTGATAATTTTGCCAACGGTACTGAATCAATCACCGCGTGGGGCAGGATGGAAGTAGAAAGGGACGATGCAGAATCGGTCGAGTCTTCCAAATCCAAGTCAGCGTCCAAGTCCGGATCAAAGCATCGTCACGATGATGGCAACAACGACGGCAGCGAATCAATTACCGCTTGGGGCAGCATGGAGATAGAAGGAGAAGACGCAGAATCAGTGAAGTCTTCTAAATCCAAGTCATCATCCAAGTCAAAGTCGAAGCGTCGGTCGAAGCGCGATAGTGAGACTTTCGATGAGCATGCTCCCACATCCGCTTCTGTTGTGTCTGCACCTGCTAAGGTGACTGATAATGGCAAGTCTGAGCGACGTAAGAGCAAGGATAGCAGTAAAAGGGCCAGCACCGGCGGTGGAGGGTTCTTTGGACTTTTCGGCGCTTCTAAATCTCGCGACTCCTTGGCTGACGATGAGACTCGTGCGCCGGCGCGCGATGTGCGGCCTGAGGCTGGCGTCGATGATTTGGACAATGTAAGTGTTTCGTCCGGGAAGAAGCGGAAAAAGAAGAGAGCTTCGAAGGGGGGGCATGAGGGTGTTGAGTTTGGCGGCGGTGATGGCTTAGGTGGTGGTGGTAGTGTAGAAAGCGCGGAGAAGGGTGAAGAGGATGAGCTGGAATCGCCGGATCGCCAGAGGCGGAAGGATCGAAAACATCGATATGAGGATATTGTTGAGTCAGGGAGGAGTGTAGATGGGCAGAGTATTGTATGTTAATTTAGGAATTCTTATGGTTATTTACTCGAAACAATTGCTTTTGTATTTATGCTGATCTCGGTTGTTTTCCCCGGTTGCTAGGATGCCCGTTCCATAAGATCTAATGGACATGATGATCATCACGACGGTGATGAGGGTAAGGATTTTACGGAAAGTCAGTCTTTTTTAGGCGCGCGCCCCGAAATGCCATTGACGCGTGATGGTGCTTCGGGGTTACTCGGTTCCCCCCTCCAACCGCATGACGAGGCAAAGGGTACTGGTCCTGCTGCGCTCATGCATTCTCGTATGCGGAGCAGGTCCACGTCTCCTATGCCTGGCGAGAGGCTTTTTGATCTACCAACAGCTCAGTCGCGGAGTAGGCCGGGATCACCAACGACAGTCGCCGTGGACAGAAGAGCACCAAGGCTACATATAGACCCAAGCTCGCCTTCCCACATTACATCTTCGCCAACTGCGGTGCCTATACATTTCCGACGGCCGAAACTGTCTGCAGGAGCCCCCAAACCGCCATCTTCAGCTAGCTCGAGTATGCCAGGGGACGTAGCAGGATCTCCCACATCGAACCTTCGTAGCGGTGGTAAACGGCCCAGGTCAACGGAGTTTAAGACCTCCAGGGAGTTTAGGCCATTGTGGTTAGTGGAGCGGCATTCCCCTGCGAAGCTGGATAGACAGCCGGACGAGCCATATCCGTCACTTCCTTCTAGTAAAACGACATCACGGACCTCCTCCGTGGAGGACTTGACGCGCCATAGCCTTGCGGAAGGTTTCTCTGGAGAAGTTCCTCACGATTATCAGTACCATGTCCAGCAATCGTTCGGCCAGAAGCCAAAGCGAAGAAGAGCTCTCTCATTGCAAATAGACACCGACGCCTCCCTGTACGATCCTGATCTCCTAGGATCGCAGCAAGCAACCCCAACCGCGGCAAGTTTCCATGCAGCAGCACAAAAGACTAAAAAGGAAAGGCCCAAGCCTGAGTTTCATTCCCCGTCGGAATTGCTTCTCGACCCCTTTTCTAGCCAAACGCAATTGCCAGAATCTACTACATTGGAATCTGTGCAATCGTCGGAAAATTCTATGAGAGGCGAAAGGGCGTTGATGATACCTGAGGACTGGGATATGGATTTGAAGGAATTACCGCCTCTACCGCGCTCGTTGACGGCGTCGCCTGATCTGAGCGAATCACTACCCCCGTTGCCCGAGAGCCGTCCTTCCACATCCCACTCGGAACTTGAGCCTCAATTCTTCACGCCGTCTGCTGAGCTGGATGAAGAATCGTTGCCTCCATTACCGGATAGCCGCCCATCGACATCTCATACCGACATTGGAACTCAATTGACTAGCGGTTTAATCACTGGCGCAGGAGTGGGTTTGGTTGCTAGCGCAGCGGCACTGCTCATGGGTTGGGTGTCAAGAGACGAGAGGCAGCCAGAAGTAGAGGTTACGCCCGAAACTCCTTCCTTAGATACTGCTGGTAATAATCAAGAGATTACTGCTGCTCCCGAAACTACAAGCGCTGAGCCCAAGATGGACATTACGTCTCCTGTTGAAACTGCCCGCGAAGTAATTGAAGACCCTGTTTGTACGGTCCCGACGCTGGAGGAAGAAGAAGCGCCTCAGCCACAGGAAGCGATTCAGCCAACAGTGCCCGTTGTTGATTTAGCTGCCACTGCTCTAAACGAAGAACCAGCCGAGCCTGCTCTTCAGTCCACAGTACCTAGTACTTCGGTCAGGTCCGCTCCCTTCGGACTACTGAAGGCTGAAGGAAATGATTCCCAGCCAGCTGCCAAGAAATCAAAAAAGCCTAAGAAGAACAAAAAGAAGGGCAAGAACGCAGCTTTCCCCGATGAGACTGAAATAACGCCTTCTGAAAAGAAACCATCTACTAGCGAACATTTAGAGGACAAGGTGACTGGAGAAAGGCAAGAAAAGGTACCCGTTGAAAGTTCGCTGGAAAGGCCTCCTATTTTAGAACCAACAGAGCCAGAACTGCAAATCACTGTAGAACCCCCCGCTCCGGAAGAATTATCTCATCAACTCCCAGCCGAGACTGCAGAACCCGCGTCAGAGCTCTCTACTCAGAAGAAAGGCAAAAAGGGCAAGGGTAAACAAAGGGTGAAGGCTGGTAAAGTTCCGCCCAAGGAAGATACTCAACCAGCTAAGGCTGAGCCTGTCCCTGAACTTCAACCACCTCCTAGCCAAGAAGAAAAGTCAGCGATTGTCGCACCTACCCCAGTGCAAGGCCCCGAGAAGATAACTCAGCAATCAGCCAAGGGATTGCGTCCTGTTGACATTCCTCTACCGGAAGACAATGATTCGGAGCTTTGGGAGCCCGCCACGGTCGGCCTTGGCCCACCCGATCAAACAGAAAAGCCAGAAGAGGTGATTAACTTTGTAGTCAAAAACCTTGACGAGCGAACTGTGCAGGCAACCGAAGAATTTGATCCTGAGAAAATAGAGCTACCAGATGGCAGGGATTCAGAACTTGAGGAACCGGCCATTGACGAATACGTCTGTGATTTAGCCCCAGTTTGCCCGGAGGGGGGTATTATTCTTCCAGACCACGAGGCTGATGAGCAGGTTCTTCAATTGACCAAGGAGCTTGAACCTGCGAGTATTGCGCTCCCCAATGACGACGATCCAGAGCTTGAGGAATTAACTAAGGATGAATCTGTCTCTGGTTCGAGACCACCTTATCAAGGAGAGTCAACTGGTGATTTCACTTCTAATCTGGAGAAGGAAGGAAGAGAATTAGGTCCGCAATCAGATCAAGAACCTAAGCCTGGAAATACACCTCCACTAGAAGATAGCATTGATAGTGTCCAGCTGAAGGAAGAGTTGCTACCGGCTGCTGATAAGCCACCATCTATGGATGCGAGCCTTGATACCAAGGGAGATAGTTCCCCAGCACCGCAAAAGCCAAAGTCTGTCTTCCCCGTGTTACCAGCGGGAAATAATCCTCTTCCTGAGCTTCCTATTGAAAAGGCCGATGAATACACATGGCACTCCGGTAAGAAAAAGGGAAAGAAAGGAAAGAGAGGCTCGAAACCGACTCCGAAGGATGATCTGCCTGAATCTGGGACAATTAACGTTCCCGAAAGCCCAGAAGCGGCTACAGGCAAAGAGCCCACTATCGAATCTCAAGCTTCGGTCATCGATTCCTTACCTCAAGATAATAACGAACACGAACCTGGACCGCAGGTTCTAGAGGAAGTTAGCGCCGCAATGGTACGGGACATGGAAGGTAAGGAAGTTGCAGATATCATCCCGGCCAATGAAGTCTCTCCACATCTGATAGGTGGAGTCGATGCACAAATCGACACGTCTACAAAGGTCTCGAAAAAACAAAAAAGGAAGGATAAGAAGAAAAGGGTTTCGCTGGAAGCGGAGGAGCTGCCACAATCAGGCTCTTCAAAAGGCATAGGTGGCGAGGGAAGGACGGAGGATCAGCCCGAACCTGAGCAATTGACCCCGGCACAAGACAATATGCAGCAAGCCACACCGCTAGGATCACCCGATGATCCTTGTAAGGTCCAGCAAATGACGGACAATGCTCAACACCTAGAACAATCGGAAGAGCTAAGCAAGAGTAGTTCTGCATCACGCTTAGCTGAAAAGGAGCGAACTATCCAAGATCCTATATTGGAAACTACCGATGAACTTGCTATAGATACAGCAATTGCGGAGAACACCATCATTTCAAAGGAAGAGACTGCTGCTGAAGCACTTAAGTGCGAAGAACCGCTTCAAAATGTTGCGCCTACAGTTGATACGCAGAAGACAAAGAAAGGGAAGGGCAGAAAGAAACGGCAATCAGTTACTTGGGAGGATGAAATTCCCCATGCCGAAAGCCACCAGTCAGCACTTGATTCATCCCAAATGAAGGACGAGGAGCCCCCTGTTGAAGTGGAAATTGAGGGGCCCAAGAACTCTAAAGCAAAGCGGAAGGCAAAGAGGGACAAGAAAAAGCAAAAATCTTCAGATTTGACGACAGACGAGCCTTCTGTTCCTCCTGGGGAGCAGCCACCTTTGCCAGTTGAGCCTATTACCGAATACCCTTCCGAGAAAATAGAGCCTTCCGTGAACTTGGAGCCCGATACATCTATAGAACTACCTTCAAGTGCACCTACCAAAGAAGAGAAGACCGAAACACTCATGGTGGACTCTTTTCATGGCCCCTCTATTGCTGTAGAGAAGGTGGAAATGTTTTCCATCCCCGGATCATGGGCGGACGATGACGATCAGGCTCTCGAGGCTCCACATACAGGCAATGACACAGCTCCTCGCGAAGCACCGCCTCCCAACGATGACGGTAATGAATTTCAGATTTCCAAAACTAAGAAGAAGCTAAAGAACAAGAAAAAGTCGAGGCATTCCGATTGGACTGATGAAAATACGTATTCGCAGATAGAAAAGAAAGTGATGTCTGAAGCGACAGTATCCGAGTCATTGCAAGCAACATCCCAGACACAGCCTATCCCTACTGAGCCACGTGAGGAAGACACTATGACACCAGAGCGGCAGCCTTTCCAACATTTCGCCAAATCTACTGTTGACCAGATAATACCCGAAGCACACAACGCCCAGGACCAAACCCAGGCAGCCGAACAAGAACACTTTTTCTCTCCTAGTGAAGAGCCGACCACACCTGAAATTCCCGAAACTACTACGTCGAAACCCCTCCCAGAAACTGCAGAAATCGATGTAACTGGAGAGCCCTCTGAACCTTCAGACGCCGATTCCAAGCAATTGTCTCATAGGGAAGAATCATCTCAGAAGGAAGACCGTCTACCCCATGTGGATAGCAATGATCCCACTTCGATTACAGAAGGGACTCAGGGGTCACCAGCCAATTTCCATCATCCGTCCACAACAGAAATTAGTGATGTCATCCGAGATAACGCTAGAGTGGCTGAAACAACAAAGGATGGTGAAAGTCCGCTCTTTTCTGTTCCAGCTGACGGAATTCTTCCTTCTGAAGCTCTTATCTCCGAAACTGTGACAGAAACGGAGGATCATATTCACCCGACCCCTGTAGAAGCTGCATCGTTTTTTCAGCCACGGGTGGTGCCCCGATCGTTACCTGCTTTTAATGAGACAGGTGATGAAGTAACCGATGTGATAGATAAAGAATTGGATTCTATATTGGATCAAGAACATGCCATCTGTCCGTCGAAAGACGAAATTGATGACAAAAAACCAGAATCCGAGAAGTCAGTGGTTGTTCAATATGGAGAGGAGCGCAAGGAGGTGCAACCTGAACCTGAACCTGAACTTCAACCTCAACTTGAACCTGGATCTGAACCTCACGTGCAATCCGAATCCACCAGCTTGAGTGTCACATCATCTAAAAAGGGGAAGCGAAAGAAGAGCAAGCACCACCGTGAGACTCAAGATGATAGTTCTCGCGCCCCTGATGAACAAGAAACTACGCCTACTCTAGTGGCTTCCACATCCACATCAGAGCCGACTCGGGAGCTGACAGCCAAAATTATCGACGAAGAAACTGCTAATTGGGATACCCCAACAATGAAGAAGAACAAGAAGAAAAATAAGAAGTCCCGCGGCCTTGAAGACAATATCTTCCCCACTAACCCTCCACAGCCAATCGAGATTCTGGATGCTCCAGAAATCTTGACAACCCTTGAGCCCCAGGATGCGAGAGAAGAAGCAAGCCGTGAGTCCTTGGCGGTCACATCCACGAAGAAAGGCAAAAGGAAAAATAAAGTGAAAGCCCCTGTTGTCGGCGAAGCAATTGTGGTTGATGAGCGCTATTTAGATGTTTTAACCCAAACTACGGATGATGCGGATACCTCTGAGCAAAAGGAAAAGTCACTTGGGCGGCAGGAGGCGGATAATTGGGATATCTGGGACACCACAAGCACTAAAAAGGGTAAAAAGAAGAATAAAAAGGATCTAGCATTTGAGAAAGATACGACGCATTCTGTTGAGCCATCTGTCAATATCTTTGCTGACGCTGGTGACGAATTGAACACCCCCGAACTACAGGAAATGAAAACTCAGCAACAGGAGGCTGAGAGCTGGGATGGTCAGGATATCTTGACTACTAAGGCGGATAAAACGAAGAATAAAAAGGCCGACGCTATTCAAGATGAACCTCCAATTTTGGATGGGCCAGCGCGCGAATCCGTTGCAGAGCCTCCTACGCAGATCGACCCTAAGCCTCAGATCGAGCAGGTTGAACAGGACTGGAGTGCGACATCAACAAGAAAGGCCAAGAAGAAAAGCAAAAAGGGCCTAAGAATTCAACAACAGGTACCTCTAACCTTTGAATCAGAACTACTGGAAGGTGCAGAGCGTGGAATATCTGAAGTACCAACTCACAGCATGTCAAAGAAGAAAAAGAAGGGCAAGAAGAAGGATAGCGATACGGCTCTACATCATTCAAATGACACAGAGGGTGAGGAAACTACAAACGCCGTTCAAATTCTGGATTATGCTTCTGCTGGTATCGAAGCCGAACCCGCTTTAGGGGAAACCGCACCCATTACAACAAAATCTCTGGTCGAGGTTCAAACAATGGAAACTCGGATAGAGGAGATGGATGTGCCTGGCAAGTATCGGAAGCCACTTTCTGAACCCCAGGAAATCGCCAACTGCCCTGAGATTGCACCAATGGTAGATATCGGGGAAGAAAATAAGCAAGTCCAATTCGGTGCTAAAGATGTTGCCCTTGTTGAAGAGCCCACAAAGACTGAGTTGACGTCTCAGGAGGTGGACGAGATGGAACACAATGATGTCTTTGATGAACCATCAATGAAGAAATCAAAAAAGGAAAGAGGGATGAATATTAAGTGGAAAAAGAGTGAAGTAGATGTTGAAGCTGCGACGGAAAAAGAAGTTGACAATGGGGAGGAGAAAGTAGGACGGAAGCTCGTTGTTGAGGGAAATATTCCGCCAAAGAGGTCCCCGTCAAATAAAGAGAAGAAAAGGAAGAAAGAACTACAACAATTCGAAGAAGAGCCAAGCATACAGCAAGAACAAGCCTTCATCTTGCCAGAATCTTCTGTTATTGAGGTTCATACAACCGAAAATAAAGTCTCTGCGAAAGAATCACAAGAGAAGACACCAGCGGCCCCATCACAAGAAGCACAAGAAGAAGCGTCGAACATGGAATCACAAAATGAAGATGACGATTACTGGCCACCAATTGATTGGGGAAGGGATAAGACTTGGAAAGACGATGAACCTCAACCGCAGTCCAAGTCAAAGGATCCTGACACTTCATCCCTCGATCTGCTTCTTTCGGGCGATGAGCCACAACCACGCGAGGAACTATTTAAGCAACAACCAACAGGTGCACGGGATATGGCTGGCGATAGTATCGGTGACTTTGATGAAGATGCGAGCCTCGTTTCTCAGGAAACGCGCGAAAAATACATTACAGATGCGTCCTGGGCACCAGCAAGCAGACATATACCCATCGACTCTGAACAAGTTCAGGTGCAACGGCCGGGAAGTGCCCACAGCGATGAGCTCCCACCTATCTCATTGGATGATGACGTCCCTGAAATTCTCCAAGATGGCATTGACGTTGCTGGAATTCTTTCAAGACAAGACCCCATTGGAGAGTTGCCTTCTTTGTCCCCACCCCCGCAATCAACAGACACCAACCGTTCCTTTGAAGGAAATCTCGGTATAGATCCAACCCAAATGCCGGAGACCACACAACCTCCCACTGAACCTTCAGCAGCTACTGAAACCAATAAATTTTTGGCCGTAAGCGGCAACAAGCAGAAAAAGGGGAAGAAAGGGGAAGGCAAAAGGAAAACCACCTTTGGCGAAGACGAAAATGTGAAGTCTATGGATAAACCTCAAGGTACGCTTGGTACAGAGGGGACACCCATGAATTCAAACATTAGTAAGGTGCAGCCCGAAACAGATATTGAACGCTCCGCTACAGTTGTAGAGACACCTAAAGCATGGGAACCCACTTCAGAATTTGTTGTTACTGGAAAAGCGGACGACGTGGATGATTTCTGGGGAGTTGGCAAGAAGAAGGAAAAGAAGAGCAAAGGCCGCGAGCAGGAACAGAATGTCAAGCAAGAAGCCCCTCTGGATGAACACAAGGCTCTATATCCATCGCTGGTGGAAGTTCAAGAACAGCCTGCTGTCACTGCGTTTACCTTGTCAAGGGCGCTAGAGGAGCCAGTTCAATCTCCCCGTTCCGGAGTGGTGGCTAGCGTCTTTCCATTTCTTGAACGGGTATCTAGAAGGCAACCCTCACAAGAAGCGGGCTCTCATGAATCTCCTGCACAAGAGATAACGAGTCAATTTGCGCAAGGAACCTCGACCACTCTTACTGGACAACAGACGATCTCGGAAAAAGAGCCTACATTTCCACGCTTCGTTGAGCTAGCGGTTGATCGTGAAACGATTCCTACGTTTGAAGATCTTATAAAACGTCGGCCAAACCTCGATCCTATCCCGGATGTCCTTGCCGCTGGTGAAGGTACCGATCGTTCAATCGATGTGAGTGACAAGTATTCCAAACTTGAATTGCTAGCCATCAAAGAAACCCGCAAAAGGGAGCCGTCCGCTATGGATCTAGCCTTAAAGAATAAATCCTCTACAACTTCCCATTCTCCTTCGTCGACGCGAGTTGACGTGGAGCATTCTAGCCCGGTTTCTCGTGAACCTCCCCGAGACAAACCGCAACAACCTCCTATAATTCACGACTACTCTAGAAGTGTACTAAGCGGGCCTTCAACTACCCCATCGGATGGTTACCGCCCACTGCAGCAAAATCTGGTCTCTGATTCTCAAACCCCTTCTTCGGAACAGCCTCGCTCTATATTTGGAGGCCCCTACGGAGTTGCAGGTGATCACCATGTTGTAGTCACCCCTCCACGAACACCGCTCGCTACGATCAAGGAGTATGTTCCCACGGAGTCTCCACGCAATGCACGGGGCCGTGATCTTTCTAATGTGGGTTCGCGTGACCGAGGGGTGAAAGCGGCACGACATACAGAAAGTCCACAACTAGCAATTGGACGGAAGCACATTCTACCACAGCCTACGTTTACTCCGGCTTCAAATCTATCTTATCCGGGCAGTGATTTGGCCGGAAGGGCACCGCTACCTCCAACCGCTCAACCAGCCACTTTGGACGTCCTTAAAAAGCGGCGTGTCGAGCGGTCACCCAGGGGCGAAAAAGGACGATCCGCCAGCCATCCATACACAGATGATCTGAGTATCCCTGAACACCACAAGGAAACCACTCGGTCTGTCAGTGCGGGAAGCATCGTCTCCGCAGGGGGATATCCAGGGCTGCGTCGAGTCCACAGTGCAAGAAGTACCGACCTTAGGGCGGCGAGCAAGGAAGCCCAGCCAAGAACACGTGACCGTGATCTCGACGTGGAGGGGATTCCTTCGTCCAGCTCCTACGACCCAGTGACCGACAAAGGGAAGCGTCCGGTGCGTGGCATGGAGGATGTCTACGTAGGTCATTCAGTTTGTCCCTCTTTTTCTATTTTTTGTGACTACACTTTTGCTTTCCCATCCTTGGAGATGATAATAATAAAACTGACCCATGGATGCCCAACCACAGGAAGGCTGGGGGGACGTACCGGGTTCCCCGCGATCGCCAACCCGCCCACCCAGCGTTCGAAGACGACGCAGCTTACAACACCTCCAAGACCTCGAATCCCGCCTCGACCAGCTCGTATCAGAGAATCGTTTACTTTCCACCGCCAAAGCAACTGCAGAGAAATCCCTCGAATCCCAAGCTATCGCCCAACGACAAGCAGAGAAAGCGCTACAAACACGTGACCAGGATATCCGCAATAAGGACTTGGAGATAAAACAACTAAAGAACTCGCTCGAATGGTTCCAGAAGGAGGTTGTCCGCTTAACTGAGACTAGCGATGCGCTTGCAGCAACCAATACACAGCTGGCCGCCTCGCATGAGGCTGAAGTGGGACAGCATGCCGAATCCAAGCAACTCTTGTTCGAATCGCAACAAGGCTTGAGGGAGCTTCAGGAACAACACGCTCACCTGGCTTCTGGCCTGGAAGGAATTGTACAAAACGAGATAAACACTGTTCTGGCAGAAAAGAACGCGGAAATCGAGCATTTACGCGATGAACTAGCCGATACGCAGGACAAGATTAAGCAACTTCAAATACAGATCATGGAGACCATGGCGGATGACGTGCTTATTTACCGAGATGAAGATTACTTTGATGCACAATGTCAAAAGCTCTGCCAGCATGTACAGCAGTGGGTGCTACGGTTCTCTAAATTCTCAGACATGAGGCTATGCCGTCTCACTAGCTCAATCCGTGACCCGAAAGTTGTTTCCCGGTTCGAAAACGCCATCCTTGACGGCTCAGACGTCGATACTTACCTTTCCGATCGAGTTCGACGGCGAGACGTGTTCATGTCAGTGGTGATGACCATGGTTTGGGAATACATCTTTACGCGATATCTCTTCGGTATGGATCGGGAACAGAGACAAAAGCTGAAGACTTTGGAGAAGCAGCTGAGTGATGTCGGACCGCCAAGCGCCGTCCAGCAATGGAGGGCTACCACACTAGCGCTACTCGCTCGACGAAATGCGTTCCATGAACAGCGGGCCAGTGATACTGAAGCTGTTATCCAGGAAATCTACCATACTCTTTCGAAACTACTCCCACCTCCCCGAGAATTAGAAAGTACAATTGTTGATTCGCTGCGGAATGTCATGCGAACAGCTGTGGAACTTTCAATTGAGATGCGCACCCAGCGGGCAGAGTACATCATGCTTCCACCTCTACAACCAGAATACAATTCCAATGGCGAATTAGCCCGCAAAGTCCACTTCAAAGCCGCGCTCATGAATGAGCGGAGCGGCGAGACCACGTCGAATGAAGAGCTCGAAGAACAACAAGCGGTTGTGAGAATAGTGCTGTTCCCGCTGGTAGTGAAGAAGTGCAGTGACGAAGGGGACGGTGATGAGGAGATAGTGGTGTGTCCGGCTCAGGTACTCGTGGCACGACTGGGGAAGGACAAGAAAGTCGTACGAGTGCTTAGTGGTGACCGGATGTCCATTGACCATGGAAACCAATCGATGCAAAGCTTTCCGTCCATCAGCATGGATCCGGGCAACGTAATCTGAGGCGTCACACTCGGTATGATGCTCGTAGTTCATGTGGGAAGTACAAATCATCGCAATGGATGGACAACTTCTACTTCAACATAAGAGGTGTTTCGTTTGCTTCGTTTGCTGCTTTTTCCGTGTTCTTATATTTTTTCCTCTTTCTCTTTCTCATATCAGCCGCTGCTATCGCTACAGGTAGGCAAAATGGGAGGGTTAGCATTTGCCTTTTTTTTGATGTCTGTTATGCTTTATTTCCTATGTATGTGCCATTTATTTCGGGATTCCCTCGATTGTTTGTTTTTGTTATTCCCCCAGTGTTTCCATTCATGTATAGAGTGCCGACGATTTATGACGACGAGATATGACCAATAACTGTATGTTTGTTACGCGTATAGTTATATGTATGTATAGTTAATTTAGAGAAGATGTAGTTCTCCTCTTTTTCCTAAAATAAACAAGTAATGATAATTGCATTCCTATATAATATTTGACTTCTTCGTTGAAATTTCCTGGTCGCAGAACGGCGGTGCTCATCCCCAGTGTTTGCAGCTAAATAAACAGAATCGAGATTTATTTTTAGTCTTAACAAAGGTGAATGAGACAAATCCGCCTGAAATAAAGTCTTTTTGGTGTGCCTCAATCATATTCCAAGTTCCATCCCACGATCTGTTCCATGAATCGCCTCCTTCACGAACTGCCGAGAGCTTATTTTTATTCCAGACCTTCCAACCAGCTCTTCACCAACCAAACAAGAAAACACCACCACTCACTCCTCCTCCGCCTACAGATGCTACCGGTTACTGCTGTCCTGTCCGACCTGCATACGGTAGACATGTTTCCTCCATGAATATACCAGCTTTGGTCTTCCCTTGATTCTCTTTCTGTCATGGATCCTAGCAGCCACGAGAGCCCTGAACCTGAGCATGGGATCTCTCTCCCACCGCCGGCCCAGCCCCAACCAGCACATAGGTCTTCAGCCAGCTCACGGCCTCCTAACGCGAGTGGAACTGCCCAATCGCAATCACGGCCTGTCCCAGAGCCACCAACTGACAGCACTGCACCAAAGAAGCGGAAGCATCGTGGCCATCGAAGACGCAAGCACCGCCGGCCATCCTTTGCCCCGCGGCTCGACACCGCCGGACCTGATTCCGCTGATACTGATGAGCGAGCTGGCGCCTCTCCCGAGCGAGGAGAGGGTGGACCTGAACCCACCGGTGCATCAGCGTCTCAGCGCCGTGCTTCCATTTACCGCCTTGGCCAGCTGGGCCCGAACAACTTGAGTGAGACCAGTTTGGATAGCGATGCTTTGTTAGATCACAGGTATGCAAGGGCGTGCTTATATCACTTCTGCATTGTTCATCCGCTTTATATATATATATGTACGCCCAGTCAGTTGATAGGGTCATAAAGACATGGGAATGTGAAATTAACTATGATGTTGGGGTTTGATATATAGACGCCAGTCAATGATGCGCCCGCGGAGGGAAAGTCGACTTGCTCAGAGCTATCGTCCGGAACCACAGCCACTTTCCTCTCGACCCCCGGGTAGAGCACAAGGACCTATTTCCCCGACACAAGCGATAGATGGGGAGGAATCCGAGGAAGCTGACGATCGAACGCCGTTGATAAAACCCAGCTCTATTCACAACTCAAGCTTTGTGCGGTATGGGACCAGTGCAGGTACAGGACAGCGCTCAAATGCTCCCTCGCCCAAAGGAGGCACGTCGGAAACGTCGTCTTTCCGCTCAACAGTTCCATACTCTATCGGCACGGCCCAAAGTTTAAGGCGAGGATACGATGTTAACAATCCGCCATCTGTGCCCGGAAGTCCTCACATGGGGCCGGATGCTGCCTATGATGACCCGATGATTGGTGGCCATGACTTCGATCACACATCTCCAGGTATCACTAGCACTGCCAGTGTGCCCTGTCATGTCATAGACGTTGATGGGGAAGGACATGCCTCTAGGAACGGTTCGTCAGCTGCTTCCCCAACATTTAGGCCTCCAGACCTCCAGCGACGACGCACGGTTACTCTTCCTGCTGAAGAAGACGTATGCTTTCCAACGGGTGCATTGTCCGATTTGGGAGACGATGATTACGCTCCACGTCCTCCGCTAGAAGAAGCGTTTGGAAGTGGGCGTAGACGGAGGCGGAGACGGGTCTGGCCAGATCTTTCGGTATTAGAAGAATGGAGTCGTGAAGAGAAGGAGGAACGCAGTGGGGGAATACGGGCAAAGAAAATCAACGAACCAGTGCTTATCGGAGGAAGATTGCGGCCACATAATGCGAGATGGGTACGGGAAGAGGAAGACACCCCGTATCGTTTCACGTATTTCAACGAAGAGTTCCAGAGCACGATTCACAGTCAGACAATTTCGGAGCTCTTGCAACCTGGCCAAACATTCCGTAACCTTTTCATTCCTGATCCTCCTGAGCTAGAGGACGATTCTTCAGGTGAATCGGATAATCCTGACGAATCTCCCCATTATCGGGATACTAGCATGGATACGTCCACCACAAATGGATATCACGGTGAAAGTCACCAACGTGATCCTCACAACTTAAGTGATACTGCTGCGGCCGTCCCAACGGAGGGCACAACAACTTCTGGAATTCTTCCAATGACCAAACCCCCAAAGGAGAAACGATATGGCCCCCGTCCAACTTTTTGGCTGGATGTACTATGTCCAACTGACACTGAGATGCGGGTCATTTCCAAAACTTTCGGCATCCATGCTCTAACAGCTGAAGATATCATGGTACAAGAAGCTCGTGAGAAAGTTGAACTCTTCCGACACTATTATTTCATCAACTACCGCACGTTTGAGCAGGATATCCATCGCGAAAATTACCTGGAACCCGTCAACATGTACGTCGTCGTGTTTCGAGAGGGGATCATCAGCTTCCACTTCTCAATGATCCCGCATCCTGCCAACGTTCGCCGCAGAATCAGGCAGCTCAAGGATTACTTGATTCTAAGCTCCGACTGGATTTCTTACGCCATTATCGATGACATTACCGACGTCTTTGGCCCTCTGATTCACTCCGTGGAGACTGAGGTTGATGATATAGACGACACAATCTTGCAACTACACTCCGACGAGAAATGGGCAGCAGCGGACTCCGGCGAATTTGGCGAAGAGCCTTTACCTTCCGGTTCAGACATGCTTAGGCGCGTTGGCGAATGCCGCAAGAAAGTCATGAGTCTCTACCGCTTACTGGGCAACAAGGCGGACGTGATTAAGGGGTTTGCAAAGCGGTGCAACGAGCAGTGGGAGGTGGCACCCAAGTCTGAAATTGGGCTCTATCTCGGCGATATTCAGGACCACATCGTGACTATGACGAGTAACTTGAACCACTATGAAACGTTTGTACATCAGAGATCTTCCATCCTTCCACCCCCCTCGAAACATTTACATTCTTGGGTTTGTTCCGAAGCGCAAAACTCTAACACAGGTACATACATGCAGGCTACTCTCCCGAGCGCACTCGAACTATCTCGCACAAATCAACATCCGCATGAACGAACGACAAGAAAAGACCGCCGATGTTCTCGGCAAACTCACCGTCCTCGGTACCATTGTACTTCCCATGAACATCATCTGCGGCATGTGGGGCATGAACGTCAAAGTGCCCGGACAGGATATTGACAATTTATACTGGTTTTGGTCAAGTAAGTTGGCCCGCACACCACTTTCCCTCCTCTCTTCTCCTTTTATCTTTTTTTTCCTCCCCTTAGCACCGTTCCCAAAAAACCTCCACCCGCTAACAGCTACCCAACAACACACTACAGTCACTGCTGGCCTCGTCGTCTTCGCAGTTGCCTGTTTCTATATCGCGAAACGAGTGTACGGAATTGTATAAAGGGCATCAAGAGTGCATGGGGTTGGTTTTCGCATTGTGTTTGAGATGAATTAAATATCCCCCCCTTTTTTTTTCTTCTCATTGGTTCTATAACAATTCGATAGTTTTTACCTCGTTTCACCTCGTTTCACCTCTTTCCCTTTTTTCTTTCCCGGATTTGTCGTTATAAATGTTTGCTAGGATAAACGTTTTGGACTTGGGGTGTGGGGTCGGATGGATGGAGGCTGCGCCGTGTACTATACATATTATGTATCATTGTTTTGGGAAGGGGGTTTGGGGGGTGGGGGATGGGGGATGGGGGATGGGAGGCAACATGTATATTTTGGAATACAGTGGCGTTGAGTTCAGTTTCTCCTTTTGGAGGCTCTTTCTCAAATTTTCTTTAAGGGGGTTCATAAATGAAGAGAGTTTTGTCATATTATGCCTAGTTACCTACCAGAACAACTGCTTATTGTTGAGTGTGATTACCTGGGGTGGAATGAGCGGGTTATCCTTTTTGGATAATAGTTACAGCCAAGTGTCCCGAACTTCGAAAAAACAAGCAAGTCTCTACGCGCATAACATCGTATTTATTTTCAAAATCTAGATAGCTAATCGTTAACTAAGGGGTAACTAAGGTGGTCGTTAAAAATGGTATAGTCATGTATCACGGAATGAAAATGAAGAATCAAAAAGAACCATAGAGGGAGAAAATAGACAAGGGAGGAAGAAAAACATCGGATCATAGGAAAATTGTTCATAACTCATTTAGGGGCATTACGAGACAGATTTACAAAGAAAATGAGGCGTAGATAGATAGAATAATAGCAAAAACGAGATGTAACCGAAAAAATAAAATAAAAATAAAACCAGACTAGATCAACTAAATGCTTCAAGTAGGGACGTAGATATAAATTAAAGGAGATAGAAAACGTATGAACACAAATAGCCACCCATGGGTTATATATATTGGCGGAAATCAAAGGGGACACAGCAAAGACAGAAGCAGAGAGAAAACAAGGGAAAGCAAATAGTATTCACCATCATGTCATTACCAGACAACAGTAGCAGTCCAGTCTGCAAATTTACCTTCCATGTTCCATGTATTGCATTGAAGAATTACCCTGGCCATTAAACTCGATATTCCAAAAGCCGGCGGCCATACGAATCAAACCGATCAGGAAGCTCAGTGGTCGAATCGGATGCTCCCTCAAAGTTCTCAGTGTCCCTGAGATCTCTCGCTCGATGTGGATGCCGCCGGGAACGCTCCGGTATCCAATCGTGCCGGGGAACTCGAGAACGATCGAGCCCATCTATGGTGAGTCGCTGTCGTCTGTCTCGTAGCCGCTGCGCAGATCGCCGGTGGGCGTTCTTGCGCGCCTATGTGTGGATGGAAGTGTGTCGTATCTTGGGCGGAGATCGAATTGGACGGACTTGGTGGGTGGTTGTGGTTGTGGTGCTGGTGCTGGTGGTGGTGGGGCCGGTTGGCTGGATGATCTGGTTCTGAATCTCTTGCGGGAGGGAGGCCGGGGGATGGATGTCCCTGTTGATATTGAGGCTGATGATGGTGAGGTGATGGAGAAAGCTGCCGGGCGCCGGAACGGGATTGAGGGCTGGGTGGTGAAAGTGGAATGCTTGGTTTCATTATGGTCGTTGATATCTATATGGGTTGGTGGTGGCAGTGGGGCCAGTATTTGTCGAGGTGATGTGGTCGTTATTTCTGTAAAATGGAGAGGAGGGAAAATATATCGTTAGCGATGTGGCTCCAGAACGGGTTCGTGGGACCTCAACCCACCCTCTGAGGTCTGGCGCTGTCCATACGAGAGGGTGGGGTTCGCCGTTGGTACAGCACTCACATTCTCGTCGGCCCTGGTCCTGGGTGCAGATGAGTCCCCTCCCGGAGGGGGAGGGTAAGGATGGTTTGGCGGCGGCTGGGCTGCGGCTGGAGGCGGCGGGTAATCGGCCGGGTTATATGGTCCTGGCTGGACGTTGGGCGGGGGTGGTGGGATAGGGGTTGAGCCAGGTGGGAGTGGGAATCGGTTTTCTTGTGGATAGTACGGACTATTTAGCGGGGGAGACGCTACATATGTAGAGGGTTCATATTCCTCCTCAAATGATTGTAAATAGTCATGGTCATGAGGGTATGCTGTTGAAGTGTGATTGTTAGCATGCCTCTATACAAAATTTGTTTTGTATATTGCATAATTTGTTTTCCTCTCACATTGGGAAGACCAGAAGTTATGTTCATAAATTCAACCCGAAATACATAAAAAGCAACAACTAGGTAATAATAATAACATAATAGGAATGTTCTATTATATCAATTTAATGTGTCACGTACTTCTGCGCTCCTTCTCAGCTTTCTTTCTCTCCTGCCGTTGCGTATATTCTCGAGCAGCAAGCCCTGCACCCGCAGCGGCGAGCCCGGCAGTTGCAAGGTCCCTAGTACGGCTTCTGCTACGATTCCCATGATTGTGGCGATGTTCACGTCCACTGTCTCGGTCAGAAAATGAGGTCCCGCTTCCTGGGCCGTCATCACGGTAACGAGTGCGGCTGCGGCTGGCCCTGCGATTACGAGATGGCTGTCGGCTCGGCGGTCGTCTATAATAGTTATCCGCTGGGATACTTCCGTATATGGGATCATCGCCATACTCGACGAGCTGAGGGGCGGATCTGGAGGCATCTGGATAGGTTGATGATCGAGCCACACTTTTCGACCTGGACCTTCGTCTGTGTCCTCGCTCAGAGGATTCACTTTCTTTCTTCTCCTTGTGCTTTTCATAAAGGTTGGCAATCGCCGCAGTACCAAGGCCAGCAGCAGCAATTGGAAGACCCTGCTTAATCCTACCTGGCGATTTCTCCCCTTTTCGGGATCGTGACTTGCTCCTAGCTCGCTCAATCAAGCCTGCAACTGCTGCACCGACAAGTCCGGCTTCTGCCGTTCGTTTGTTGCGATGCGAGGCTCGGTCTTCGTCAGCGCTCGAGCCGGATCCCCGGCGGTGACGGGAGCGACTTCGTCTGTCGTGCGAGTGATTTTTTGATTTGTCTGCGTTCTTCTGAGACTTTTTCTGGGCTAGAGCAACTGCTCCTGCAATGGCTGCTGCACCTAGTCCGAGCCCTGCGAGGGTTTTGACATGAGAATCTGAAGATGAGCGGCTCCGGTGTCTACGGTGTCGGTGCCGATGCTCCCGACTGCGATCCCGACCGCGATCGAGTGATTCCGCGCGTTTGCGGCTCCTGCTACGATGGTGTCTTCTAGCCCGTTGGATAACATCAGCAGCTACAGCGCCAAGGGCTCCTGCACCGACATCCATGCTGATGCGGCTCAGGCCGCTAGATTCCTCGCCATCCTTCTTGGATTTTCGTCGCATCAGTTCAGCAGCACCGACTCCAACAAGCGCACCTTCGGCAAGGTGGCGTTTGTAGTGATGTGGGCTTTCATCGCGATGGCGTCGGCTTCTGTGAGAGTATGTCGTGTCATCGTCACTATTATAGTCGCGGCCATGACGACTCCTGGTTCTTCGAGAGGCTGAACTGCGAGGGCTATCGCCGTAGTAATAGCGTTCTTCGTACTCATCACGGTGATGCCGTCCGTGGTCGTATTCTCTGGTGCTTCGAGCATAGTAATAATCGTCGTCTCGAGGATCACGAGCACTCCGCATCGCCCAATTGTCATCCGCCTCGGACCGACTCACAATTTGGTAGTCTGAGTCATCGCGGGAGGTCCCATAGGAGGAGGGGCGGTATGCATCTTTATTAATTATTGGTTTGGGTTCTTGGGTGATAATAATATTTTGTGCATGGTAATGATGCTCTTCTCGAAGGGATTGACTGGGTGTTCGACTAGGGCTGGTAGACTCACGATCGTAATCTCTCTCCCTACGATACTCGTAGTCGTATCGACTATCTCGGTCGTGCGGCCGGCGGATAACAAGCTCGCGCTCGCTCATCGGGTGCTCGTCTCGACGATACATCGACTTCTTTTCGGATGGGATGACGTAACGTCTCACCGAGTAAGATCTTGGTTCGGACTGGCGAGAGACCACGTCCCAGTCACTGTCTCTGTATGAATAACTCATGAGGGTGAGTACTTGAGAATAGACAGAGCAGATCAAGCAGAATGAAAGCAGACCCTAGAGTTCAGCTTATGGGGGGTGTTTGCTGGGAATAGCGGGGTAGTGCTGGATCCAGGGAAATGAAAGGAAGATGGTCTGGACAGATAGCTCCGATAATAAATCAACATGTGGAATATGGAAATAATTGAGTAGAAGAAACAAGTGGCAAAAGGTGGAGGGAAAAACTTTTCGGCACAACAACAGCGGCTGAAAAGGATGTGCGAGAGGGATCGGACAGTAAATATATGCAGTGTGTGTGTATCATCAGGCTGAGAATTGAGCGACCAACCAGCCAACGGCTAGGCGCAGCCAAGAGGAGGCGGGGCAGAAGCAAGAAGGACTGCATGCATCGTAAGGCGCAAGTTGAGAAGACAAGCACACAAATCGCAGGTTTTGGATAAAAAAAAAACAATGCAGATGAAGGTGGGCGCAGGCAGGAATAATATAGTACTTATTATTCCTTGCCATTTTTCCCCATGGGAATTGTCTCGCCCGCTTGGGGCGCCATCGGGTACTGTAAATGTGTGGAGAACCAACCAGGCGCAAAGATGATCTCACGGGCGCGAAAAGGGAAATTCGAAATATTCAAAATGGAACTGGGATTCGAAGGGCAAAGGAAACGAAACAAATTCAACTCACCAGTCGTTGGAAAGAATCAACTGTATAGATGCCCAACGGAGAAGACGGAGATACAGTGGTTTGCTGCAAGATATCGAGAGAATGCAACTCGGGCAAGGAAAAAAAACAATTCTGCGAATCGAGTGGTATGCACTTGGAGCCACTAATTAATTGACGATTAATATGGGGGAAGCGAGAGAATTGAATCAAGGCGGGGGATCAGAGAAAGGGAAAAGAGATGAGAGAAAGAGCAGAAAAACAGGTGGTTATATACACACCCAAGAGCCCGCGGAAGAGGCTGATATATGTTAATAATGCCAGGGTTCCATCCGGTGACGTCGTTGTATGGAACAGACCAGCTATTTTAGCTGATTAATGAGGTAAAGGGTTGTTCCCCTCCGGTGAAGTTCCCTCCTCAAGGGGTTGTTAAAAGTCGATACAACCCAGAGCCCGGTATCTGTAAATAAATCGCATCTGGCAGTATTCCATATTCATATTCATTGTTGGGCTTGAAGCTCATCGCCAGTACCATTGGTACGCGAGTGGACGGTACACACTGGGGATAGATACACGACGGTTGGCCAACCCGCCCGCCCCGCCCGCCCCGACTGTGCCGTCTGTCAATGCGGATCAGAAATTAGAAGCCAAGATAATAAATCCCTCGTGACAGGCCACTGGGTCAAGATCAACAATGCACCCCAGGACGCCCTACAGAATCGTCACCAAAGGGGCCTCAGCCACTCAGGAGGACGGGACCTTCTTGAGGGACACCTCTCGTTGGCTCCGGACTACAGCCGTTATCAGCTAGAGTCTCCTCCGTCCATGACGCTGATTGCCGATTGATGCGGAGTGGCAACCCGGGCGGGGAGGGGGGGGTTCATCAACTGTAATCGAGGGTACATAAGTACGCCCAGACTTCGATATATCAAAGAGAACGCATGAGGACATTGCCACCCGGTGAAAACCGTTGGAGTCATGGAGACAGGCTTGCGACGTTCAGCCGTCGAATTGCGCAAAAACGGTTTGCTGGAGCTACCCAGCGAGGCGATGTACCGTACCGCTCCCAGGTTTCGACATATCGATAGATAGATAGTATGCTTCTTTCATCTGAACAGTCGCATCAGACCGTTTGTCGTGGCCCGGTGAACTGAGCCTCATTTGAGCCTCTTCCAAGTACCGGGAATCGTAACACATCAACATCATGATCATCAACATTATTACTATTTCCCCAAAACCAAGCCGGCCATCGAAGCCGCCTCACACCAATCAGAAGAACCAGGGCGATATTCTCGAAGCACACCAGCAGCGGCGGGGCATCTTCCAGAATCCCGCTAGAGCATTGCTAACAGGCGAACAACTTGCCCCGGACTCAAAGCCAGACTCAAAGCTAGACTCACCAGACTCACAGCGAGCCAGTCAGAACCTGAAAGGAGTCGTGCTTTGTTCAGCCTTGCGCCCGACACAGCCCTGGCGCTCTCATTCTTGACCAACTGCCAGTGTTTCCTCTCTGGAGAGAAGAGAGAACCCTCCATTCCACTCAATTTGTCTCCTCTTTTTCACAAACGAAGAGGCTGTCGAAGGAGATGGCGTCCCGGATCGCTCGGGGAACCTGGACCGACCCGCGGATACGCAGGTGTTGTCGTATTTATTATCTTTTTTATCCTTTTATTCTTCTCTTTCTATGAAGTCACCTGGGAATTGTCTGTGTCCAGAATGAAGAACTCCAGGTTCCAGAGCCGGTTATTTAGTTGCCGGACCACGTTTCTCAGAAACAAACCTTCGCTTCCGAGTCAAAAAGGTTTATGAGATTTACGAGCCCTTACAGCCTCAGTGTTGGCTCTGCGCCGTGTTTTATTTATTTGGCGAATATACCACTGCGATCACGTTTATATTTGCTTCGCTCTCTCTGCCGCGTGCTGGATTCAAGTTGTAAGATAGGTAGGTCATCCATCTACATCTGTGGTAAAACACATTTACGCCTTTTTTTTACGATCGAAGTCGAAAATCTGCCCTTCCCCCATACAATCTAGGCTTCACTGACTGCAGCGCTCGGTTTATGGCTTTCCGTCCCACCCCGCCTCTTTTCAGTTCTGGCCCCATGTTTGTGTAGGAGATGGAGAGGCAGGTTTACTGAGCAAGGCTGCCGTTTGCGTCTCCTGGATAAATAGCTTAGCTTGGTCTTGGTTGTTTGTTGCAAGGTTGAGGCGAGAATGGATGCTCTCAAAGTGTATTCTATACACTATACAACAGGAGAGCGGTGCAGCCCCATTGTCAATTATTTATTTGTTTATTTGGCGGGAATAGTCATTCATCTAATAGTAGCTGGCTGATTTTTTTTTTTTTTTTTTTTTTTTTTTTTTTTTTTTTTTTTTTTTTTTTACAAGTAGCACAAGGATGGTATATATAAAGCATAGGTGAGTTCGCAACGCAACCAATTAACACATGAAAGATTAATACCACACATTCCACTCTTACAATTTCCCAATTAGTATATCTTCATCATTTCCCCCGGGGAGAGGGGACAATTTCAAACCGCCAACCAGGGCAAGAAAACAAAAACAGCCAGAATTAGCAGCAGCGAAAAGTGCGGATATGAGCACCGGAACGACTTCAATAAAGGATGACTGATGATGCTGCATCCGTGAGAGTTCCTCATCCGCCACTGGCTCACCCTAAGCAAATACGTCCGGCACATTTATAGGCGTCCTTCTCCCTGGGAAGGGACTAACATCGACATAGGTAGGAGACGTAAAGATATATGCAAAGCGGAAGAGAACCAGCTCTACCCTGCCCCACTACATTCCCCATAACCCTCCATCAATCGCGTCATAGGAAGATATTTACTTCTCTCTTCAACGCCGAGTTCTTAGCAAGAACCTCCATGCAGCCTGGGTTAGGCGCACCGTAGCCCCTTGGTTGCGCAGATGTGGGTATAGGTTAAGCCTTAAGACAAGGCAGAAGGCTATATATTATAAGCCAAATATGCTTCTTTCCGCCCGTCATGGATAAAGCACGTGGAGTAGGGAAGAATCCAGAAAAGCTCTACGACCTATCGAGAATTCAGTCTAGGAAGGCAGTTCGATGTCCATTCGAGAGGGAGCCTTGACTATTCTCTTCCCCGTTTTCAAAATATCTAGGGAGGGAGATGATATATTCATCGCTGTGCGAATCCCGTGGCTGGGCTGTCAAAAGAATGTGCATGTATGTACTGTACTTGTACATGTACATGACATGTTAACTCCATTCCCACAATTGAAATAAAAGTGGAAACATGACCATGGTTGCTTCTCGTTCGCCGCCGGGCCTCCTGTCTTAAAAAATAAAATAGAGAAATGTGAGCGAGCTGGAGATTTGAAGAGAGAGAACAACAGACTGACGTCCAGGGTTGTTATTATTTGTTGAACTCGTCTGATTCAGAATCATACGTTTGCGGGGGTCAATGGCTCTGATTATCATTCTCATCTCTCATCACATGTGTTACGCCGCGCTTGGAGTCAATTTTGGGAATAGATCTTTGGAAGTAAATAATGAGAAACGAAGATCATATATGGGGGCGGGGAGGTGTCCTGCGTCTGAATTGAACCGAGGATTATGGCAACTGCAACTAGACGACGGGAGTTAATGATATTTTTCAGAAATGGCACCTGGGTTAGTTATATATCACTTGTATGGCTATGAATTCAAATGTCAATTTTGAACAGATCAAGCATTTTCTGGTTCAGAACCCTCAGGCTACGATGAGTCCAGAACAAAAGAGCCACTGCCATCGAAGCCAGCTGGGAACAACGGTCGAGAGCGATTTCCCTTGTCCATTCCCCCGCATTATTTAACGAGTATCGCCATTTTCCTTGTGGTTGGGCCTGATTAATGCGACGGAACTGGCTTGGTTATCAATAGCACGAGCTGGAAAAGTTGACAGCATCCTAGGCTCAGCTGTTTAGATGCTGGAAAGCAAAGAGCAAAGCTGTCGATGTGAAAATACAAAAATACAAAAATCAGTTAGTTATCTTTGGTAAAACAGGATGGGTTCTGGGCTTCAAGTTCAAGCAATTAGTGGAGAGAACTAGCGCATACAATAACTGCTTAGTTGCCAAGTACAAGGTGGGCTTTAAATATCCACCATGTAATTATTAAATTGCACTATCCTGATAAACCAGCTAGAATGGGGTACTTTAATCCACCCACTAGATATTCGTGACAGTTAAGTTAATATTCATTGGATATCATTATAGCTTGTTGGCCTATGAGAGTCACAATGAGATGCCACTAACCTGATTTGGACTTTACCTGCGCAGTCTAGTCTTGCACCAGATTATATTATACACGGCTCAATACACATATTAAAAGCAGGCTTCGTGCCACTTGCTAACCAAGATAGGGAATTTCTCGTGCGCCGAGCCTTGCAAAACCCGTCTAATGCCCAAAGCATCAAACTTTGTAGCTCATCCATAACCCAGTAGAAACGAGGGTTTCCAGTGTGTAGAATGGATATCATTCCATTCCATTATTCTGTGGCGTGTGATTCCCTTCAACCGCCGGCTGGAACCAATATAGGATCAAAGCAAGCTGTATCACGCAAAGAGACCAGTGGTATTAAATACGGTAGCTGGTACGGTGTCAGCAAGGTGGCAAGGCTGCGAGGCGGTCAGTAATTTGGGGGGGGAGGTAGGTACCTCTCAGTGGCGCGGGATTTGGGTGGGACGACGGCCCTGGGGAGAGTGGTCTGGACCGGCGGTTGACCGCGCGTCACGTATTGTCACCTCGCCGACATAAATTACCGCAGCAGCCTTCCCTATTGCCCAATGCGGTATCTTTCAACCTCCGCCGCCTTGCCAACTGCCAACTGCCAACTTCTACTTCTTCCACCCGCTGCCACCACCACCACCACCAACCATCATCATCATCATCATCATCATCACCATCATCAATCACCATCACCATAATCGTCATGGTCATCGTCCCATTGTCATACTCATCCTCATCCTCATCGTCATTCTCATCTTGAAAACTCTCACATCCCGCACAGTAACAGAACCAACCCCCTGTGCTGCTTCTTCTTCTTCTTCTTCTCCACGTATCCTGTTGAATCTCCCTCCCTCTCTGTTCCCTGTCCGCCGTCATCGCCCGGATCTTCCTCTATCCCCGCTCACTCACCTGCTTCCCCGCGCTCCAATCCAATCCTGGCTCGTTTACGTTGATATTTTCACCCCGGCAGGCCTTCAACGGTCCAGTCCTTCAGCCAAGTTCTCCAGACCTACCTAGTGTATTCCGTACTCCGCCCTTGATTATATCCTTTGATTCTACCCCTTGTTCTCGATATCCTCTTTTCGCCTACCTGCGGTATTTCGGTTCTTGGGGGGACTGGGGGTTGCTGTCGCTGGCAGCCGACCACTGGCTGTCGCCCTGTAGAATTTAGCCCGGCGTGGTTTTTCAATGCTCTTGAGTGAGGTCTAGGTATTCGTTGTACGTTGGGCTGCGCTGGGGCTTTTCGACGTGGGCCGCGCCGATTGGTCTTGACCCACTAAATCGCTTCCCCTGTGCGACCTGTGCGACGGCGTGCCAGGCTAGTTGGTCTCGCCTGTGACTTTTAATTCCATAGGGCTCAAAATTGGCCACGATGCTCGGAAAAAGGTGACAGAATAGGATTGCCGAGAAGGAGTCGAAACGGAAAAAAGAAAACCAGGCAAATAACAAACAATCGCCAGCGAAAGTTGACTAAAGTGCCCCGTAACGCCAGGAACGTGGTGCGTCCGGCGCACGCCAACAGGAAAAAAGTCCAGAGAGATAAATTTTTGACAACTGGTTGATCAACAATTGAACTCTTTTTGCATTTCACCTTCGCCTTTTATTTCTTTATTTTATTTATTTATTCATTTTTTTTTTTTTTTTTTTTGAACTTTCTGGAATAGCGTTTGGGAAATAATTACGAAATAATCATCGTCGGCCTTCAAATTAATTGTCAACCGATACTCCCTTACAGCCTGCTTGGGTCTCTTATTCTTTGGTCCAACACTCGCTGGAATATCTTCTCAATCATGATCTTGTGTTGTGCAGCAGCATTACAGCAATAACAGCAACAACTGACAACTGACAACGAACATCCGACAATTCCATCCCACCACTCAACTGTACATGTACCTCCAATACGACGTTTATTTACTAACAAAGCATGAAGCCACCTTACATCTGTTAACTTGGTTTTTATGAGCTGTGTAACGTCTTACTGGGAGAATTCTGACCAAATCTGCGGGCTGGCCCCAACATACGTCGCCCTATCAGTTGCTTGGAACCCGCCGAAAACCTGCTTCCTGGCTCTTTGTCACTCCGGTCATGGCTTCACCAAATAATCCATCTTTTTCCAATAATCTACCTGCCGATGACAAGTCTACACTAACTCACAGTGGGGGTTCATTGGCTGCACAAACAAGTTCTGGACCCGGTGCGCAGGGTTCTTCTCGACCTGGCGCTCTCGTCTCACCATCTGGGCTTCAGACTTCGTTCGTGGGTATGTCTTATCATCACAGACATTCCCCCGGACGATCAGCCCCAGTGTCTTCAACGAACTCGGTGACTTCCTCACGCGAGACCTCTCCCATCCGTCCCCTTCGATCGATAAACTCCGCAACCGCGTCGAGAGCAGTCTCTCGATCACGCAAAAATAGCCAGGAGCTGAGTCCGAATCGCATCCCTACCCCCTCTGCCGCCGCACTCCGACGGAATCTCTCCAATGTGAACAAACCGCATTTCCCACCACCTTCGACTGAACAGTCCGCAGACTTGCCTCGTCCCAGCAAGTCCAATAATATGCCTTCGAAGCATGGCGACTCATCACAGCAATGGCCTATATCTCCTAGACTCAAATCACCACCTCCGCCGGTTCTATCGTCGCGTAACAATCTCCCTCACGCGCCAAAGCGATCGGACCATGACACTACCTTAGCAAACATCTCTAGCAAGAGAAACCCCGCACCCACAGTCGATATCGCCCAACATGCGAATGCGCCAGAGGAGGAAACTGATGATAAATATAATCGCCAAAACGCAAGGGTGGCTTTGAACAGAGGTGGTAGCGGGACGGGATCGATTTTGGAAACAGTAGAGGAAGGTGGTGCTCTGGCAGAGTCTCCAGAAATTCTACCACGGGAAGAAAATGCGGATGAATCTGCGCCATTTGTTGCCAAAACTGGCGTGGAAAGTGGAAGTGATAGCGGCGGGAATAAGAGCAAACCAAGGATATCATCTGCCAACGCAAGGCCGGGCGATATTCTTGCGAAGCGCTCATTTACCTCGCTGAGTACAACTCGAGGGAAGGTTGGCGATGCCCCTGCGAGGAATATGATTATCGAGGCAGAAACGGTTAGCTCCATACCCCAAGTATCTCTTGGTGGTGGTACAGGCGAACGCGTCTCTGCTAGAACGGATATTGGAGGTAGCGTCAGGCTGAAAGCAAGCGATGAAACTATTCGACCAAAAAAGGAAAAAAAGAAACCAGTTCGGAAGCCAACAGCACTCCCGGTCGGTACAGGTTTGTGATAACCCTTGCTCGGTCTGGTATCAAGTACTCTTCATTTAAACTAACTGTAACTTCGCCAATAGTTTCATCCAAAGCAGATATATTTGAGGCTAAAGTTGCTAGCGCAGTCGATGAGGCAGACTCTTCTGATTCTGCAGAAACATTTGTTTACGACTCAAACCCTCCAGACTCCCATCCTGCTCGCCAACTTCGATATCATTCGAGGACTCCCAGCAATACGTCGATGGCCAGCCAAGCCGATCAGTATGGAGGTCGATCACGATTAGGCCTAAGGGACCACACCATTACTGGGAAAAGAAGTATGAAGTTTACCAATGCCGGCTATGGTACCTTGGATGCAGACGGAGACCAATCTAGTGGAAGGGGAAGTGGAAGAACCAACGGGCATATACATACGACAAGACATTCCCACATTGGTCGGCACGGGAGAAGTAGTCACCCATCGGTGCTCGACCAGTCACCATTTCTTGTTTCCCAGAGTCCATCGAGACATAACTTTAGTAACGGGGGTAAACAAGCATACCGCGGGTCTCATAACCATCGTATGGGCAGCCCTAAAAAGAATGGCGATACATATGGTTACGATTTCGACGGTGAGGGCGCCGATGATGAGCGAACGCCGCTTGTCGGGTCTGTTCGTGCAACTCGCAGCCGTCACGGTCGTCGTCCTAACAGTGCAAGCCTTCGTCAGCTGGAGTATATGGAGCAACGACAAAGAAGGTGGTTTTCACGATACGGTTTCTGTGTTCTACTCCTGATTTTCCTATTTTTACTCATTGGAGGCGCGACTACGGCTGTGGTTGGGCTGATGAAGCCGCTTGCGGACGTGCACGTCAAGAAGATCCAGAACGTCTTGGCCTCAGAACAGGAGATTATGTTTGGCCTCGAGGTTCTAGCAATCAACCCCAATCTCGTGACCCTGACAGTCAACGATATGGATGTCAATATATTTGCAAAGAGTAGATACGTTGGTGCTGAGTGGCTCCGGCATGGGTCTGCTTCTCACCCGTATATAATAGCACCCCGGATGAAAGATAGCAGAGCGCGGGCCCGCTTAGCTAGCGCGGTGAAACGGAATACCGTATCCACAAGCGATGGCACACACACTACTGGTGGCGTTGACAAAGGTACGGATCCTATCTTTGAGGACCCGCCTGAAGACCCTGTTGGCGATTCACAGACTATGCTCCTCGGCCGCATTTTCCATTTCGACTCTCCTCTCACCTTCGACTCTTCACCTTGGAAGTACGAGCCATCCGTATCAATTGGTGAAGTAAGGCTTGCAAAGCCAGGAAACAAAACCGAAGAAGGCGGGACTGCTCGTTGGGAACGGGTCTTGCAGCATCCCTTTGAGCTGATCGTGCGCGGTGTTGTCAAATACCAATTACCGTTGACGTCACGCATGAGGTCTGCCTCGATCAACTCAAAGATAACTGTAGTTCCTAATGATGACAGCGGCAAAGGAGACAACAGTGGTAATGATGGTAACGGCAACGACCACGATGACGACAACAAGGGTGGACATAGTAAACACCCCCCAATGACACCGGGCCACAATAGTACCGACCCGGTCACCGACCCAAGTCGGCCCTGATTTGTTGTGTTGCCATCTCTTACACAACCCACCATGTTATGTTATGCTATTGGGCCGAGAAAAGTTCATGTAACGACCTTTTTCTCCGAATCGCCATTTGTCTAGTTTAGCGTCGAATTTCTCACAGGCTCTTTTTACTCTTTTTTCCCCCTACTTAATTTAATCTTTTGTATACCCACACATCGCATTGCATAGAAGGCTTTTTTTGTTCTTCATCTTTTCTCATGTCTCTCACGCTTCCCTCCTTCACACAATTTCCTTAACCTTCCTTCTTGCTTTCTCTTGAACACATGTTTCTTTAGCGACTATTCGGCAATCATGGGTATAATAAATAAGGGTATTGACAAATTGCAAAAAGATCACGCGTCAAACGAATGACAAAACGGCAAAAAGTACGCAGGGATGGTGTTATTTATATGGGCTTCTTTCTTTTTTTTTATGTTTATTGTATTTCATTTTCCTATTCTTGCATTTTCGACTCAGTCAATGACACAACTACTCGGGCTGTTTAACCAAACCTAACCATTATATAGAACGGAAAACCGGGTAGATTTCCCTGGTGATTTTTTTTTTTCCCCTTTATACCTCCAACAACCCCCACACACGGCAAGGTCCAACACACAATCCTTTTCATCGATTTCGATGTATATTTTCTTTCTCCTTGTTCAAATAAAATCAGACCTTGTAACTATCTTTCTCTTCCCCCTCTTTTGGTTTAATAGGTATATATCTATCTATATATAATGAATGATATGATGTGAGATGTGAGATAAGAGGGAGATATCTATAAACAAGATGTTACATAGTATAATTCGAGATGAGAGAAGAGGGGGCATACATAATATGAACGTGTAATCCGCAGAGAGAAGAGAGATACTCTTTCACATAGCTATTTTATTGAGAGGTTTTCCTATGAGCACGAATGAGTATGCAAAAGGGATCGTTGTGCATTTCTCATTCCAAACCATTACGGGAGTTTAATAATTTCTCTCATGTACGCATTCTCCATCTGCCTATTGATAGACAAACAGATGCGCTAGGTACCTAATAAAGTGTCCACTGAGATTTGAAAATTGTTGAAGTCATAAAACTATTCGAGCTGCTCTGCTCTGCTTCTGCTGGCATGGCATATATACGGCAGAAACTCTTCTACAAAACATAACCCCCTCAAAGCCGTAATCCCCTCTGGATGTCAGATAATATTATGGACCTGTCATTTCACTCAAGTCAGTACTACTGATGATGTCCCTGTCCGAGAGTCTCCGCCTCCCCCCACGTCCCTATCCCCGTCATCATGCACGCATGTCCCCTAAAATGTATAGGGAATGCAGGGTAATTTATTTTTTCCTCTTCCGAGATTTTCTTTTGGTCAAAAGTTTTGAAGGAAAGTGCGGCTCTAAATGTATATATCGCCTTGAGTCGCGACTTCTGACCTTCAAAATCCTCATGTACGAAGTGGGAAGGTACCGTTCATCGCTCCTTCTGTCCTAGGAAGAATTTCCGGCGCCAGCTTGATCAAAATGGGCTAAGAGCTGAGAGCGAAGACGGCGCAGCGATGACGGAGAGCGAAGCTAAGAACAATTTTGGGTGTAGGAATAGCTGTCGGATATATATATTTCTGGGGACAGACGGAGATATGGATTTGGATAAAGCCACCAAGTCGACGTGCGTATCCATATGTTATCAGGAAATAGGCCCCCCTAGGCCGCGAGAGACGGTACGTGCTTCACCAATCGACGTGTTCGGCATCTAGACAACCCTGCGGACTGTCTACGTCTGGTTTTGGTCATGAGCGGGAGAAGGGAAAACGAACAACGATCAGCGAAAAAATGAAAGGGTGTGTCGTGTAAAATAAAATAAAAATTCAGGGACTGTTCATGACTTTCATTTTCATTTTTTTAGAATTTCAACCATCCGCTCTATTTACAGAGCGTGTGTGCCCACAAATGCTAAAAGGAGAACAGAAAAATATAAAAAAAAGAGAAAGAGAAATGGAAAAAGGCGGATAGAAACCCAGGACAACGTATAAGATTTGGATTAAAAAGCTTAGAAAACAAGAGCCGCTCCCTTTGTCTTCTTGTCACCACTGTAGGAAAAGAAATGAATTGTTAGCAAACCATGTTTCCCCCGTTAGAGAAAGGTTGTGTGTGCGTGTGAGTTTAAACGTACCCCAACTCGAAGTGCTTGCATCGTTTCAGAGCCAGCTGGGCCTTGGTCTTACAGACTGTGCACTCCAACCGCAGAACAACTTTCTTTGTCGTCTTTGCCTTCTTCCTGAAAACAGGCTTCGTTTGACCACCGTAACCGCTCTGCTTACGGTCGTAACGACGTTTTCCCTGTGCGAATAGCGAGGCCTATATTTTTCGAGAACCGAAGCAAAAAAGCAAAAATACAGCAATCAGCAACCACATCCACCACATATTCTTTTATTTTTTTCTTCCTCCCATCCTTTCTTTTCCATAATGAGAGGGGAAAGATTTTGCTTTCTCACCTTTCCAGCCTTATACTGGGTGACCTTATGCTGGGTGTGCTTCCTGCATTCCTTGGACTTGCAGTACGTCCGGCGGGTTTTGGGAATGTTGACCTATTTCGGGACGGAGCCCAGATATCATCAGCACCACTTTCACCATGGTTTTTTTTTTTTTGGTCTTCTTTCTCTCCCGATATATAAATAATCCCGCCACCATCATGCGCCCGCAAGTAAATCATAGCATCGTCCGGTTGAATGAGTTTTCAGTCGCTTGGAATAATATATATATATATATAAATATATAGAAACGGCCAAATTCGTGTAGTATGGGAGACGTAATTTCGTTTCGTTTCTCAAGGCGCTCCAGAAAGTTTGTGCGATGATGGTCGTGATTATAGCTTCTGGATACGTTTCGCGAGATCCTCCGCATGTGCTTGACGCAAACTAAACCGTAATTTCCCGAACGGGCGTTTTAATGAACAAAACGCCGTCGATAACTCCAAAACGATGAGATCTTTCCAATTCCGCTGTCGTTTCCCTCGCGCGGTTCGCTGTGGGCTCCAAAGCTCATCGCACACACACACTCGGCGTTCTTTTTCCCCCCTTCCCGCATCGATAACCCCACGTATCTCATCCGGGAGAGAAGACAGACAACGAGGCAGAGAATCAAAGAGAAACAGGACTCCTTACCATTTTGACTGGAATTGGCCGGCTGTCGAACTGGGGGTGGTGTCGCTGGGTGTCCTGGTTGTCGGAGTCTGGAGGGCGGAGACTTGTTGCCCAGCGAGCGGGTTGTGGGATTTCGTTTCGCTTAGGGCCAAGGCAAAACGCTAGCCGTTTTGGGACATCCATATTGACAAATGACATCCGCAACACAGAAAACAACATCCAACGTTCGAATATCAGTCTTGAAGTGATTATCTTCCTTCACCTTGAGATGTCTATCGCGGAGCATGTTAGATACTGATTATGTCTACTGTTTTGACTTATTAGGGTGGTTCAACTCTCAACCCTTCCTTGACTACAACGCTCCCTCCTCTCATTCTCGGACAACCTCAATGATCAATCCATCCTACCAGCGCGAGCAGACAGTCACACTCAAACCGTTCATTTAATCCGTGTTTATCTCGGAAACGAATGACTGAACAACACGTCTTGTATACCAGTGAAGTTCTATTCTCCGTCTCTCCTACTGTCATTTACCTTTTTCGCAAAACTCAATCCTAGCTGATTGATAATCCTGGCCGCCGTGGTATGTAATACTACGATAAAACTCTTGTACAACTGTAGCCTACCCCACCGTGGGCTTATAATAATTAGACACGGGCGGCGTTCGTTTGGACAAGTATTTGTATTCTGATATGACTTGGATAGTCTAAAGAAGAGGGTTAGCCGTGTCTAGCTATTTGTAGAACTGTCGAAGATAAGACATGCTCGAAGCGCCATAAGATTAGGTATTTATATATATAAGTAAGTGTCTACCAAGGTCATTATTTTTATATACACATCAGGGAGTAAAGAAAGGTTTGTCTTTATTATCACTTGCTTATTTAGAGCAATATCCGCGAGCAAGAGAGCGTAGAGTGTAGCGGGATCAAGGATCAAGTGAACAAGACTGCGGTAGTTATTTAGTTAAATATTTATTTATTTAGTTATCGGTTGCTATCCCCGCCATTTCTCTCCTGGTGCCCTCACTCACCTCAACTACGCTGCTTCGGCAACTTCAACTTCCCAACTTCCCAACTTCCCCAACATACATATATCTGGCAGCCTGGCAGCCTGGCAGCCTGGCATAAAAACAACCATCTCCTCCCAACCAGCCTTGGGATATCCTCAGCTCCTCCATAAGCTATAGAAACATATAATAGCTCAACCCTCGTCTCTACAACGCTCTCGCCCACATCCACATCCGCATCCTCGCATCCTCACATCCCCCGCCTGGCCCCGATTACCAACAGCTACCACCACAATGCTTATCAAGTGAGTCCAGTACTCCAAATACCAATCATATCCACATCAAAAGCAGTATTGGAAAAGGCTAATCAAATCCCGCCATCTCAGAGTGCGAACGCTGTCAGGCAATGAGATGGAGCTGGACATAGAACCAGACTACAAAGTGCGCCCCTCACCTCTCTCTTTCTCCCTCCCCCAACCTCCAAGTCAACTTATAGATAGCAACAAGCTTCCCAAATCAAAAACACCGCGGCTGACGTTCAAACTCATTCTCCTTTCTCCTCCTGCCAGGTATCCCGCATAAAGGAACGTGTTGAGGAAAAACAGGGCATCCCCCCTTCGCAACAGCGATTGATTTTCGGAGGGAAACAAATGTACGTTTTACTATTTCATCCTATACCATGAGGGACCGATAAACAAAACGTTCATTGGTCGGGCAAGAGAAAAAAAAAAAACAAGCCCTTGAGAGAATATTTTTGTTTCCCAAATCGTTACAAGTATAACTCATGTTTTAATTCCCTCTTCTAAAAACCAAACAGGGCAGACGACAGGACCGCGGCAGATTACAACCTTGAAGGTGGCGCTACACTACATTTAGTCCTCGCTCTTCGCGGGGGCAGGTTATAAATATCTTCCTTGTCCCTTTTTAAACAGAAAAAAAAAAAAAAAAAAACCATGGAATCCCTTCGTGCAGTCTTCTTCCTCCCCCCTTTCCTTTTCCCCTCCTATGGGCCGGAATAGCTACGAAACATAACGCATATATATATCACCCCTGTCGATTGATGAATCCAACAACCGCTCTCTACTCTATTGTTTCCCCTCCTTCTTTCCTGGCCGCCGTTGTGGGATATGAGATGAAAGTGGACACCCACAGACACTGCAGCGTGGCCAGGTTTAGATTTGGTATATTACACACCTTATGTGTGAATCTGTTCTGGGGGTTTCTTATTGTTGTTGCCTAGGATGATACCTAAAATGGAGACAAGATACAAAATACAAGATACATGGGAAATATACATAAAAACAGGATCAGAAAAGATATAAAGGGGAAAAAAAAAAGCTTATGGTTTTTTGTTGCCGGTGTGGTGCAGATAAACACACGTATGAGATAAATATGACGAGTTGTCCTGGCCAGGCCGTGACTCCGGCATATTAGATAAATAGCATGGCCCACTACGAAGCTCTTATGTCGTTTTGCTGCTCCCTTTTTTCTCTACTTTCATTTTCATTTTCACTTTTATATATATATATATATTTATCAATCACTTAGCGAAATTCAGCAAGAACTGACTTTGACCATTTCCAGATTCGCTCTCTCATCTTTCTAGTGAATGTTGTATGTTCATTTCGTAGCATGTAACGCCATATTTTTAATGTTATCTAGATAGGACGTGATCACTTCGATAGCTATTTACATACGGATGTATATATATATAGGTGAATAGTCAGCCATAACTAGAGGACGAAACAAGACAAGTTGAAAAGGAAGAGTAAATGGCTCCATGTGCGCTATGGGTATCTAAGATCGTTATTTAAAATGTCCAAAAAAATAAAAATAAAAATAAAAATAAAAATAGAGTAAGTAACATGCCAAAGGGCAGAAAAGAAAGCAGAGCAGTATGTTCATCAACTTTCCAATAAATAAACAAAATTTGAAGCAAATAGATATATATATATATATAATTACTAGCAAGGTGGACACGATAAGAAAACAGAAAAGAAAGGGGAAAAAACAACAACAAATCTCCCACAATGCCCAAGGTAAAAAAAACAAAACTCCAACCAATCAGCCAGCCAACCAAGCCTTCAAGCTCCCGTGGCCTCAAGACGAGACCCCATAGATGTGCTCCTGCTAGCTATGTAGTGTACAGACATGTATGTCTATCTAGAATGTCTAGGGGATGAATGCTTTAGAAATTCACACCATCCCGAAAACACTGTGCCCATACGCCAAGATCAGGAAAGAAAAAGGGAAAAAAAAAATTATCTGCCCGCCCATGTTGGGTATAGTAAAGTGTCCGGTGTGTTTGTGTGTATGTATCATTAAGAGGTATTTCATCATGTCATTTATTTCATACTTATGTGTATGATCGTTCGGTTCCTGCCCAGTAGTAGTCCAATCCTATGCGCCGAAGATTTTCTAAAATGGATATAATGGTAAAGAAAGCGCGGCTCCGATAGGTGAGATGAGGTGAGGCCGCTCAGTTTTGTCGAGATATATAAAAATGATTAGGTGCTAGAATAGCCGTCTCTTCTTAGGCTTCACGAGCACGTATTCGGCAACCGGTCGTTTTCTTACAGCGGGGCGAGGTAGAGGAGGAGAAGAAGGAGGAGGGGGGGGCTTGGCCGCTGAGGTATGGCTATCATCGCCGGCCTGATGGGTGTCCGTCGTCTTTGTAGTCGTTGGCGAAGTTGCGGAAAACATAGAAGCTTGCTCCTCCCTTCTCGTAGGTAGTGAGTTATGTCTCCGTATGGGTGAAGGGCGAGAGGGGGTGGTAGGCGAGGCTGAGGAGGGAACGAGGGTTTTTGATTGGTTTGATCCCGGATCTCGGGGGGAGGGGCGGAGACTGAGGTTGGTTGTTTTTGTTGTCGTCGTTGTCGATTGTGTAGTAATGGTAGGAGTAGTAGAAGAAGAAGAGCGTAAATCTCTCGTTGTTGGTCTCGGGATACTTTGTTCAATAGGGCGCTTGTAAGCTTCGATCAGCGATCGAGGGGCATTCACAACCTGCGAGGCGCTGCTGTTCAGACGATGCGTGGGGATGCAGAGTCGGTGATTCCTCTTTACGAGGGGAAGTGCGGACTTCTTGGGCGCAGGAGCCGACCGTGGTATCTTGGGGGTCTCAAACTTCCAGCGCGGGGTCTGGTCGTACGGGGTGATTCCCCGGCCTCCTTCTTTTGGAGCGGCCGGGACGAACACGGGAGCAATGCCTCCCATTTTCCTGTCTAGAAAAGCGTATCGCTGGATCGCGGTTGGTTTCTCCTTGGGCAGTCGCATTTTCTGCGTATCGACCACCTTGGAGCTATGTCTAGCCTTTTTGGAATCGAGGCCAAGTAGCGCACGCTTCATGCGTTCTGCATCTTTATCGACTTCCATGGCGGTTTTCTCGAGGAGTTCGTGGTAGACATCGTACCAGCTTTCAGGGTTCTCGGGGAGGATGAGTTTATCGTATCCAGGAACATCACGCTTGATAAACTCCATCCATAACTCTGCATCATGCTCAAGGAGGTGCGGCGATTTCAGTTCAAGCTCGCGCTATGGTAAAAAAGATTTCGAGTTAGTGAAAAATGTTCTGGAAACTATATAATAAGAGAGCGTTTGATGCAGGCGGGAGCGGGGACACACATACCAGGTGTTCGGGGTTCTCTATCTTTTGGAGGATTGGCCTGATAAGATCATAGCGGGCCAAACCGATATCATCGATCCCTATGAGCGACAGTCAGATACAGTTATTATTAACTTTTGTAATATGGAAGGGAAAAAAAGAGAAGGGGGTGCAATATACTCTTTATAATCTTCATGCACGCCTTTCGCGCAAGGTGGACCAACGATGGGACAGACATTGTATGAGAAAGAAAGACTCAAGGATAGCGGCGTGCTGCAGGGCGGGTTGGCTACATGGACATGAGAGGGTTTGGGATGAAAGGCCACTGCCCCATGAGAATAAGTAAGAGCAAAAGGAAATCGACAGGAATATATAACACAGGCGGCTAATGTCCGGTTGAGCGAGCTCGAGGGTGCAGTCTGTCTGTCTGTGGTCTGTACATAGTAGATAGAAGAAGAGACAGATTGAAGTGAAGATATTTAGATAGAAAGATGTTCGGCGGTTGGAGCTTGGACATAGTAGAGACAAGCGAAGGCGGGTGGCCTCTAACTACGCCAAGAATGCTTATTGTTGCATCATTGCTCATTGCGCGCTGTTTCACCTCGTTTAGTTAATAATATAATGAAGCATGAGGGGAAGAAGATAGTTAGTTATTTATTTAGCCTTCGATGGATGGGACGGTGTGAAATGGAGTATTTATTTAAGCTTCGAATTACTAAATATGCCATTGTTAAGATACATACAGTATTCCTTCTGGGGGCTGCGGGGGTGGTCTTTAACCAAACATCTAGCTGACAGCCCGCTAAGAACCCCCCAAACACCGCCAAATTATAGTTAAAGCAGGTACACCATCGACCTTCCTCCACTCTCAAATCTCGTCGAGCAGCTGCAGCTCTGTAGCTAATTAGTTAAATACTACTAACAGCGTACAAGACAGATAGATGTATGGCAGTTTCTTCACTTTTCCTATTCACTGCCGGCTATTAGCAACCCTATTTACATCCACGAGCTGTCTCGCGTTCTACTCATTATTCCCCCCAAAGCATCCGTGAATAGATAGACCTAGTCACACAGTTTCAAAATGCTGGGTTCAGATATCAGCGACTATGAGTACAGAACAGGGAAACGGCTTCTAAATATCTCTTAATAACTGCTCCCTTTCAAACCCATGCCGCCGTCCCTGCTTCTCTGACTCCGGTGAATTTTGGCAAATCTATCAGATGAAGCGGTTGACAGCCGTACGCCTCTACTTGCGGCTCCTGGATTGGCTTCATTGGCTTCATCGCATCGTCCTTCTCTGCGTCCAAACAGCACGGGGACTATCAAGTCAGACACCATGGTTACTGTCGATAAGGATGACGCGGAGCAGCAAAAACGTAACATCACTGCTGGCGACTCTGCCACGGAGATCATACCGGAAGCTCAAGTTGCAACTATTACAGAACGCGAATTAGACATCAGCACCGCACTTAGGCTCTATCCTAAAGCAGCTGCGTGGTCTTTCTTTTTCTCCCTCGGTGTTATCATGACTGGCTATGACCCCCAGATCATAGGGAATCTATATGGTGTCCCCAGGTTCCAGCAGGATTTTGGCTATCTCTTCAAGGGGAAGTGGATAATTTCTGCTGCGTGGCAGTCAGGGCTCAGGTACAAGATGCAATTTTTTACTCTAATCTCTATGGCTTGTATGCTTTCTTGGAAAACAGAACACTTATTCGACCCTTTTTAAACATGTTCTTTAGCATGGGAAGTCCTATCGGCCAAGTTGTAGGCGCCTTAGCCGCTACATATCCGATGGAATGGTTTGGTCGAAAGAAAACTTTTGCAGTAAGCCCTACTTGTACTTATTTAGCCCAGCTGTTGGTGCAGTGCATGTACTGTACATGTACTATACATGCATCTATGTAAGTCTATGCTGAACCTTTTCTGCCAATTTTTAGGCATGCGTTGTCTTGACTGCTGGCTGTGTCTTCATCCAATTCTTCGCACGGTCGTTGAAAGTCCTGATCGTTGGCGAACTTCTTGGAGGCTTGATATTAGGATCATACGCAGTTATCGCCCCCGCCTACGCTTCGGAAGTATGCCCCGTTGCCCTGCGTGGTGTTCTGACGGCATATGTGAATCTCTGTTTTGTTATCGGCCAGTTCATCGCCAACGGGGTCTCCGCTGCGACTCACGGGCTAGATAGCCACTGGGCTTATAGTTCGCCCTTTGCGACCCAGTGGTTCTGGCCAGCCGTGATCCTTGCCGGGGTATTCTCTGCCCCTGAGAGTCCGTGGTGGCTCGTAAGGAAGGGAAGACTGCAAGACGCCGAAAATTCACTTCGGAGGCTCGCGTCATCGAGTGTTGATGTCAAACCAACCCTGGTAAGCCTTAAGATAGCATAGCTGCGGGAGCTTATCAGAATGCGTACCGTGCTGAATGACGGCTTTGTTTTAGTCAATGATTATCGAAACCGATCGTCTTGAGCAGCAGATGGAAGCAGGGACTTCTTTCCGTGATTGTTTCAAGAAAACCAACCTTCGTCGTACCCAAATCGCTATCGGCGTATATTCCATTCAAGTTTTCAGCGGCATTTATCTCATTGGATATTCCAACTACTTTTTCACACGTTAGCGACGCCTATTGTCCCTAAAGGCTGATATTCGCTAACTTTTTGTTAAATAGAGGCTGGTCTTCCTCCTGACGATGCATTCAATATGGGCGTAAGTTGTGACCTCCGTCGCCAGTGTCAGGTGGATGAGTTTACATGGTCTTTTCTAGGTCGGTTTTCTCGGGGTGGGATTTCTGGGATGCATTTTATCCTGGGTTCTCCTCGCATACTTCGGCCGCCGAGTGATCTACAGTAGTGGCCTAGCTGGGCTTGCGGTTATTCTATTAATCATCGGCATCCTGGACTGTGTGCCTAACTATACGGAACGTCCTGCGGTCATCTGGGCTCAGGCATCCATGATGCTGGTATGGAATTTCACGTACGACCTCTCTGTTGGACCGGTATGTTTCGTCATTCTTTGTGAATGTTCCGCAACCAAACTTCGCAGCAAGACTATTGCCATTTCAACAGCTATACAAGCTATCTTCGGCATAGTCATGACTGTCGTGATTCCTTATATGATAAATCCGGATGCAGGGAATATAAGAGGGAAACTAGGGTTCTTTTTTGGCGTAAGTAACTTTTTGGCCTCTCGCTTACTATGCTTGTGTTTTTATACGTTTAACACAGATCGTAGGGCCTTGCTTCTATTTGTTTTGTATGGACCTATTTTAATGTCCCGGAAACTAAAGGACGAACATATGAAGAGCTCGACATTATGTTTGAAAGAAGAGTACCTACCAGGGAGTTTAAAAGGTACAGGATTCTCTAGGCACAGGACGGAAGAGGGTGGTAGAAACAAGAAGACCTTTGCTTTAGGCTATTATTCCATCAAAGATATGTCCCCCACCCACCGGCATCCGATCCACACGATGGAACGGGATATCCGTCTAGATTCCACAGCATTTAAAATTCGCCATGTTTGCCTATGATCGTCGTCGACCTTACTTAGCACGGTCACCGTTAGTTATAGGTTCGACACACCGTCACAAGTACGACATATTCTGAACTACCTTTCTCCGATGACGAGTCTCGGTATTACCATCTGTTGGCAGGTTTGTGTAGCGTGGGGATGTTGCATATTATTGGGAACTTTTCCTTCTACCCAGCCATAAGGATACCAGTAATGCCTGCTTTAAAACGTTAGAAGCGTTGATAGGCGCTGGGCAATTTAACCGAGCACAGATACTCAATTGCGGAGGGATAGGGGCAGCATCATTTTTGTCATGACATGCAAGCCAGTTAGCTGCGTTGGTTGACGGACTCTCAGATGATAGTTACAGAACACAAATTCCCCCCTGCCCAGAGAGATCGCATTTTCCCCCTCTTTTAATTTTGGACGCAATATTCCACCATTTGAGGATAGCAATCTTGAGGGTACCTGATGATTTCGATATTGTTGAGTTGTAGGGGGACAGCGGTAGAGAGGCCAACGGCTGCGGCTGGTGTTGCATTTCTTCCTCAAGTTACTGTATAGCGCCAGTCCATGTTCCATCCCCGCAGGACATCCCCGTGGCTGAGGTAGTATATGCTTATACTCGGCGCGTCGGTCAATTGCATCGCGTGGGTCTATGTCCTTGAGATCTTCCACATCCATGCCAGAGAGAAAGGAACAGCGATTGGAATTTCATCTACCTGGTTTTGGGTTGGTGCCCCCCCTCATACTCTCCACAACTGCTGTAGGGATTTGCTAATATTGGTAACACAGAGCTTTGTCACCATCATCAATATCGTCACGCCAGTTATTTTCAACAGACTACAAGGGAACGTGTTTTCGATATTTATGCGGGCCAATTTCGCATTCATTCCTTTTGTGTGCTTCTGTTACCCGGAGCCAGCCAACATGACATTGGAGGAGATAAACCATCTATTTGCACAATCCGGCGTGTCTGCTCAGCACGTTGTTCAGCACATCCAAAAGGAGCGCAGGGGGGCCCGCCTTGTAGGAGAAAACGGTCACGAAATTCGACTCGTTCCCCCAAAAGAAACTTCTGAAGATGCGGAGGGAAAGTTCAAACATTCAGCTGCTCAGCGCGGTATAGCGAAGGAAGCTGTATACAGTCAACATGGAGTTTCCATTACCGGATGTGCAATGCCCCATCTTCGCATCTATATTATTTCCAAAGGAACAGAAACTTGTATGTGGCTGCGTTTTATTGAATGACAGTCAAAGGGAAAGCTTTTGCGTGCCATGGTATACCTTGACAATGGACAGTACATACTTCATGTATATACACCCCGAATGCACTAATAGGGAGTAACACTAATTTGAGCTAGTAGTTCCTCTGCTACAAGCTCATAAATAGGCATAGCTTTTATCTCCTCGAGCGACCAATACGCCCGCATTTTGTCCGCGCGAAGTTGATCCACCTCGTCATCCATATGGAACCACAAGATCTCCCCAAACCCATCCGTAATCGCCTTCAAATCTTTCAGTTCGAACTCCTTCTTGGGACCCTCGCACGCCGAAAGATACCCCTGCATCTTCGCCAGACCCGCGTGGATACGTTGGTGCTACACAAGCAGCTCGAGTTCGTTATTTTCAACTTTAAACGCTGGCATACGCTGGCCCAAGTAAGGAAACACCAGTTTCTCCTCAACCCCATGGTAGATTTGCAGGTTATTGCAGAAGTTTGTTCCAATTTCGATGAACTGCTCCACAGACATGTCCTTTGGAAGCTCGTTGGCAACGCAGGCGTCGTATAATGTCACCCATATTTCGCGAAAGTCGTTATGTTACATGAGCTGTCAGGATATTGCTGCAAAATGACAAGTGATATCTTGACTTTTCGAAATTTTCCTCGTGCTCACTAACATGGATATCCATTTTGTCTGCAAAGTAGTTGAAAATTTTCTAGTCTTCTGCAGATAACTCTGGCAGCGGGTTGGCGGAAGCTGCCAGTTGAGCAAGGGGGTGATTTTGTTCTTCACTCATTGCGATGCTGTTTCGTGCTCGCGATGCACGCTGGCGCTCTCTTGATGAAATCCTTCGGGACAACCCTCTTTATGGGAATAAGGAAATGAGGATATCAGACTGAACTATTTGGTTCGCCGTTCATAGGTCTGCCAAAACGGGGACTCAGCCTCCCTTATATACCATAGGACTAACGTTGTCAATTAGCGCAGCTGGAACTCCCTGCCTAATCTTTCAGCTCTCTTTACCATATCCCCTGTCTCCTAAAACCTTCCTGATGGTGATTCTGTCAGACCTGCAGGTCTTAGATTAATAAGCCTCCCACCATATAACTTCCCACGTAGCTAGCAATCTTCAATCAAGCAAGCTTTACATCATCCACAGATTTAGCATATCTGCAATATTTTTTTCACTGGCCGAGGTCGGCTGAGAACAACCCCGGCAATGCGTGGTATCATGATATCGCCCTTGCAACCCAAGTCTATGTATCTGAATAACTCCAACCCGAGCTGGACGGTTAGATCAACATGCCAAATGCTTACGCGACGTTCTGGGCTACAACCTCCGCATCATCCAGGCATCGGGTTTACATTGCATTTTGCTTTCCGTTTTCCCCGGCCTCTCATGATTTCACATTGACGTATGTATGTATGTTGTTCGGCTTCCGAATCTTGATTATATAACTAGCAGGAGTAGACCGTTAACCACCGGCTTTTTTTTCGAGTCACCGTCTGAACCAAGCGTATGGAGTCAGGAGCGGAGGAGATCCAATGGAATGGATGGACGTAATGGAAGCTGATTGGAAACAGCAAGGATTTAATTCCTTCCAAAGTAAAAAAAAAAAAAAAAAAAAGAAGAAGGTTTATGGCAGGCAGATTGACAGTCTCTTATATAAAGTATCCGAGCCCCCTTCGGAAGGCTGGGTAGATTTCCATTTCGGCACACCTGTACTGCCGAAGTAACTTAAACCTTGTTCCTGGAGGACATCTCCAAGCCAGGCTGGTATGGCTTTACTTCAAAAGTCCTCCCGGCGCCAAAGAAACGATGGCCGACTACACCATGGCAACCGGATATTAATAGAGATTATTAAGCTTATATTTATTTGTACAGCTTTGGTTTGTTTACTTTCAGCAGTGATATTCAATGTTTCTCAGTACCAATCAAGGGTTTGTAATTGTGAAAGCGAATATCCCATTCGTTTCACCCTCTGGTTATTTGTCAGCCCTAATTCTCTCAAATAATGAGTATTCCGTATATTTCATCCCGTCCAAGGCAAGCGACTGCTGGCAGCAGATTAATAACAACACTTAGCGAGCTAAGTAAATATAAATCAATCATTATTGTTATTGTTATTAGGCTGGTTTGCATCAATTTTTGATATTCATATAACGTAAGACAAATGCGGAAACTTGTAGTTTGCATATAAACGCCAATAAGGGGTATTGTAAGGAGATACATGAAAGAAAACGAAGGAAAAACAAAAGAGAAGAGAGGGGAAAAAAGAAAAAGATGAATGAACGTAAGGAAACGAACTTAGTAGTGGCCTTGCCCTGGTATGATAGGAAGCAGGTAATCTGCGGACAACACGTAACAAGTAGTGCTGAAAGAAAAGAGAGTAAAGTAGGACCCTGGCGAGGAAGAAATGTATGGTATAGTGAGAAAAAGAAATAATGAAGAAGAAAAGGATGGTCGAGCGGTAGGGGGTTACATGTAACAACTGCCACGCCGTGATTCATACTCAAAGGTCAAACCACGGAGTTTCCGCTTATTGATTCAGCATGGCTATGAAGCGTTAGCTCTAAGCTTAGCCTTAATCTCATCGGCATGTACGGTAGAGTTTTGTTGATTCTGGTGTGGAAGCTGTGCCATCCACGTTGGGGGAGAGATCCCAGTTTGCTCATGAATAGTTGAGAAAAGGGGTGGAAGACTTTGCATGAGGTTCCGGATTGGAGCCGTTGAATCCTGAGATGAATCTCCAGAAGAACCTTTCAGGGGTATTAGTTGTTGTACTAGCACAAAAAATACAAGTTGTGTGAGAGGGTAGGGGATAAACTAACCGGTGTTCCAGACTGTAATCTTGGGTTCAAGGCCCTTGATAGCTTCTCCATTCGCTCTGGCAAGTGCTTCATAGGTGTTGTTCTGGATCATGAGATACTGCAAGAAGCCCTGTGGTCCGCCAAATACTTCCGCCATAGCACCGTAAGCCTTTGCCATCTCAGCAATACCTTCAGCTTCCCTTTTCTTCGCAATAAATGCAGCTTCGGCCTCTTTTGTCTTCGCTAAAAAGGCGGCTTCTGCGTGCTTGGAGGTGCGGTAGTCTGGAGAGAGTCCACCGGTTAGTTGGGCAACCCCAGGCTCAGATGAAGCTAGTACTCACAGTGTGCATCAGCGTCCATTTTCTGTTTATACATAACAGCGTCGGAGTCTTTCATTTTAGTGTAGAGGTCTGCGTCAGCGTTTTGTTCAGCCGCCTCCCTTGCGATCTTGCTCTTAGTAACATCGAGTGCCCGGAGTCGTTCCAATTCCGTTTCTGCACGTTTGGTTTCGACCTGCTTCTGCAATTCGGCATCCTTCATTTCCGCTTGACGTTGGGCGGATATCTTCGCAAGCCGGATGCCCATGTCCAGCTCCGTTTGCCGATTTGTAAGCTGAGCATCTGCCTGTGCCTTCTCGCTTCGACGTTTGGTTTCTAGAACTGCGGTTTCTGCGTCGATTTTGGATATTTCTTGCTTTGTTTTGCCTCGTTTTTCGGCTTCACCAATTTCACCTCTCATTCGAGCCTCTGCGACGTCGATTTTGGCTTGATTCAGTGCACCTTCGTGCGCTTTTCGGCTAAGCTAAATTGCCAGAGGGTCAGCACTTAGTGAAGAGTATCCCAAGTAGAATTATACACTTACCAAGGTGAAATATTCACTTCCAGGAGTATCTTGAAGTTCTTTAACGTTGGCGTTGTAGCTATGGCCATCGAAGTAAGTATCATAGACATTGTTCCATGGAAGCACAACGGCACTCACATCCTGAGACCAAATTGATCCAGCTCGTTTGGACATTTTCAATGACATGCTGCTTGAAGACGTGTCGCTCTTTGAAAATTTCCTCCATTGTCATCCCAGAGACAATCACGCGAGTCTCGCCCTCGATGATGCCCTTGACGATATCTTGAACATGGTTCCCTCTGGTGGCCGTTTTGGTGGCTTTTACCCCATCAGCTTCTCCTGATAGGAGAAGAGCATACTTCTTGAGAGCCTCAATATTATTATCAGGGCCGATTGTGAAGACGGCTGGGAGGGCAAACTGAAGCTTTTCGATTGTCATAGCCTGGAGATTCATGGAGAAATCGAATGGAGAAATTGAAATCCGGGTGCACTAGAAGTCGAGCTGTGTTAGGCTCCTCGGTTTTCATTTGGCAAGCAGCCTGCTCCTTAGACATTTCTACGAAAGGTGGAGATATCAATACGCTTTAGCTACTCACTTTGTGCCATGGCATCACAAACGCCGTTTTCTTAATAACCACATCACTAATGCCGCCTCCCGTGAGAACGAGATACTCGTTCGGCTCTGAGACGTGGTACCTAAAAGAAAAATTCGAGTTAATCGGCATGAAGAATGAGTAGAAATCGTACTGAAATAACCAGAATACAAGCATACCACATTGTCAATCTTGGAATATTCTTTATCACTCGATGGATATTGTACTATCAAATAGCATGGAGCTCGGGATGCCAGTAACAAAATCAGGATAAAGTGAAGTAGGTGTAATTCAAATAGAATGCAGCATTCGAAACGGGGGCCAGGCTGATATATATAGCAAATACGAGAAGCTCTTCACTATGAAGGCCATAGTTATCATAACGACATTGAAGGAAGATCAGCCTTCTCTGCATCCAGATTGAGAACGGAACCTTGAGGAGCTCGGCAGCACCAGCCTTGTCCCCACGGGGTTGACTACGGCAGGACTCAGGAGCGGAGCATCACAATTGACCAATCAGGGAAGTCCCGCAGCAACATGCAACATGCACTGCACTCACTAGCACCGCGTTAGTCAAACTCTGGTGGGGATCTCGACATACATCGAGGCAGATTTTAAGCCGCATCAGAGTTGAGATATCTCGAAATGAGTTCAATAGATCCATGGATCACGAAGAATCGATACAACCTAATGTATTATCATAGCGCACTATCCACCCCTTTTATGCTAAGGCTGAGTTCCGCAAGATGTCATGAACACCTTTGAACTTTCACCACGAGTGATGCCCGTCAAAGTTCCCTGGCACACAATATCAGCCACTGGGGGCACAATCACCAGTCCCTCAGGGGACTCAGTTGAGAGGCTAATACTCCGTATAAGGGCAAGCAATGCAGCTAGCAATCAATGTGTGAAGATGAAATCCCCTCAATATGACCCCCAATCAGTGATTGTTTGAGTCAGGCTTGCTCTGATGCTTCTGGAAAGGCGAGCCGACCAATCCACATGAAAGCCACTGGGCCCAAAACGGCAATATGTCGTGTTTTCTGAAGCCGCGGAGCTGTTTTGGTTGGTTCCCCTAACTAGTAGTATGCTGGATTATTTCGCTAATTTGCCATGAGTAATTGGGCGGACAAGAGGGCAAGTCGTTGCCGAACCCGAGGGGAGTGAGGCGGAGCCCCCAGGGCTTGGCAGGAGGAGAATCCCGTGACGTCTGGAAGTGGGCTGTAAAGGGCGGAGACTAAACCCGAAGTAGTCTAGGGTCAGCATGGGGCTGAATTGACTCCGCCTCCCCGAACTTCTTTTGCGAGATTTATGTATACTATTATTGCTTCTGATGTTGATATCTGCGCAATATCGATACATATTATTTGTTGTGATTTATGCCACGGATGCTTCCAATAATGCAACTGTCCCAAGCCACACTAGAGCAGAACTTATCCACATGATCAACAAGGCCCATTCTGTAGGCTACTGGGGCAAAAGAGCTCAATCACCACCAGCGCACTGCTGGTAGAAGGGCCGATCAACCCGGGACCCCCAACACCCCCCCTCGGACCAGCTACCACAGAGCACTACTCCTCTCAAGGACTCCTCTCAGTGGCTTCTCTCAGCGGCCTTTTTTTCTGGACTCACTTCTAGGGCTCACTCCAAGGGCACACTCCTAGGGTGTCTCTTGGCACTGTTAATGTCCGGGATATTGTTGGGATTTTTATTCTTAAGTCCATCCTGGGATTGAACCCATGCATGTTGACCACAGCGGGGCTCACGCTAACCGGGCTCATAACCTGTAGGCTACTGGGGCAAAAGAGCTCCATCACCACCAGCGCACTGCTGGTAGAAGGGCCGATCAACCCGGGACCCCCAACACATTCGACCGCAAGACAGCCCTGGGAGTTTTCCCCACCTTAAACTTGCCTTAGACTTCTTAATTAGAACGACCCTCTGCGAGGGATTCACACGTGTTGCGACCTCATGGGCGGGGTGGTCAGGACAGATAAAGAGAAATTGAAATCTTAACCGCTACCTAAACCCAGTTTCGTATTTTGTTTTTGAAGCAAATCATGCCAACACCAAACACAGCCCCAGAAGTATGTACTGTACTGTACATACATACATAGACTCACCATATTTGAATTTTAATTATTCGACGTCCAAGTTAAGTTGATAGTGACTTCTGTCGAGCAACGAGACATTTTCCATCGACGAGCAGGGACTCGGGCCACAAGCTACAGGCATATATCCCGTTGGCGAATCAACTTTGCCATAGTCACCCCGCATCGAGGAAGCATCGTATCTGGGTTCGTTGATTCACTCAGCTATCTTTCAAAGAATTAGAGCTTGTTTCGCACTCAGCTGAAATAGCTCGCTGCAGAGCAACAGTTGAATATCAAATCCCTTTGCGGGCTAAAAAGAACTGAAAACGAGAACGCGATTAATTCGATTCCGCCCTTCATTATCATCATCGTCATGGATTCAAACCCTTTTGACAACCGCCTGGACGACCCGGCTCCTGCATATGAGGAATCACTCCCCTCTGTAGTTTACAACAAGGACACAGTCAAAGACATCCCCAGCTCATCGCAGTCTCGACTACCTCTGTCAACTCAACTCGCTGACACCCGGACCCAACGAGTCGACGCCATTCTCACAAAATACGTCGAACCCCTCTTACTCTCGCAAGGTGCCTCAGGACTCTACAAAACAACGTTTGTCCTTGTGCCTTCATCCGTCTCCAGCCTGCAAGATGCAGTCAGCAACGCCTACACGACGCCCGAAGAACCTCAAATCGTCGGCTTCCCGTCCAACGAAGTCGTCAAGCTGATCCGGCTCCAGGGCGAAGAGAACGCCATGGAATTCTGGCGGCAGCCAGCCGTTGTTGCGGAGCTGGACTCTGCTCTGAAAGCAAAACTTGCTGCAAGTGGCCATCGACTGTATCAACCCTCATCCAGCGGCGAAATGACCAGTGAAGTTGTCGATGCAGCGAGTTCTCCAGCACCCGCCCCGGAACCCGCCGCGAAGACGATAGCAACAACAAAAAAGTCGTTTTGGGGGCGTACGAAAGACTTGTATGCCTCCAAGGGGCAAGATTTGAGAGATGTCGTCATTGTCGACCGGAAACTTGGTTGGCGGGCGTCTGGAGAGCATGATGCAAACGCACCCGGGAAGATACCTACGGGCCTGGTTGACGTATCTATTGTGTGGAAGGAGGTGTGCTTACGAATTGCAAACGAGATGGGCCTGTATGAAAGTAAAAAAGGGCCTGCGCTTTGTATGACAGTTGAAGTCGGATCCTAGTTGCGGATTTTATGATTGAATGAAACGAATAAACAAAAAGAATCCCAAGTTTAAATGTACCAAATAGTTCTTCCCGGCTGCAATACGTGTCCCAATCTATGTATATATATATAAGGGACATTTGTAACCTCAAGTCGAGGAATTTATTTAGCCTCGGCTGAAGAAGAAATATTTTCAAAGAAATAACCAGGCCTCAGCCAAGCTCACCACATCAATATAAGACTTTGTCACGGATCCTGATTATGAACACATTGCCAGACTCAGGAATATAATGGTCTCACAACAAAGGAGCAAGATCTATTGTAGCAAAGCTTGGGTAGGCATAAAACCCGAAACACGGATACTTCCAGTATCTGCTGGCAATTCAACACACAGCAATCGGCGAATGTGTGCTAATTGTAAACATTTCGCTCAGAGCTTGTTAAGAATAGCACTCCTGGCAATCTGGAGTAGAATGGGAAAATTAAATTCAGCGATACGTATTTTCGAAGAAGGAATTGGAAAGAACCATAACAACCGAAGGGATAAGTTGAAGGAAAATACTTACAATGCTCCTAAACCTTTTCCCATAGACATACATCGGGATCGTCATCACACTAAACGCAAAATTAAGCACAGTAATCCAAGTGAAAACCTCCCTTGGTCCCTGAGCCGAGTACCACCCATTGACAAACATGCTGGCAATAAAAATAAACACAGCCTTGGAAAAATTGATCGTGACAAATGCCTGGTTAGCATCTTTCGGATGGCAGTCAAGCACGTATGTGAAACTGGCCGAGGTGGCGAAGGGGATGGATAGGGAGTGCAGAGCCATGAAAGTAAGCGGGACAGCTAGAGGGGCGCCTCGGTCAATGCTCAGCCCATACCCTATAAATCCTACCGTGGAGAATATCGTCGCGGGAATCATTAGCAGAAGGCGGAACTCGGGTTCGTAGATACCCTTATTTCGCCGTGCCATGAAACACACGAGCCAGTCGGCAGTGGCACCGGCAAGCGGGGTCCCGATAAGAGCGACGCCAAGCAGAGGGAGGTTTGTCAGGCCTATTTGGGAGGGTGTGAGGCCATATTGAGGGCCTGAGAATATATTTGTGGATAGAATGGCGAATACCACGAGCCATGTCAGGAAGCTGCCGTGGATGAACGTGCTGAAGACGACTGCTGGGAACATGATCAAAGATAGTGGCTTCGCTGCTAGCACCCAGAAACTTTTATTCGATATCCGGCCATTAAATACTTTCAATTCCTGGCTATATGGTTTCTTGGAAGCGTTTTTGCCGCCGTGAGCAGTATTGAGCTTTTCGTCAACCTGTCCAGGTTTATGCAGTAAGTCGGCAGTTTCAGGAACTAGGAAAAATATTGCGGGCAGAAGTATGCATAATACTAATGCTACGATGCCGAAGGGAGTTAACAAGCCGAGATTCTGAATAATATATCCAGCCACAACTTGGCTGAAGGTGGTGTTCAGCATTTGTCCCAGCTTGTACCAACTGCCAACAGCCTGACTGCCATCTCACCTAAGTATGATACCGGAGACAATCGCTATACTCCAGATGGCGAGCTTCTCGCCTCGTTCGTGAACAAAGAATATATCAGATACAGTGGATGTTACCAAGGTTTCTAAAGGGGCAGCTGATATGCCCTGAACGATTCGCATGATCCACAGCGATTGGAAGGACTTTAAGCAAATATCAACATAAGCCTCCACAATCTTGACGAGAATGTGGGAAAACTCACCTTCGCAAAGTAACCCCATATGCACGTTACTAGTAATACCCCCGTTGATATAATGAATACCGGACGTTTGCCCCAGACGGTTGCTGCCGCTGCGGTGAAGAAGGTACCTCCTCCAGTGGACAGGATCAGAACGCCAACTAGAAATGTCGAAACTTGATCCAGTGATACTTTATATCTTTCAGAAGCGACGACAAAACCAGGGGCAACTATAGGCCCAACCCTAAAATTCCATTGCCAAAAAACACATCAGTAAATTCAAGATCGCCAAAGTTAAGCTGGCGTTGACAAGGAGGGCGCTCACGAGACGGCAACTCCAGACGCCAGGGCCAACGTCCACATAAGGAGGTTTTTCTTAACATCCGACCTAGCAGACAAATAAGCCCAAAGGCTCCCGCGGCAAAGATGAAGTACCAAAATTTACCAGTTGTATGGCTCATTAATGTTGTCACTTGGTTGAGGCACAAGAACAACACCTCGCTTCGTCTTCAGATTTAGGTTCTGTGAGTCAGATTCTAACGATTGCATTAGCACTACTTTTCACATTCTGTTGAGAATTCAATACCTACCCTCAGTGTTCCTTTTACCCAAGAGAGATGTCCCTGGAACGTCTGCCAGCTTATTGTCATCTAACACCCCCCATGCCATCTTAACTTTCTCTATAGTGGTTGTCCTGTTCCTTTCTCATGTAAGGATAAACCACTGGAGAATCAAGAAACTCAACGAAAAACAATGAATGAATATGAATGATAGCATGAACAATAGGCGTAGAATAAAATATATAAATACTAGATAAATTCAGCACCTATCAGCGATGTTATCGAGTAAAGATGATTAAAAGCATCATTATCAAGACAAGAACCAGCTATGCGGGCCAATATCTGAGGCGTCTGGGTTAGTATAGATGTTTACTCCCTCAACAGGTGGGCCCAACCACGCCTATCAGATTTTCCGCAACTGGCATTTCCAAGAGGGCGAAAAAAGGAGAGATGTAACGGTATGCACTTAAGTCAAGCTCGTCAGGTTGGCTAACCGGTTAGACTGTAGATTTTTGTCCGTGGGTTTTATTTTTTTGAGCCTTGGACGTCAGACAAACTGGGGTAGAGTACAATATGAGGAAGCATGATTCCGCAGACAGCGTCTGAATCTCGAATTTTGAGCAATCTTTGCCGGTTCATTGTGCGCCAGTCAGTATGCCACAAGACCCAATCAAACAATGGATCACTTGTGCGCGATCGGCTTTCCTGGATGCCCAACAAGCTGGTTCATTATTCGGAGTTTTGAAATGCCACTTCCAGGGTTGTACATTCCTTGTCACCCCAACTGGAGTTTTCTAGAGGTGTTTTGTCTCCCGGTGCTGTCCCCATCTGATGCAGTCCTCCACGAACACGTAACTGACTGAAGGAAACCATAGAAGATAGCTTGATACCAGCGCGTTTTCGTAGCAAAGACTTAAATGGCGATAGAAATGGGGCCATCCAGGCTCCCTTGTCCTCTTAGCTGCTCCTTTCCACCCCTTCCTTTCCCTTTCCGCCGAGCCAGTAAAATCCTTTCCGAGGCCCTACAAGCAGAGACACTCGACTTTGGACATTCTGCACCTCGGCGCTCATTAAATATATAACACATACATTTGACGCGCGGTATTTAGTCAACTAAGAGTCAGTAGCATCTACCACAGTTTCCTGGGGTACATCTCTCATGTGGAACTCCTTTGAACCAATTTCCTCGCTGAGGGGGTAGTAGCGGTGCGGTTGCTTCAAGGAAGTAAGGACGGGTCATGGGTGGGTGGCCCAGACAGAACGACTTGTGACCCAGTAATGGGGATGTTTCCGAGATGCATTCATCAACATACAGATCAGAAATGGAGTCCTGCGTGCCGTATGTGGTTGGGTTATGTTACGCGATAACTCTCGAGTCGATCAAGCTCCGTTTAAATCTGGGGTTTGTTGCCGAATGCCGAATGCCGAAAAGCAATATGACTAAGCCAAGTATTTTCAATCACATGATTTCCCCCCCCACCAAAACTTGTTAGCATGACTTCATCGTGATATAAAAAAATAAACATAGTTACTACGTGCGAAACAACCACTACAGCAACTGTACAACTTCGTTGATTATCACGGGCTCATTATATCCCAGATAACGAATCGAAGCGAAGAAATTTAGTAGGTTTATTTTCATTCTCTTGTTTAAACCCTGGGGTTAGTATCACCGCGATCCAGTACTCCGCATGAACCGCTTCTGCCCTCTGTCGCTCAGACTTTCCGCGAATTATCGTGGATCGCTTGATTTTGTAACCATGATCATCTATCTATGCCTTACCATGATAAACTAACCTATCCCAATTTGTTCTTTGACGTTTATGGAATTATTATCCTGCTGTTGATTTTAAACTGGGTAGTTACTGTCCTTTAACCCCCCACCACCCAACACGCCCACTCTTCTACAATCAAGACGAAAGGCCGTAGTACAAAACAAATTGGATTCTTCCAAGGTTGTATTTGAACTGACTTCTACGTCCCATTTGCTCGATTTTTGTTTCGCGGGTCATACAATCACAATTTATCATCAGTTTTCAACCACACCTGTATTGAAAACCGAGCATCAATGTTCATTTATTCTAACTCCCTGACACAATACAGATATCCACTGTCACGAATTGCGATTACGCAAGTGCAACAGAACGAAGCACCATACGATCAAAAATGGCGCCTCTGTCCCCCCTCTCAATTGCAACCTCAGCGGTGCGGCGGCTAGTAAAGGAGGAAGCCTCATACCACCGCGAACTAAAACAGCAGGAGGAACGCATCAAACGTCTCGAGGCCGAGCAACCGGGTGAAGATGAGGATGGCAATCGGGAATTTATGCTTAGACAAGAGGTATTTCCTGCTGCAACCCCAATTCCATTGGTTTCTGTTAACTTGATAATCTGACTCGTGTACAGCGCCAAGCCCTGGAGGAGACGAAGAAAGTCTTACCGAATATGAAGCAGAAAATCTTAGAGGCTATCGCTAAGGTTGACCATTTACTTGTGAGTTTCCTTTTCCATCAGATCCTGTGCGTCTTGTTCTATTGGGGATTGTCTCGAATATCTCTAGACTCCTTTCCCTGTTCGTGGAATTTTTCTAGACACCTTAATTTTACTTCAGCATATTAACTATTGGTTGATATCCAGGTTGAGGAAGGACAGAAAGGAATGGGAAGCAATGTGGATGAAATCAATGCCGCGAAGGAGGCTATTTCACAAGCGATGACGGCCGTCAGGGAGGTGTCATGATCTCTTACTTTGGCCTCATTTTCATATTTATTTCTCCATCTGTCTGTTTCGAAAGAGTTGTAAATCTATAATCTTCCAATATATATTTTATTTCTTTCTAATGGCAGTTCACTAGTTCAAAGTACGGATATTAGTCCATGAATTGCTATTTACAGTGATCACATAGCTACAGAATAAACACCCAAAACGATTCTAGTAGCGCAAGTGCCCTTCGCTGAATATAGTAATTCCTATTTTAGGACCAAAATGGCGGTGATGGCCATTAAAACCCTTAGAAATGTCCTATTTCGTGAGCTAACGACCATGTACTCCGTAGAGGATCCGAGGCTTCCTTTTTGGGAGCGTCTGTAGTTACCATATGTCATGATTATATAAATTCGGGCTGCCCATCTTAGTTATGTAGACTTTTGCAATGACACCATGCGGGGATCACTGATACGATACTCTACGGAGTACTCTACTTGCGAGACATGAGCTCACCCAGGCCGCTGCAGCAAATGGGATGAGCGTCGGAGAGTTTCCTTCAAGTCAAAAGTGGAGAACAGCAGCCTGGTCGCGGCCAAACAAGTGGCGTCATCACAAGCGAAAAAACAGAATAATAAACTAACTGACCTGCTCCCTTGGCTTCAGTGGCTGAAACTACAGCGTCGATGGAGGGAATAATGCCTCGCTCGTCCACGTATAGCTATACAAGGGGGCGGAGCTAATTTAATTTGACATCTGCCTAATGGCTTGCGGCGCGGGGAACTGCCAGGAAGAGACTATTTATCAATCCCCCAAGCGATGCGAAAGAGAGTCATCTTCTCGGTGTCGGATGCTTGCGCTTTACTTTTCTCATTACTTATTTTGGACGTCGCATTTGCTTCTATCTACCATCCACATGAAGTAGCAGAGTGCTGCTCGCAGTCAAACATGAGTTCATTCACAAAATGCCGATCTGCTCTTTACACCCCTGTCGTTGACGAACTTCCAGTGTACGTGGAGAGGGAGGATGGCCTTCCGACATACGCAGGAGATGAAGATGACCAGGAACAGCGTGAACGAGAAGATGACCAGGATAGGGTCCAGTCACTCCTGAACAAACTTTTGCGATCCAGTGATGAATCTCAACTTGATCCCCACATTGTCAAAGACCTGTTACGGGATGAGCATCAAAGATTATCGGATATCATATCATCGCGCACTCAGTTTGGGACTTACCTGCATGAGCTTGCAGCGGACGAGTTGTCATTCCTCGCGCTCGCCGTCAACTGTCTTCTTTTTGCATCCATCTCTACGGGGAAGAGCGAAACTATTTCATGGCTTATATCACAGAAGCTGACTACGCCCAATATCCTCGACAGGGATGGTATGTCTCCGTTGCTAGCTGCTGTAAAGGCGGGAAGAACACGAACCATTCAAGAACTAGTTGATCTCGGCGCAGAGCCTGATGCCTATGCGATTTCGGTAGGAAGCTTCTTTTATTTTGCTCGAGGTCGTTTGCAGGAAATAAAATGGTTTCATTCGTTCCAAAAATAAAACGGACTCTTAGGCCATCCAATTCATCATCACGCTAACTTACGCTCAGGGGTTTCGCTCATTGAACGCCGGGCGCGCTGCCATCAGGAGAACCCCGCTACAACTGGCTGCTGAGCTTGGAAATCTTCCACTTGTCAAAATGTTCATCGAGACCTATCAATGCGATGACTCCAAGATCGCACCAGACGGACAGCTTCCGCTTCGCTTGGCATCAAGAAACGGCCACAGGCATGTTGTCGATTATCTCCCTGTACGTCGAGGGGGCGGATGGAAGCGATGGAAGACCGCGCATGAGGTGTCTATGATGAGAGCAATGCGTGCCCTTGAGGCCATTTTCAAATTTAACGCCTTTATCTTTTACGAAATTCCAAAATTCTTCCTTTGGACCGTCCCCAAGCAAGGACTCGTCGAGCCCCTGATGAAGGCCTGCAAATGGTGTTGGGTAAACAGAGCGGGATTCTTGCCCTGGTTGAAATATCAAGCTCAACAAACACCAGCCAGGATGAAAAAATTTGCAAAATCGGTATGGAAAGTAGCTAAACGAGTACCCAAAGCCGTCACAGATGTGCTGAAAAGTACATGGAAATTTTGCACAAATACCCTGCCAAAACACACCTGGAAAGTCCTCACGAAAGAGATACCGAAAATTGCCATCAGTGTGTCGAAGTGGATGTGGTTCATACTAACATCCGTTGCGACCACGATAGCGAGCCTTTTTCAAAGAGTCGCTTCACTCATTCATACCATACTCAGCGCTGTGGCCTCCTTCTTCCGCGGCCTTACTCTCACGGACATCTGGAATGGATTCTGCGACGTGCTACGAGTAATATTTGTCTCATTCCCACTTAAGGTGTATGATATAATGCTCGACTTCGGAGAGTTAACTTACAAAGCAATGGGAGCGCTTTTTGGGTTTACCGGTAAAATACTGTGGCATACTGGCTTTGCACTGATTTACCTAGTTACTTATATCCCGAAACATATATGGACCGTTATAAGGAGCATAGGGGATTCGATAGCTAAAGGCTTCAATGAACTCCGGGTCTGGGTGAATCCTAAGGGATGAATGCCAAGTTTGAAAACGAGGAGTTATGGAGCAAGTCATACCTTATTTATTTCTTCACCAATTCTATTATGGGTTCGTTTGTTTGATAGCTCATTCTGTAATTATTGACTGACTTTCTCCTCCGAGAATCAAACTCGTGTAATTGGCTCACAATTTTGCACTGCTAATGCATCAACACACCATGGAGTATTTCGAGTATGCCCTGTTATATTTTGCTTGGGAACCGACATGTATTCAACCGAACTGTAGCACGGGTATCAATATCCTCGTTCATGTCGCTACTTCACTAGCTGGTGTCCATCTTGTCCCCAAACCTGTCTTCAAGGGAGCCTTTCGCATGCCGCGACTCCGCAGCTCTTGAGCCGGGCCTTGTCCTGTCGCCGATTGTCTCCGCCAGTCCCGATTCAGATCCGGTAACTTCCCCTTCATCTATCATATTTTCATCCTCCGGCTCCTGCGTTGCCGGCTGCCCATCGGTCGACGACGCACTTATCGCTTGTCGCAGTGGAGTCACACCACGGGTAGCCAGCGGGCGTTGTTTATCTGTTTGGGATGGTGCCGAGGTAGGCCCCGAGTCTTCATGCCCAGCATGCGAAGGGGTTACACTATCTTGATCTGGCTTCGGAGTCCCAACCGCACTTCCTCTCCCTTTCGAGCCGACATCTCCCTCATCACCCTCCTCTTCTTCCTCCATCCCTTCTCTCCTCTCAACTTCCTCTTTCTCATCCCTGATTAACCGCCGAAGGTTCATCCCTTCCTCCACAATTCTACCAAATTGCTCTCTGCGTTCACTCCATGTCTGCGCATATTCCCTGCTTTCCTGCTCCAACTGGGAGATTTCCGCATGTAGCTTTTGGAGGTTGGCCTGTTGATCCTCCCTGGGCCGTAGCAATCGATTCGAAGTAATCTTGTCCGCCAGATCATCATATGTCTTGCGCAGCGCAAGAGTCTTCTGTGCTTCTTCCAGTTGTATCCTCAACTCAGCCGTATTATCCTTCACAGCTTGCGCTGTTGACTGAATTCTCAACTTTTCGGCCGCATAACGTTTCCGCTCTTTCTCATTGCTTGCAAGAAGAAATTGGATTCTGGCAATACTACTTTCAAAAGCAGCAAAGTCGAGTGTTATATCTTCGCGAAACTGGCACCATTCCTCCAGTTGCTTCTGCTTGACAGCGTCGACCTGAGCTGCCGACGCTTCTTCATCGGTTCCTTCGGGCGGTGGGGTGGGAAATAACGTAGATGGCGTGGCTACCAAGGAGTTAGGAGTAAGAAGGCGTTTTGTGATTCGTTTAAATGGTTTTTCTTCCACGTTTAGAAGCCGTGTCTTATGAAGCGCATCTAGATATTAAATTTAACGCAGTTAGAAAGATGATGTGAACACGAAAAAGGGGCAGAAATAGCTCCACCGAATACAGACCTTCAGAAGTTTGATCGAGCAAAGTATAGGATTCCATGGTAATCCTCGACGGCAAATTTAAATTTCATAAATAGGAATGAGGATGAGGATAGCTGGGCGAGTGCTGAGGCATTCGTCAATAAAAGAGGTGAAATTGAAGCTTGTTGCCAGACAAAAGAACGATAGTCAATGCCAAGCCTGAGCTAATCAACCTTGGAACGAGTCCGCCTATCCCGAACAGGTTAGCGGCATCTTGACAACATCACAACTTGGCCTTCGATGGCTTCAATCTCGCCTTGCCAACAACGAGATTCCTCAAAAACTCAACTTCCTTCCCCCCTGAAACGCGGATAGATGGACTTGAAATGGATAGAAGAGCCACTTGAGCACGTATATTTGCTTTCCTCCTTTTGCTTTATATTTCATGTTGTGAACTCCAGGACCATTGAATTTCTCGAAACGGCTAGCTCTGATCTAGGTGTGTATGGGTATAACCTATGAAGGAAGTTTGATGTATATCTAGATGACTAAATTGATTCTTAGGATATTTTTACCAACCACGTCTAAAATGGAGGGCATGTATACTGGGCTTCAAAGGAGGCAATTATTCGAGTCATTGGATGCTTTTAAAGCATTTGTACGTGCAGCATCAATAAAACAGTGCTGGAACATGTGCGTCATCAGAAGCAACAAGGAGAGCGTCGCTTTGGGTTGCAGGTCATCCTCCGATTGTACGTTTCGCGCCATCTGCCGCACAGGCCATGACTACACATACGTAACCTCTGTCACCGACGTCCATTCCTGTCGCGCTTCGCTAGACGCCCCCATACCACCCATTCACCGAGCTCAAGTCTCCCGCCTCGCCTTTCTGATGAATGAAATCCCGAAGTTTTTTGATACCAGTACCAAAGTCACATCCGAAGAGGCTGCGGCAGCTATCAAACGATATTATGGCACTGAAGTGTCCCCCAAACAGACATATCGCGCTTTAAGGAGGCTAGGTATGCACCAGGGTAGACGTCGAGGTCGTCCGCCCCTTCCTAGCGTGACATGGCCAATAGCGGATGATATATCCAATCACGCCACCGGGAATTCCCAACCACAACCACCACAACAAGAACTGCAACAACAACCGCAGCAACAACCGCAGCAACAACCGCAGCAACAACTGCAGCAACAACCACAGCAACAACCACAGCAACAACCACAGCAACAACCACAGCAACAACCGCGGCAGCAGCAGCAACAGCAACAACATGAACCAGCTGTGAACAAGTGGTCACAAAACTTACCCATATTGCCGATCGATGTCGACACTGATCACGATGATGGCGATGTTGACTTCGACATTCTAGAAAGTAGCCGCATTGCGCCTCAACCAAGCATGCCACAACCGAGCCCGGAGACCGTCGCTCGATCTCATCATGTCCCTACTGCACTCAATTCTGCGCCTCCTAATAAAAGCCAAAATTCAGGCAGTGGAAATAATGATACTCAACCCACCCCACAAGGTCGTACCCAGGCGCGCAACGTTCAGCGCCGTCCTCCCAAAGTGTCCGCGGATGTGAAGGTTGAGTTTCCGTGCGCAGCTTGTGGGGCGATTAACCAAGGATTCTTTCCTATCCGGGGCCAAGCCACAACTACGATAGTTGGCAATCAATTGATAGGAAGTGGGAATCATGTCGCCTACGATTTAGGTATGCACCAGTCAGAAGAAGGGTCATGACCCGTCAATCTTAACTGCTTCTATGTTAATATGTATAAATATACTATGTTACTTCTATGTTTAGTTTTTTACCCGGACACCACATGTCCTATAATATGTATATAATCAGAGCTCAGCTTACTGTTTAGATGAGCGGGATCACAACAACGAAATATATTTTGCAACACAGGCTTGGATGGAGGCGGCGCTCTACTGGTGGCGGTCGGGTGGCTACCCATATCATCTTTTCTACTTGACAAATGCTTGTCAAACATTTTTCAACAACTTGACACTCCCCCTTCAGCCCTATTTCGGCAAAGATGAATTCATGAATTGTGTTAAAGTACACGTCAACCGGGTACCATCTCCCGTCTCTCTTCGCTCGCCCTCTTCGCTCGCCAATCCGCCTCTCCACCCGTGTATCAAAATACATTATGGGGGCGGATTGAATATGGGGCACAATGTACATGTACAGTACATTTACTGCACAAAAAGAATCTTGGACCCGCTCTTCTTTTTAGTTACGTGTAAGACTCAACTCTACAGGCGACAAGCACGTTTTACAAAAGCTACATTATGCTACTGGGAACTACCTATTTTCGCCAACCTCTACTATGGGATTGGGACAAAACATACTTCAATTGCAAGCATCCCAAGACTTAGCGGCGGCGATCCATGCCAGTAGCGCAATAGTGGGCCGCGCTGTCAAATTAAGCTTTTCCGGGCCGAAGCTACACCAATAAATTCACGTGATATACCTTATTTCAACAATTCTTGCCATCCGAACTTATTCCCTTGAACCTGCTAACAATGATCTTGATATGTTACCAGGTTATCACCTTGGTAACATGTGCCCGTCTCTCCCGCTGACAAAACGGCACGCCCACTCTGCTCCAAGTTAGGGTTTCTGTATATTCTTCTCCCTCTTCCTTTTGCTTGTTATCCGCCTTTCTCCTCAATTATCGTCTGATACGGCTGATTGAAGCCAAGAGGGTGCTTTCGCGCAATGTTTAGCTACGGTTGGGAGAGGCGCAAATATATGTTAGGTCCCTCAATTAGGCTTCTTGAAGGGAAAAAACCAAACCACAGACAGATGGCAAATTTTCTAGGACAATGGGGACCCAGCGCGCGACTTCCAGAGGTACCTAAGATTATATGTTATACTAGGCATCTAAGGCGAGGAAATTGGGTTCCTTCCGCGATGTTGGCTGCGCTGGTCACCATGTTTACAACTCCCAGTACATGTCACCCCGGACAAATTCTATACTGGAAGTTGTTTCTGGTTGCGATGCCTGCAGAGAGTCTTGTGAGTTAAAATATTTGTCAAAGCCAGTAACTTATCTTATATACAATCTTTAGCTTCCCTGCTGTCAATAACAACTTTTTCCTCATGTTAAATTCTCAGCGCTGTTGCTTCTACATCTATATCACTCTCTACCTTACCAGACACCTCAACTCATTTAGAATCACAGGCTACAAACTCTGGGTGTATGAACTCTGAAGATGACTGAGAGGCTCAGTGATCTGGTCACATAAGTATTGTGAAACTCAAGTTATGCATCCCATCGCTGGGTGCGGAGGACAAGAGCTTTTCTTATGCTTACCCTTGACTACTGCATAGTTTTCACGCGGATAAAGTTGCACCTCAAGTCCATGACCATCATGATCTTGCGGGCGGTGATGAACCGATAGTCGACTCTAAGCCCAACAAGGACTTGAGTTCTCTCCAGCAAAATATATCCTCTTCAGGCTTTGAATTTCTCGGTTACACATATCTGTCTATCAAAACCAAATATCGGTGTTCGGATCATCCAGCCACCGCTAAGATACGGAGTTGGGATTTGGGGAAGCGTTTTCCACTGCGCAAGTGCATCTACTTGTGCTTTTCCTTTTTTCGATTCCGACTTCCCATTTACTTTATCCCTCTATCCGTCTACTTTCTGCGGCCCACTTTTTCCTCTTTGCTCTTGGTATAAGCTCTTGCTAGAGCTATCTCCTCTTATATTCCCCTAAGGAGAATGCCTCCTAGCTCTAATTGGGATTGTTTAAGAAATGAGTTTGTATCACAGCGAAGAGTTATATATATAACCTATAGAATTAGCAAAAGGCGGGGAAACGGATGAAATAAGGGATATTTTACCTAAAATGGAACCAGCAAACAAACACCGAGAGGGAAAATAGATTTCAAACATGACCAGTCAAAATCCACTTTTCTTTTTCATTATTTCCCTAAAGACTTTTACACTCTTTAACTCATTATCCTTCCATTATGACCATGACCCATCTTCGCATCCCAATAACCATACGAGTCAGTTCTGTACAGATGTGATGCGGCGAGATCAACCTCCGCGACCAATGCACTCGCTCGGCCTCTGACTCCCTGCATGGCATGCCAAGCCAATCCCGGTGAGTCGGCTAAGATCCGGCTAACTCAGAACAAGTCTACCTAGCTAGCTAGCAGGACCGCGGTGGAACCTATGCCTGCATACCATACCATACCACTGCTACCAGGGGGGGGGGAAGCTATCTAGCTTGTTAAACTTGCAATCTTGCAATAAGGGCATGTCATGTCATGTCATGCCATGCCACTGCTATTCATTATGATTCCAACGGCAAGACAACAAGAATAAAGTACATGTACATACATGTACAATCTGTCAAAGCCCTACCCTACTCAGCAGGTGGAGGACAGGCGGGAGGGGGGATAGACATTAATAACTGGATAACTACTAGTGTAACAATTATTAACCCGTCAGGACCCAGGAGCTCTCTCCTCTCTTGCAATAATTCACATGCTCCGTACGCACGAGATAATACTATGTATCTATCATACCCCGCTGCGAACATGGGGAGGAAAAGTAGGTTTACGCGAAAAAAAGAAACTTTTTTTCTTTCTTTTTTCTTTCATCCCAAACAAATCTCGTGGCGCACGTTTCGATTTTCCATTTTCTTCCGTACCTTGCAGACACCGCAGACTAACTTAGAATAGAAACGGCCAATTGGGAGGGTATATATGTATAGCCAGCCGCACATGGCGGGCCGAGATCGGCATTCGGTAAAAGGAAAAGGGCAGGTATCACGCAATTCATTTTGAGTTATCAATAATGCCACGGCTCTACTCTTTTTTTTTTTTTTTTTTTTTTTTTTTTTTTTTTTTTTTTTTTTGGCTTTGATAAGGGTTTTAATTTTCGTTCCATGATATTGCTATGTGATAATAAATGGGGACTTTTTTTTGCATATGAAATATAGTAGTATGCTAATAATGCGCAGGGGTATAGAGAGACCAAAAAAAAAAAAAAATCACATGCGAACAAACATATATTCCCGATAAGGCTATGACGACATTTCGTATGAGTTTCCCAAACAATAATACCATATAAAAACAAGGGGGAAAAAATAAAACGTATACATAGATAGATACATGTGCTCTTCAACACAACCAGAGTTGATTCCTGATATCAATCAGTGATATTAACAACAACAACAACAATAAACTAGTTTGAAGCTCCTACCTGCTCCATCCCCCCCACTTTACAACTATCTAAAACAAGCAAAAAAAAAGAAAAAAAAAAAGAAAAAAAAAACCTTATCAACATCCCATTTCATAGATAGTAATTATACATACCTATACATACATATAACTATACTTTGCCTTCTACAGACAGACCGAGGTTTGTGGGCGGGCAGCGGACGAGAACTCCTCACCTACCCCCCACCTCACGCTCTAGACGGCAGGGTGACAGGGTGACAGGGTGATCGATGACTTGCATATCTAGTTGCATATCGAGGCATGCATGAGCTTTGCCAAAAGGCATACTGTGTAGAAAGCATGTGGTAGCTACCACATGTGCGGAGTTACCGCGTGCCAAATTTGTTCACCATCGTGCAGCACGTATCCCATTTTATTCAATGGGTTTTTTTTTTTTTTTTTTTTTTTTTTTTTTTTTTATTTTTTTATTCTTGCAAAAAAGATATTATTAAATTTAAAATTGAAAAAAAAAGACCACCTTCCATTCATCATCTGCCATTCTACCAAAACCCACCCTGACCAACCACTCCTGTATGCTGTATAACCATATCCATCCAACCATCCATCCATCTCTATCTTAGATAAAAAATTTCATCAAATTAATTACCAAAAAAGAACCTTTGCAAGGGTATAAACAAAAGCACACAAAAATAAGGAAATGATATGATCCCGACGCATATGCTCCCTTTTTTGTTCCATGCCGTGTTCCCACACAAGAAAAAAAAAAAAAAAAAAAAAAAAAAAAAAAAAAAAAAAAAAAGAAGAAGAAGAGTGAGAACTTGCGCCAGACAGAAACAAAATTGTAAACCTGGGGAAAACAAGACGAAGAAAAGAACAAACACATGTATGTAGAATGTCAATGCATTCATGTGTCACTTCTCATCTGAAGCAGGTAAAAGAGGCAGGTAAAATGGAAAAGGTGCGCTAGAGGACTCAGGGGTCGAAAGGAAACGGTGCCAATCACGGTAAGCGGGGGTAAGGTGGAGGGTTTGAGCGATTGGAAAGCTTCAAAAGAAAAGAAATTAAAAGTTCCCGGCACGTTATATTCACAACTTAGCCCCCTTATCATTGGGATCTTCATCCGACCCCATCTCCCAGCCATTACTACCGTAGCTCGGCCGGCCAATCGACGAAAGCAAGATGCCCACCTCTCGCTCCAGCGACGCAACCTCAGAATGTGGAGCGTACATCTTCGACCGGATCCAGGCATCCATGTCTGCATCGCTCAGCGCGCGGATTCCCGTCTCCCGATCGACCTTGGCCTCTTGGGCTGCATGGATGACTCCACGTGCCACAACGACGCTCACCTCTCTGATGCGGGTGAGGTCCGGGTAGAGGAGGCCATGTTCGAGTTCCTCTGGGGTAAGGGTTTTGGAGAGGGCTTCGGCAGATGCGTAGATCATGCTGTCGGTGACTTCGACGGCTTTGCTGAGGATGGTTCCCAGACCAATTCCAGGGAAGACGTACATGTTGTTGCCCTGGCCTGGATAGTAGGTTTTTGTCTGGCCAGCTGAGTTTTTAAATGAAAATGGCTGGAAGGGGGAGCCGGAGGCGAATAGTGCCTGACCATCGGTGTGTGTGATGGCGGCTTCGAAGTCGCATTCAGAGTTCGCGGAGGGGTTTGAGAGGGGGAAGATGATGGGTCGCTTGCTGAAGGAGGCCATGCTTCTGAGGATTTCAGGGGTAAATACGCCTCCAAGGGTCGACAGGCCCATAAGCATGGTGGGCTTGACATGATTAACAACCTCGCTCAATGTCTTCAACTGCTGGCCCTGGTTATCAGTTCGCGCAAAGTAAACCTTATGCGGGGCAAGTTTGTCGCCCCGATCAGCCGTGACAAGACCCTTTGTGTCAACGAGGTAGAAACAGGCCTTGGCGTCGTCTTCTGTCATTCCTTCGCGAACGAAGAAGTCGACAATCTGTTTGGCAACACCAACACCAGCGCTCCCTGCTCCAAGGAAGACAGCCTTATGCTCTCTGGTGGGAATGCCAGACTGCTTTACGGCATTCATGACTCCCGCAAGAATAACAGCGCCGGTTCCCTGAATATCGTCGTTAAAGCAGGTAAATCTGTGGCGATACCGTTCAAGAGCTGGGAATGGGTTCTTGAAATCCTCAAATTGCACGACAATGCTGTGTAACGTATTAGCAAAGACAAAAGTGCCTAGATAGATATTGCAAAAGGAGAGACGAGGAATCTTTCTCTTACCCAGGCCATTTCTCGGTCAGGGCGATCATCAGTTCATCCATAAATTCCAATTCTTGCTCAGGGGTCACCTTGTCTCGACGACTACCCATATAAAGAGGATCTTCTCTCAACGCCTTATTGCTCGTTCCCAAATCTAGGGTTAGAGGCAGAGTAGCATCCGGCCTGACACCAGCGCAGGCCGTGTATAGGGCAAGCTTTCCGATGGGGATACCCATTCCATTGATGCCAAGGTCTCCCAGGCCAAGAATTCTAGAGCCATCCGTGATAACAGTAATATCGACATGCGGCTGGGGCCAATTTTGAATGACAGCTGCAATGTTGCCTCTGTCTTCGTAACTGATATACATTCCTAAAACAAAACCAGTGAGTCATAAATGTCAAGAAAGAACAAGGGCTTGGAGACGAATTTAAAAAAAAAAAAAAAAAAAAAGGCTTCCTACCTTCAGGTTGCTGATATATTTCGGACCATCTCTGGCAAGCTTCGCCCACAACGGGCGTGTATATCAAAGGTGTGAGTTCCTGTAAGGATGGGGTTAGCCCTGTGAGTCCTCCAATGTCGTCAAGTTGCAACATTATTTTGGTCTTCGTACCTTTAGATGGTCTACAACCAAACGGTAGAAAAGATGGACGTTATTCCTGCGGAGAGTGCTGAGGTAGAGGAACTTGTCGATGGAGGTTGGTTTGAGGGCCAACTGCCTCAGACCTATGAGTCAGTCAGCAAAATCGGCCTCAAGACCCCCCAAAAATCCCCCCGAATATACTCCAAACAGCGAAATAGGCGCGCAAATCATCCATACATCTAGTCTTCTGTGTCTCATAGCTCTCCACCCGGGGAGGCGTCAAGCCGTATGATCGAAGGTATTTGCGGATATAGCCAGGGTTTGCGGTGTCATAGGAGCTCTCTCTGTTTTTTTTTTTGGTTTTCAGTGCGTCTCAAGTTAGCAAAAGCAAAGTTATTTCCACAACAGGACATGCCAGAGAAGAGAGAGAGAGAGAGTATATTTAGCTCTAACGGACAAAGGCAAGGAGAGAGGAAGGGGACTGGGCAGGATAGAAGAAGCTTACGAAGGAGTAGCGTTGGCAGGGGCAGAAGAATGGACGCAACTGCGCTGCTGGAAACGGGGGACACCTTGACTCATAATGGGCAAGCAAGAGGAGGAGGAGGAACTGGATGAAAGCAACAGATATTGGGCCAAGTTCTTTGGAGCATTCACAAAGCTAGAGGTTGGAAGAGGAGGAGGAAGAGAGAGGAGAGAGCAGCAATTTGCCAGCAAAAGTAACCGGAGTGCTTATTTATATGGCCAAACATCTGGCTCTCTGTCTGGGGAAGTGAGAAGGGAGGAAGGGGAAATAGGGACCAGGGAGTATTATTATTATTATTATTATTATTACGGAGTATATTGTGATTACTTCTCGAACTCGACAACAAGTCAACAAGGCATCGGACAACAGTGACAACAGCGACAACGACGACAAACAACAAACGGCGCAAGGTTACTGTCTGTGTATTCCGTATACAATTATTAATTACATGCCTAGGTACTCGCTCCGTCGTTAAATTTAGTAATAAATCGCCGCCGCCTGCTACTTCCGTACTCCGGACAAGCAAGCCTAACGAGATAGCGTCCCCACACCCTTCCCGAGAGCCCTTTAGCGACTTCTCTAGGCGGTCTTCGGCGTCTCCTCGTTCTCTACGGCTGGCACTAGCCCAGGCATTCCGGGGATCGAATGCGCTGCAAACGCCCTCGAAGGCAAGCCGAGCTCGGGCGATGTCGGGTTGGGGCAGCCTCCCATCCAAAACAGCGGCCTGGTCTGGTGTGGCTCCCTTGGTTCACGTTGGTTGAGGATCAGTTATCCAGTCCTTCATTAATAATGATAATAATGGAAAGCGACACTACTAATAATACCTAGAGTACGGAGTAGTTATGGACTCATGGCTGAGGCGATGAGTCGAGCCTGCGTTTCCGGGGCCATTTTCTGACACACCCGGCGGAGTAAATAACTATATGCTTTGCTGCTCTACTTCCCATATTTGAAATATCAATGAAGTCAGCTTTGAAGTTCTAGAGCGTTGCTTCCAATGTTGACATCCTTATATATATCTCGTGCTCGATTTCCCAACACTTTGATTATTGTTCCTGCTTTTTCTTTTTCTTTTTTTTTTTTTTTTTATGCCCTGTCCCCCTGAACCCTTTTTCCTTTCGTAATAATCCCTGAACCGAACTGGGTTTATTTAAGCTCGGTAAACTGGCGGCTTCGGAAGAGCTGGATATGTTAGTCGCGCAATCCTAGGCTAGAATCAAGCTAGGCTAGAGGAATGTTCATTCATCCATAATTCAACCAACAAAAACGCTCGGGCGGGATTAAAACGAATTCGAGGACTGCAACTCGGCGCTGCGAACCTGTAACAACGCATCGCATTTCGCATCCATGGATGCGCGGTGTGTGCGGTATACTCCCTGACGTCAAGATGAAGCCGCACAACGAACAGCGAACACAACAACAGCTCTTGCCGAAGTCTCACCACTTGAAGAAAACATCCCTTTTTGATGCGCTCGGGGTATCGAGAGATAACTCCCCATTCTCAACCCGGGGCAATAACAATAATAATGCTCCAAAAGTCGCCGCGCGGAAAACCCCATGGGCTTGATTGAGCCTCTGGAGCTTGCCTAGTCACATCAGCCTGGAAGCCTCGCTGGCCCCCCTCCCCTTTTCTGATACATCCCGCATGAAGCTGTCGCTGTTAGCTTGTATCTGGAAACCCTTACCCAGTTCGAGCAGCAAATCCTGTTACGTCTTGGTGTTTTCTTTTTCTGTTTCGCTTCAGGATAGCGGTATCACCCGATATTCTGCGTCAAAGCGTGGTTGCTTCCGATTGTAATTGGTGCGAAGGTGCCTCCTTCAAACAATTGCTTTTTTTCCCTCTTCTTTTCCTTTATCCTTCCTTCTTCCCACCCGCCGCGACACGGGGGCCCAACGGTCCATGGCGAAATCGGCTGGGAATCGTTTCTTGCGCCACGCAATTCTGGACGGACGCAGGCGTGCATTTCTTCTCCAACCAGCACTCAGCCCTGGATCCCCGCTGGGTCTCCACTTAGGCCTGTAGCATGAGCGCTAGCTGCCAAGTACCTCCAACATGGCTGGGCTGCCGGGTAAGTCCGGCTCGGGCGAGGCCGCCTGGGGAGCCTGGGGAAGCTGAAGCCTGTAACTAAGCTAATAATAATAAGAAATCACCAGCTGTTGGGCGGGCATGGGTAGCAAAAATATGACCCATCTCTTCCCCGGATTTTCTTTTTTTTTTTCTTTTTTTCTTTCTTCCTTCTTCAAAACAGACAAGGCGGACACGAGGGACATGTGGTTTCTTTTCCAAATGCGGATGAGGCTGATGGACCTGTAGTCTGCCGTTGGAATATGACACACTCTTCAGGGGCAGAATCATTCTGTAGCGGTGGTTGTTATGGAATTAGTTACAGCGGCTGAAAACAGGGAGATTTTGGTAATCACACCCTTGTCTGACTAATGCCACCACCTAATTATTCAAGTCCTCCGACTATTAATCGGATATAATAATGGTTACTACACAGAGGACGTATAGAAGATACAATTCACAATTCTGATCTATGTCATCTCTGGTATAGAGAATAACAGCTCGAGATTGTGTATCAATGGGGAAGCGGGACAGTGATGAACAGAATCATACATATTCATGAGATTGACAGGTAGGTGCAGCGATCACATCCTTAGAATGCCTGGTTTCAACTCCTTCCTCTTATTAACTACCACTAAAGCATCTAGCAAAGAGCCTATACTCCACAGGTTTTATGGCTAATCGAGTCATACACACCATGAAAGTGAGTAATAATAATTAATATGCCTCCGCTTGCATGCTCTGGAATGGGAGGGTGGAAAGGAGGAGGAAGAAGAAGATTTTTCAGAGCAATTTCTCAGAACAACATCTGAGAATCGTACCCATCAGTGCTATTTCCTTTCCTTTCCCAAGCAGTGATCATATGGTATATACCGTACGGAGTACTTCGCACAGCATGGATATTTACGTAGTAGCAGGGGTGAGCAGTTGCTGTCAGTATCAGTCCCTGCCTGAGCGCTAGTTGCTAACTTACCCCGGATTGACTGGGCGATTTCTGGGCTAAAATTTCCCTGCCAGTCCTGGTTTAGCTGCATAATTCCGCTAGCCACTGCCTTTTGCGTCCCATGCTGGGTACGTGAATAAAACGCACACGTGTTGCATGCGGAGGGAACCATTGGGGAATCCCGGATAGCTTTTGTTGGATTTTTCTGCAGCTGAGAGTGCTTGAAACTGTGAGAACAGGTGGAAACGAGTGGAAAACCTCCCTTGAGAACTTACAATCCATATATCCATATCTGCCACGATTGCGAGAGACCTGTGGCTAGTGATTGAGCGGCGAAAACAAGACGACCACAAGCAACGACCTTAGCCAGATCGAGGGGAATACTTAATTCAATAGTTCCGTGCTGCTGGAAAATACTTCTGTGCGCAGGCCTATTGAAACCCAATTCTCATTGCAGCCATGGCCCATCAAGCCCTCAATAGCGCCAGGGAGGGATGAACACATTCTGCGCCATTGCGACGCCTTCTAGGTACCTGGATGCGTGTTTCTCCGCCCATCGAAATGAGGAATAGGGCGCTTGGATGAACCAGATGAACTAGATGACTCTCATCTAGCATTCCCCTAGACACGTTTCTTCTCTCCATCAATATTAATGCCAATTCTCTGCGTAGTAAAGTACTCTACTTCGACTGTAAGGCTGGCAGCCTGACCAATATCTTGCTACCCCCCCCCCCCTCCCCCGAACATGACATCTAGTTACCCCACAATGATAAGATACGCCGATATGGCTTGCGACGGCCCTCCAGCCCCCTGGCATGGCCAGGGTAGCATTGCACTCGAACCCAAACCGAATTCGACTGGTATGACTACTAGCCATGGCGATGGCGGCTTCCTTTTAGCCCGAGGCTTTGGGAGAAGCTATATACTATTATATATTAGTTGAGGTAATCATTGTTATTCATAGGCCGCTGTCACAAAGAGCTACAGCACCACCTAGTAGAAGAATTATAGGCAAAGAAAGTGGAAGGGTGAATTGCAGGGAGAGGGGAGCGAGATTTGGGCATAGACAACGTGATCACGCAATTTCTGCAAGACAGCGCCATTCTTTATTTTATTATAGGCTCATGTAAGGAGAGTTCCCCTAGAAGAAGCGTACTGCAAAATAGCATAAGTACGTAGTAGATAGGTGTTTGTTGAGAAGGAATAATGATATGATATGAGGGAACATCAATTACAGATGGATGTTCTAGAACAATGGCACGGGCCGGCTTGCCAAGACGGATGAGCTCATCGTCACCAACCTCCTCCAAGGCTCCAAGCTACACTCTGCTTCCCGCTTGCTTGCTGCCAAACCCTCACGCTCACGACGTTCCTTATGTTGAGAGGCGAGCTTCTAGAGTGGTTGTTTGGGTTGATCTAGTCCTTTGGAAGCTTTAATCGTCATTTTCTCTCCCTTTTGACGCCGGCCCGCCAGAAGCTAAACACCAGTAGCTATGTGGTCGTCATGCTGCAAATCGAGAAAAGCTACCAGTGGTGAAACACAGCCTCTTCTCCCCCAGAATCATGATTACGACGAAGATACAGCCCTGCAGCGTCAGCTGCACGAGAAATTGCGCACCTACCAGATGCTCAAGGCCGTCCGTAGCGGCTACATGCCTTCCACAGCCCAAGTCGTCTCCCACCTCCACGTTCTCCTTGTCTCTAGCCTTCTCAACCCGGAACCTCTAGCTATTGGCAACACCAGTCGAGGATTGATTAAGGATGTTAAACTTTGTATTAGTCTGCTCATCAATCTTCTACAAGAGAAGAATGGTGATGATCAGCTCCAAAATGCCATTTGGCAGCTGTCCAAGTCGACGGTTGAAGTTGATACCGCAAGTCTTGCTTCCAGGGGTGCAGTTGCGAAGGCTCAGGCTAATACTACCGCCGGTATTCTATGATATTTCTCAGGGTCTTTTTTCTACTATAACCTTTGACAGATTCTGCTGATATCTCAATTCTAGCTCGCGAGAGTATTCGTACCGTTGCCGGTCTCTTGCTTACCAATTCCGACTTCCGACGATTAGTCGACGACTTGGCTACAATCGGGCGGATGATATTTGCTGATACTGCGTCTGCATTATCTTCCGCAGCTGCCGACGTTGCGGAAGAAGTGGAACCTTCTGATGAAGAGCGAGCCAAGCTACAACCTGGCAACTCAGAGAGTAAGGGAGCTCCTTCTTCGAGGGGTTTAAGGCACGACCTGGAACAGGTTTCCGGAAGTGCTCGTGAGGCAGTGGCACAAACCGGTAAGGCTGCAGCGCAAAGCACAGAGGAGAATGTGGTTGGACACTACAAAAGCACGTTACTCTATAGGGTGAAGAAAACCGTCCAGAGCCTACGCAAACGGGATGACTATACCACCTCTGTATCGAGCATCACGAAATTGATTAAGCAGTATGGGATAATATACTCTCGTGCTGTAGATGAAACAGCCAATGCTGCTGTGGAAGAGGTTGAAGAGAACTCAGACCTCAAACAGGCGGTGCAAAACTTATGGGACTTGGTCGGCTCCTTTGGAGATCGCAAAGAATGGCAGCTTGTGGAAAGGAAATTCTACGAAGTGGTCAAGCACTCTGAGAGTGATCCAGAATTTGAATCACTATTGAAAGAGATTGGGAATTCTATCCAGGGCCTCTTCACGGACCCTGGCTTTTTCGACTCAGCAGATGAGACGGTTGAACTCCTGAAACAGAAGTCTAGAGATATTGGCCCAGACTCCGCTCTTCGTCAGGATGTCGACGCATTTTTACAGCAATTGGGCCTTGCCTTATCATCAGTACTCCAAGACAACGCTGTAGCCAAGCTGCTAACAGTCGCAAAAAAGCTTGGAGGCGACTTGTCCCGAGCCTTTCACGACAAAGCTCCCGCAGTCTCTGAAGATGCTCTCAACGTACTCCTCCCCACCTTGATCCGCTCGATCCAGCATATACCAATTCCTAGACTAGAGGTCTCTACGCCAGAGCTAGACTTGCTACTTGAGAACGTGGTGCTGGAACCAGGCAGTACTTTCCGCTCCTCGTCCTTCTTTCCCTGGAAGGTACTTGTCACCACCCGTAATGATCTAGAGATCCAAAAAGCGCATTCTAAAGCTGCCCACACAACCGTGAAAAACGTCGTTACTATAACGATGAATGGCCTCAACATAAGCGCAAAAGACTTCGGCTACTGGATCCGCGTCCACTCCCCACCATATATTTCCTCCAGCGATGAAGGTATTGCCAGCTTCACCCTCGACGAACGAGGGATCGACATCTCCCTTGACCTCGAGATTGGACGTGATCGCATTGAGCGATTGGTGTCTCTGCTCGCTGTTCGCGTCCACATCCACAAGCTCGACTACACGGTGCGCAAAAGTACATGGTCCTTCATGTGGTGGGTACTCAAGCCGTTCCTCAAACACATGATCCGCCGCGTGCTAGAGAAGAAGATCGCCGAGAAGATTGTTGCGGCAGCACATATCCTGAATCGAGAACTTGTGTTTGCCCGCGAGCGCCTGCGCGCCACAAGAATTTGCAGCCCCCAGAGTCTGGCTACCTTTGCACGAGCTATTCTAACGAGCTTGAGTCCTAAAATGGACCCGGATGTCTATACGCGGGTCGGGTTAGATGCGCACCGTCAGGGGATTTTCAAGGATGTGTATACGCCTGCGAGCGTGATGAAGATTTGGAACGTCGAGGGGCAACGGGCTGGAGAAGCAGTTGAGGATGGAGATCAGAGTGGTGGCGTTCATATGACATGGAGGAATGATGTATTTGACGCTGTGTCTTCCTCACCTAGGACATTCCACTGAGGTCTTTATATTGATATGACTTTTTTCTTTTTTTTTACCTCTTGATTTTAACCAGTCCCATATCCCATCCTCCTTCTACTTGCAATTCTATTCTTTCTCTGCATGTCGACTTTCGTCTCCATAATTATGTTTGGTCCCTATTCCACCCGTACCACGATCGATTGTTTGCTCACGGCCTCTGCCTTGATATATTTCTTGCGAGGTCATCCCTATTTTCGCTTTGAACTAATTCTAATGGACAAATAACGCATTCCTCTTTCAAGTTTGATTCACATCTACCCGTCAACACTCAACTGGATGACACAGATACGATTCCGTAGCCAGAAGTTAACTGCGCAGCCCTATTATAGACACGCTCTGCTCATTTGTATCCACTTCGGACGCTGAATGGTTCATAATTATAACAAAGCTAGTACTAATTCAAAATTATCATGACCTGCCTACCTACTATCATTCCAGCCTTGAACAACAACCATCTGAACCAACATACAATTTCTGTACCTACTCCATAATATCACTATTCAAAGTTCCAAAACGAACCTCCTTGCTCGCACGGTATGCCTTGGTATTTATGTACCTCATTTCGCCATTCGTCCCCAAACAGATAGATTTATCTACAATGAAACCTTTCTCAATTCAGAGGGAGCAAACTTACTGCGATTCTCAACCCTACACTAATTGCCCCAGGGCCCAGGTACACATGAACCCTCTTCCCCAAAGCCACTGGCCGGGGCTTGCAGAAATTAATTAAGCAGTGGAACTTTAATAACTAGCGCGTACGCTCCACGGGAGCCTTAAACCACCCCCCCCCCCCCCCGAAAACGTTTGTTGAATATGGGAGGGGATGGCCAGATGTAATAATTCTCCAGACTCATGACAGTAAGGATTTAGAATATGGTTTCAAATTGCTAAACAGTGCAGTAGTTTGTTGAGATGAGGCATGGACGCCTAATAAAAACTGGCCGGACCCTGCGCATTTCAGCATCGTTGACATTCCCGAACTACTTAGTGACGCAAAGTCTCCAAGCTCCACACTCAATCTTTTAAAAATCGTCTATATGAGCATGCTAGATAGGTAGTGCGAGGGAATATTCAAGTGTCCTCAGAGACTTGCAAGGCAATATACCAGCAATCCATTTGTACTAAGTTTCGCTGACCCTTTAAAAGGAGACTCTGCCAATACGTTCTGATTCCAGGGTTGTTGTACCCGTCGTAGATGATATTGGGAACAATGTGGTACCCGGTTTGATTCGAGAAAAAAGACACAATAAAGCCGCACGATGGGCGTCGTTACAAAATGAGAAAATGTTACTACGGCTGCAAGACGAACAAGAAAAGCTGTTGATCAGTCGCAGCCTTCACATGTTCCAAAACGGCCTAAAATGGACTTATCCACGTGACCTAAAGCATGCGCCGGAATTTAGATGATCCGACTTATCGCAAAGCTGTCAGATGTTTAATTTCTAGCCTATCAAAGGCGGCATCGTGGTTAACTGCCAGATGTCAACAAATTTTCCGCCGTTCCTCTCTCCTCCCGCTTCTGTTCCTGTTTTCCTAAAACACAGGACCTTCACCGTTTTTTTTAAAAAATATATATATATTTCCCCCCTTCTTTTCCGTACGGTTTCGTCATTTGTGGATATCCGTCTTCTTTTTCCTGTGTTTCTTGTTCAATGGGCGCTTCGAATGGGCCGATCTATACCTCCGACGATTAACCACATCCCAGAGTTCTTACACCAGCGCAAACCTAATTCGCACACACGATATACTTCATTGGGATATTGGGAAATTCTTCCCAGATTAGAGACACAGGGCTGATTCAGCCATGCTCCCATTCCCTTTTCTTGTAGGGTTTTCGTTGCTTGTGCTCCTCCCCGTCGTGCTATGCGCGGAGGACTACTATAAAATTTTGGGACTGGACAGATCCGCTTCTGATCGCGACATAAAAAGAGCGTATCGGACGTTAAGTAAAAAATTCCATCCTGATAAAAATCCGTATGTGCTTTGTCCCTGCTTTGTCCCTGCTTTGTCCCCAAGTTCTCCATTCAAAACCCCGTTTAGAATCATTTTGCTAATTTAAACTTTGCTTTTACCTTCTAGGGGAAATGACTCTGCGCATCAAAAATTCGTTGATATAGCTGAGGCATACGATGTTTTATCGACGTCGTCGACGAGGAAAATTTACGACCAGTATGGACATGAAGGTTTAGAGCAGCATAAACAAGGCGGAGGACGAACACATGACCCGTTCGATATTTTCTCCCGCTTCTTCGGAGGAGGTGGTCATTTTGGCCACTCTCCTGGCCAACGTCGGGGTCCTGATATGGAAATCCGCCTCTCACTTCCTCTCAGCGATTTCTATAACGGCAGGGAGGCGACATTTGAAGTGGAAAAACAACAGATCTGCGAATCTTGCGAGGGAACTGGGTCTGCTGATCGGAAGGTCGAAACCTGCCATCAGTGCGGCGGTAGGGGTGCGGTGATTAAGAAACACATGTTGGCACCCGGGATTTTCCAGCAGGTTCAAATGCACTGCGATAAGTGTGGCGGGCAAGGGAAGACGATACGGCGTCCATGTCCTGTATGCCAGGGGCAGCGCGTTGTGAGGAATTCCGTCCCCATGTCAGCCACAATAGAGCGCGGCATGCCCAAGGGAACTAGGATATCGTTTGAAAACGAGGCAGATGAGAGCCCCGACTGGATTGCTGGCGATCTGGTTATCACCCTGGACGAGAAGACACCAGAGATTTTTGAAGACGAGAAGGACCGGACTGACGGCACCTTCTTCCGGCGCAGAGATAATGACCTGTTTTGGAGAGAAGTACTCAGCCTCCGAGAAGCATGGATGGGAGACTGGACGCGCAACATCACACATCTGGACGGACATGTAGTACAGCTGCATCGAAAACGCGGGGAAGTAGTCCAACCCTTTACCGTTGAAACTATTAAAGGAGAAGGCATGCCAATCTGGCACGGTGGCCATATGCATGACCACGACGGCGGCGATGAGTTTGGCGACCTCTACGTCGAATATACGGTTGTGCTTCCAGACCAAATGGATAAAGGGATGGAAAAGGACTTCTTTGCGCTCTGGGAAAAGTGGCGCAAGAAGAACGGCGTGAGTCTAGAAAAAGACAGCGGCAGGCCCACCAAATCTCATTCTAAGGATGAATTGTAATATAACCATTTGTAAATAAGATTCTACATTTTTATTTTGGCAACTTAATTCCCCCATGGTATTTATCCCATGATTTTCTTTTCTCAACCACTCTTTGCTTAAAAAAAATAAAAAATAAAAAATAACAAGTGCTTAGAAGCATAGTTGTGTTCAAGGGCTAGACAATTGATAGAGATATATAAGTTCAGAATGAACACAAATCACCATCATCGGAAATCCTGAATCAGGCTTGAGATTATCGATGGCATTCCTCATTCCACTCCTGCATCCAGTATCTTGGAAGGAACATTCCAAGGCAGGCTGAGCGCTCTAACATTTGAACTCTGGCGGCCATCGCGCTCATGATCCATAACAGTGCATATTATTCTCTGATGATAACTTACTATGTGATTGTCCCCCCACAGGGCTCCCAGATGAAACGTTTTGAATGAACATCCTTCCTTTCAGAAAAGCTACAGTTGCAATGGCTTTGCCCATTACTGCAATCTGGTATGAGAGAATCTACCTTTTGATCCAGATATGTTAATAATATTAATACAGATAAAGTATACTTTTTATCATGCTCTATAACAGCTGAGAACAAGAGTTCTACCCTAGGCATGCATGTGTTTCGTCTTTATTATTAGTTAGCGTATCCTATTAATACTCGCGCTTGGATGCAACGCCTGGGAAAATCCCCGCCGTTCATGTAACGTCTACACGTATTGCGGCATGCGTTGCCCTATTTTTAGAATCTTGAAACAACTTTCGCCTCTTGCAGAGCAAACAATATTAATGGCCCCCGATTCTGTACGGTAAAAAGCTCTGCCGTTGTTAGTTCTGACTGATATCAAAAGCTCTCGCTCTCGTATATTGTGGAGAGGCTAATTTAGGCACTTGTGCTTCAACGCAACCATTGGTGATTATCTGCAGTTATTTACAGCGTCAAGACATTTCTTGCAATGTTGCGTGAGGGACCAACCTGCTCTTGTTCAATAATATAAAAGAGTTATATCCTGTAAACAATGTCTTCCATAGCTATCCCCTGAGGGACTTTGCCTGAAGACCGTCCGTTTGTGCTGGAGGGTGTCTCTTTACCAATTCAACGCAAATCAGTTTTCAGGATGCTTAAAAAATGTCCACAGCATCTTCTTATCTACTGGAACCAGAGCTCGAGTAAGCAATATCCCAATGTTTTTGGACGAAGAATTCTTCGAACTCTGGGCATGCATGGCGGAAGTCAGCAAGTCGCAATACATCTTATTTGTTAACCACTACACTAGGCTACATAATATCACAAATGCCGACTCTCATACAACGAACAAAAAGACACTCAGTCACGTCCAGCCCAAAACCTATAAGCTACGCAGGTTTCCCCTCCGAGCGGCCGCGCTGATTGTGGGCCCAGCGGTGGTCCTTGCCTACTACGCTTTTATCTGGCATTTGGTTGTGACCAGGGCGGAGGATACGCTCAAACTTGGCATCCCAAACGAGCTTTGGATACACTACTGCTGGTTCGTTGTCGGCGTATTTGGCCTGAACTTTTCAAAGTATGGCCTACTCGGTATCGAAGCGAGCATGCTGCACGATCGCAACTGGCAGGTTAAAAGTACCATGAAGCTATTGATGCATTGCGACAGCGCTTGGAGCAGCCCAGGAGGTTGGCTCAAATGCGGCAGCGCATTGTTGCGGCAGAAGAGGAATGTTGCGGGGCGGCTGTGGTACACACTGGCTGTCCTCAGCTTGTTTCCCTTTGTTGCTCTCCCACTGTCGGGATTGACCATGGAGCCAGTCGATGGCTATGTCGCATCACACGAGTCCCCACTGGCCATCGGACACAAACCAGACGACTTCAATCGCAGGCCTAAAGCATCAAAGGAAACCTTGTTCTGGAAAACGGGCCAGTCTCCAACAATTCCGGGGATAGGTATAGTATATACTGCACCTCATGTGCAACGGAATTCCGTTCCATACCTCCGGGACCTGCCGAATTCCCTACCTTCGAATATTTCTGAAAGCAACCCAGAGCTTTTCCTTGCGCCACAGGCGAATGTACCTATAAGTGGGAGAGTATGGGGTTTGCTCATAGGATGCAACTGCTCCATTGTCAAGTCATTTTCTGAATTCGCAATCCTGAACCAAAGGACAACTGCCGACTTTAATGAAACCAGCTCGCTGACGGAGTTAAAGCTTAATTCTTCCCAATTAAGTGATAGAATAATAATCGCTGCTAATTCAAATGCCAACTTGGTAGCTCACGCCCAGATAGGCTTCAATTTTTCAGGGGTATACGGGCAGACTGGTTGGGCTGCTACTGCGCCTACGCCCGCCCTTTTTGAGTATGCTCTCTGGCAGGGGAATAGGGAAATGGGATTTAATCTTCTTCGCGAACAAGTCAATTTCAGCACGACTATTGACTCACCCATGGCCGACGTCGGAGGCCCTTACTTTCAGGCCAAGAACGGCACCTTCTATTTCAACCAAACATTTTACGGCAACCAACCCGATGAAAATGGCACTGTTAGCTCAGAGCCTGTGTACCGGTCGACGTCCCTAAGTCACATCGCCCCTCCCATCGGAGTCCGTTGTATTCGGGACTCTAAGCTTGGATACGCTGACGTCGATCGCAAAGGCCACTTCCACTCATTCACGAAAAGTCCCCCTCCCCACGTTGATACCCATGAGAGCGGCGATGTGTTCGGTTTTGGCTACATCGGCCACGATATCGCTGGCAAATTCACCGAGCTCGTAACATCCACGAATTCCCCCCCACCGCTACGTTTCACTCACGGGCTATACTACCCCAGTTATATCCAGGCCGAAACTCTTTACCAGTCAATCATGCTCGCGCATGCCTGGAACGCCTTGGAATTAATGTATGACAGCAGTTACACTTTTCAATCTGCTTATATTTTACCCAACGCAACCGGCTCGCGAGCCAGCAAGGTTATGGGCCCTGGAGCCATCCCGCCCATCTATGTCGGGGTTTTATTCGCCCTGTGGGCCGTAGGTTCCGTCATACTTGGCTGCGGATATGGACTTCGTCGTCGCTGGTCTGAGAGGCTGGATGGGTATAGCATGTTCCGGTTTGGAGCAGATTTTGCGCGAGAGATCCAAAACGAGCCTGATTTTGCGTGTACTGCAGAATTTGAGGAATGTCAGGCCCTGTGGAAACTGCCTGGTTTGGTGGGTGATGCCCAGCCGGCGAGAGATATCGGACACATTACGCTGGTGAAATGGGGCAATGAGCCGAATAAGGGGAAAAGATATCATTAGCAATTACTATTTACTTCGGACGGGGGAGTTCTTTTCTTTTAACTTGGTATCGCGAATATAATTGGATAAAATAAAAATTTATTGCAACACTAAATAGAAACGTTATGGAGGGACCTTTTCTGATTTTGATGCCAACTTACTCTTCTATCTGGAAGTGGGCTTAAGGTTTGAACGGGCTGTTAAATATTTAACTTAGCTTACACAACTTCTAATGACAGAACCCTTCTTGACCAGGATGGCTTTTTCATTACCAACGTTCTCCGGCTTATCGGTTCGTTAACTGTCGAAAACGTTCTCTCAGCTCTAAAATACCCATGGTGGAGGGCACATACCCTTCATTTTATTCTTCTTGCCAAACAACTGCCACTGAGAACTTCGCTGTCACCTCTATCCAGGTGATTGGGCGAGATTCCCCAGGCCTGGAAGAAACACACCACCAGCGCTGTTGTCCTCTCGGAAAACACGACTAGGGCAGAGCCAAGTCTGATACCCCGGTGGGAATACTCTATTTCCACAATGATTCTCGAGGAGTCTGAGTGTAAGCGACCAGCGAATTCTTGAAGCGACAAAGGTTCCGCTGTAGGCTACTGGGGCAAAAGAGCTCAATCACCACCAGCGCTGCTGGTAGAAGGGCCGATCAACCCCCGGGACCCCCAACATCCGCGATCTTCACCTTATTAAGCTTATCCATGCCACTTATTATACCTGATGCCAGGGATTCGTTGAACTGCCCACATCACCACCACCTTGACTGCCTGGCACTGGGCATATTATATGACATGCACCACTTATCGATTAACGATGTGAAATTGCAGAATATCCCCCCGTCGCACTTGCATTCCATTCGCGAGGGGATCTCCATCCATGAAGATCTTGAGGCCAAACTGGTACAGATAGCGGACGCGCAGTCCGGAAAGAAAGAGTCTTCAGCGAACAAACGCCATATGTGCCATATAGTTTCCCAATGATGGGCTGTTGCTGCAGGGCATCTTCTTGAAAATTCCCTTCAATCAAGCATCGTGGCGGCCGCTGGCCGTCTGGCTGCCGGTCAGTACGCAGGATTGGAGATTATATCATGGTTTGATGAAGTTAAGGACCTCACGTCATCTACGGTAGGGCTTGATCCGCCCTTTTAGTCCACCCCATGCATATCCTCACCGTCAAGATACGGATAAATTGTTCAGGCTGTGTCTAGTGCCATGGAGACTGCAACAGTCTAACCCTCGCCGCCTTATGAAGTTTTCTTTTTTCTGCCTTTAATACCAGCGCCCTCTCCGTTCTCATTTTTGAACTAAAAGCCCAAACCACGGCACTCCTAGGCCACTCGATTCGCTCCGTGGCCATCTCATGGCCAGATTACGTCCAACTATCGGCCAGTGAGATTTTCCAAGTCATCGAACCCCTAGGACTGAAAAACCTCGCCAGACCAAAAGATCACCAAGCTCATTAAAACAGGCGGCGCCGCGGCCCCCAGCAATTCGAGATTTGTCAGAGACGATCGAAATGCTCTGCGCATGTACCTGGAGCTAGCTGCCCTGCGTGTGCTGGAGGACAATCTAGACCCTGTTTTTTTCATGGCTGCGAAGGGTGCAGCGGATTTCGCGAAGAGAACGCAAGAGAACCCTAGAGGTTGTGTTGAGAGTGAGCGGTGTCGGAGTTTGAGGGGGAAGAAAAGGTAGGGAGGGGGTTTTCCTTACTATTAAGGGCGCATCTGCGATGAAATATGGAAATGGGTTCTTTTTCCTCTTCACCATTTAGCGTTTTTCATTACTTTAGCTCAGGGCTGGAATATATAAAATTTAAAAATAAAAATAAAAATAAAAATAAAAAAAATAAGAAAGACTCTTGATCTATCATAGAAATTCGGCGTGTAGCTATAGATATCACTTAATCTAGGGAACTTGGTGCTACTTGGGCAGGAATGCTTGTAAGGGGTATGAGAAGTAGTAACTCCGCCCTCTAAATCTATCCCTAATTCCTAATTTCGACGTAAAGAAAATATGACCATAATGAAGAAGAGAACCTTCGGTCTGGATTGATCATACAAAGTATACATATTGAAAAACATGAATATCTTCAATAATTCAACTTTGTTATTATATATATAAACATTTTATAATATATACTCTTAAGTTTCTACATTATCTGAATTGAAGATATTCATTGTTCTTAATAAATACCTTTTATATGATGAACTCATACAAAAGGCCTCTCTTTTGTTACTCTGATATTTTCATTACATCGGGTGAGTTCTCTGCATTATTACTGTACATGCATGCAGCAACTCACCCGATAAGTAGGTAAACCCTTCAGAAAGTGATTTGAAGGTATGAATGCTTGCTTGCTTAATGCCTGTTGTAGAGGCTGTTGCAACACCTTTCTAGCCATAGCTGAATAGAAGAAATGCTCTAGTGATGTTCTGCAACCTGTTTGAATAAAATAATTCTTTTCCGTTTTTTTGTTTTGTATCATATTGATATCTCATCATCAACTATGGTAAAATGCCATTGCATGTTCAAGAGAGGTAGGTAATGATGGAGATGAGAAATCAAAAGAAGAAAATTTAGGGAAAAAAAAAAGAAAGAAAGAAAAAAAAAAGGGGGAGGGGGGGAATAAAAAAGGAAAACAAAGGAAAAAGCTGTCCCACGGCGAGCATTCATAACGCCAAACAGACTCCAATGACTTTTCTTGACACATGGGACACACCATTCATTAACACCAATGCATCAAATAGTAAGCTCACAGAGCGCAAAACCTGCATGAAAGCACACAAACCTCCCAGATATCATAACCAGTGGTGAGATCTCCGAGACCCATGAAGGTTTAGGGAAAAGAAAAAAAAAACCCCAACGCCTCTCATTCAGGAGCTACCCGTATTTTCTGCGTTTGAATGAGAAAAAAAGAAAAAACCTCTTTCTAGTCCGCCTTACGCAGTAGGTCGTAGCTTTTTAAATTCCCCAAGGAAAATCCAACAAGAGGCAAGAAGAAATATATATATATATACTATCTGCCAGGAGCGCTCAACGGAGCGCTCAACGGCGACGTGTCATTCTTCAAGCCCAAGTTAGAGATCCGACGCTTCCGTCTAGCTTTCAGTCTGTGCTCAGTATCCATGAGCTTATTCTGCACCCACATGCGGACGTCTTGGTGGGTTTTGATGGAGGCCGAATTGAGCAATTCCGTCAAGGCGAGCTTAACCTGCTGGTCCACGTCATTGGATTTATCACCGTTTACGGCGTCGAAGATAGGATCGGTTGATAGGGGGGATAGAGGGGATGGCGGAGGGGTAGAAGAGTAGCGAATCGGGGGCTGAGGAGGATAGGAGACAGCGCCGGGGGGAGAGGGGTAGCGGCTTGGTGGCTGTGTTATGGAGTGGGCGGAGGTAGGCTGGGCGGCCTTGAGCTTGTTTGTCAACAGTGCGGTATGCATGACTTCGGGTTTTCGGGTCCGATGTTGCAGAGTTTCACATAGGAGTTTCGAGTTGCCAGAGAGAGAGGAGGGGAGGAAGTTATTTTAACGAGCGAATGGTGAGAGGGGGTTTGGAGCGATCGACTTCATAAAATCGCCCAAGTGGGAGCTTGGGTTATTTGTGTGGGACGGCTTTATTACAAGCTCATTTGGCTTGTAGAGGGTTTGGATAAGGCTGGTTGTCTGTGGGGAAGGGTTGGTGTTAAAAAATTCGCCAACAGACAGATGCGCGCAGCGAGAGCCTTCATATATCAACTCGCCGGGCAAATAATGATGCAATGAGAACGAGATTGAGTTGGGTCCAACTCCGGGCGACAAAAGTCTAAAATGGGCCTGGAACGTCACCGGTTTGGCTTGAAGCTTTCGTGAGACAACGCCAATTGGCGCAGTGGCGCATCTTTGAGCTCAACAACAGAAAATACTTACAGAAAACTTGAATAAGTTCAAACATCACATAATCGATATGAGTCCTTTATTATAGATCATTTTTTTTTCTTAGATTCAATTCTTATTTTTTTATTTTATTTTATTTTTTTTTTAAAAAAAACGTGTCATTCTCTCATACTTGAAATCTATTATGACGAATTTTCAAATTTCATTCTAGAAGAATCAGTACACATTTTTATTTAGAAAAAAATCATTATAATATACTTGAAAAATGATATATATACTTCTATTATAATGTTGAACCTATTCAGGTTCTTCTGTAAGTCTCCTTTGTATGGGTTCACCATTGAAAAAGGTACCTTTACTGTGATATTCCCGCTACGCTCGGGCGCACTCACTAATGGTGGTGAGTTGCGCTTTGCACGGTTATTATTATTATTCCCTTCGAATTTTCGATCCCGCTACTACATATCCCCTCATTTATCGTGGCGCCCAGGGAAGATCCTAATCTACCAATTGGCGGGGATAGCTGGCGTCATCAATGTTTCGCCCTAGTTAAAAAAAAAAGATGGAGACGCTGCACACGTCACGTCTCTGTTTCTTCCTAGCCAGCTACAGAGCAGCCTTGATTCCTATGCATCTTCCAAAGTGGTTGTGCACCAGAACGCCTTGGCTGCATCAAACCGAAGGCCGCGGATTTTTTGTGCCTCTTGGATAGTGCAGCTAGTTGAGTAGTGCAGGTTCTAGATTGCGCTCGTAGCTAAGGATAAAGTTGTGTGTATTTTGCCATGTGGTGGCTGGCTTTCCCTCCTTTCTTCTACTCCGTACGCTGTACATGGTTGAAGCTGCCAAATCTTCAAAGTTTCCGAAACGAGCTTGATAGTAAGGGGCTCGTTTTGAGCAAAATTGATGGATAACCAGGGCCCGCCTTCGCTCGAGGAATCCGTAATATATGTGTAGAATCAGTGTGAGGGTAAATCGGTACCGAAGACGCTCATTGCCATCCTTTTAGAATTTGGGGCCAAAATGACCTGATTGTAGTTTTAGACGCGAGGACGTCAATTGAGACTTGTCGAGACAAAAGGATACCAACCTCGTCCCGAAAAGAATAATGTGGGTATACACGGAGAATTAGCTGAGAATTCGTGAAGACCAATCTTGGATTGTAATGTACAGAGGTGCCATATTGAATCTTTTTTTTGCGCAACCAAACACCCGTGGAGTTGGGCGGCACCAGGGCATTTTACACGGCGCTTTATAAGTTATCCCCTTTGTTGACGGGCCAACAACCAATAATAATAATAATGAGCAACCACCCCGCGATCCGATCATAGCGATGATCTTTTGGGTGAAAAGCCCAGTTTTCGGTAGCTCTCTCCACATAACTTGAAGTGAGCCAATCGTTTGAGGCGTACTTTGGAAGCAGATATTTCTAGAACCTTGGACGAGTGGGCACATATCTGCTGTGCCACCACGAAGCCTGACCGTCAGGTGGCTGAGCAAGAGGAGTCAGGGTCCACAGAATTCATACTCCTCCTCTAACGCGTTCCGATGAGGGTTTGTTTTCATTTTCACTTTTTATACATGCTGAATCGATCGGAAGAGTATGAATGGGAATGGAGCAATGTTGCAGGGGTTGGACAGCGAATAACCTTGAACGCTCTAAGGGAGAGACAATCCATGGCCCTCTCGATTGATATAGTGCGTAGTCCTGCTTGGGCAGCTTTCGACATTTACAGGAGTGAAGGAAGTATATAATAATACATTATTGGATAGACGCGAAGAAAGGGACTAACGCTGCCAAGAATTTCTCAGATTATGTAATTGGGTAACTATTCAGTGCAAACAGCACACAAACAGTGTAAATTGTGCAAACGGTTCATCATCTCATATTCAAAACAAGATCCTTTATTGAAAAAGACCGGAAGACCAGGTTAGAGTGAACTATTTTCTCTAGGAGCGATTTCACCTTCCCGGTAATCCAGCTTTTTCTCAAACAATCCGTTAACATGGTTCGAAAACTCAAGCATCACGAACAGAAGTATGTTAAGGCTCCGAGAGAGGATACCACATTCGCGCAACAAAACGTGAAATGTTAGAAGAAGAAAAAGACAAATTCCCTAACGCTCAAACCCTTATTATTCTAGACTTCTCCGCAAGGTAGATCTTCACACCTACAAATCCGACGCCGGACATCGTGAAGCCGCCATCCGACAGCGCTACCACTTCCAACATCCGCTCGATTATCAAAAATACAACTCGCTCTGCGGCTCCCTGCGACAACTAGCGCATAAGCTCTCCGCCCTGGACCCAGAAGATCCGTTCCGAAAGGACATCGAAAGTCAGTTGCTGGAGAAATTGTGGGCAACGGGCATATTGAAGCAGAGTCGTGAGCAAGGCGCGGGCTTGAGTAGGGTTGAAAGGGAGGTTACAGTTAGTGCGTTTGCGAGGAGGAGATTGGGCGTTGTGATGGTGCGGATGGGGATGGTGGAGAATGTTCCTACGGTACGTACGCCCATTTCCTCTCTCTTTGCAACCCCCTCCCCCCTCCCCCCTCCCCGTCCTTTTTCTTTTCAGTGTTTTACCTATTTGGCGCGACACTCCTAGGAAAGCTGGCGTTGTGGTTGCCTTTCCGGTTTTATCTTGGATATGGATTATTAAATTAAAAAAAATACCGGACATGAGCTAACTTGCCGTTTTCTTCTTCTCTTTTCAGGCCGTGAAGTTCATTGAACAGGGCCATGTCCGTGTCGGCACGGAGGTTGTCACGGACCCTGCCTTTCTCGTGAACAGAAATCTTGAAGACTTTGTTACCTGGGTTGATTCGAGCAAGATAAAGAGAAATATCTTGCAGTACCGTGAGAAACTGGACGATTTCGATCTTCTATAACCGGCCTCGTCTTCTTCAAGGCTGGTGTGAATCCGGGAAGGTAGCGGGATTATTTTGCATCTGTTTCACATTTTCCTGGCGTGTCGGGGATTGATATTTTGGTAAAAGCTTTTATATGTTAATCGGGTTCGAGCTGGGTTCCTATGGATTAGTAAACCGTCGACTTTTTTGCCCGTTTTCCCTTTCTACCGTTTTAGTTGGGAGTTTTCATATACCCTCACATGTTTTATGCATGGTTTATGAGTTCAACGTTCGTGTACATACAGGCACAGTATATCTATTACATGTCGTTTGTTTTGTCCTGCATTATTAGGCCAGAAGAAACTAAGGATGGGCAATTGGGAATATTAGGCTATCAAATGGTAGTAAAGTCATTTAGACACCACACCACACCGTTGTCCATTACACCGGCGTCTGCTCCACTCGAGCGCCAATAGCCGGAAAAGCTCCGCTTCCTTCCCTCCTCGACACAACTGATAACTATAGGGACTTTATGACTAGTATTTGGGCTTTTGTCACCGACCTGTTGCAAAAGCATGGTGGCTGTTGCTGCGGCTCTCTGTCGCCCCCATCCAGATCAGGAGAGCGGTACAGCCCTTTTTGGCATGGTTTAACAGGGCGAACTCTACTGCCCCTTTCGTTGTCCTCAAGCTGTATGTTTGCGACTATCTCACGCGGGCTCCTAGTATGTACAGTACATGCACATGTACCGATCGAAATTGAGCAAACAAATCAACCAATTCCCTGCTTCTCTTCCCTCATAAGGCTCCCCCGCAAGCCTAGAATGTTGAGGGCGACGAGCAATGGGTTTTTACTGACATTGATCCCTCTGAGATAGCATTTAAGCAAAAGCTTTTCAAGCTCAGAAATTCTCAGAAACATTCCTTGTTCATATAGTTATCTCAACAAGATATGTGTGTAATGAAGATGGCCCAAGCCCAACACACACAACCTCCTGAGCGCGAAACAAACATTCACATCTGCGAATCGACTGCCTACAGACAACTGGTGAAACAACGGCCTTTGCGACCACGGAATCGTGCCTCGGTTCCTATGGGAACAAAAGAACGGATGGACTTATATTAATCACATTATCAACCTCACCTGATCATACGTGAGGGGAAATTAATGAGGCTTATCTCTATTTTGCATTGAATATTGAGTGCATTTGTGGAGATTGGTGCGATGACCTTTTGGGACCGCGGCGTGAGGAATATAGATAGCATTCAGTGATTGAAAGAAATATTGACGATGTGCGACCACAAGCTCATTTCCTCGTCCGCGCTGGGAAATTTTGCTGCTCAGAACTCTCATCATGTTTGTAGTTACGGAGTACAAGATGGTCTCTTGGGCCTACGAAGCCAAGCATTTTTAGATAGGGGAACTCTTTCTGAGTCTACTGCGTAGTCTGATAAGTCAGCATAACCTTTCAATCAATCAAGCTTTACACGATTTCTATATAAGATAAAACAGAATGGATATTTCTGACACTAAAAGACAACCTCCCTGACAAGATCGGAGACAAAACAGGCGAAACATGGAAGAAAGAATAAAACTATGTACATGTACATTAGTTAATCGGAGATATGGATTTTGCCAAAATCCCCTTTGGCACTAGGCCTGGATTGGTGGGTGGGGTGAGGCAAGCTGCTTTAACCCAACCGGCTAAAGTTGCTCCTCCGATACTTTGTCATCGCCATCACTTGGGTAACCACTAATTAACTGTTGGGGGGTCCCGGGGGTTGATCGGCCCTTCTACCAGCAGTGCGCTGGTGGTGGTGACCACAAAACGACTAAAATCATGTGATACTGAATTTCTTATGCTTCCCTAAGCCAAAATACGCGAGGCAGCAGCCCGCCCGGCAAGTGGCAGCCACGGCAAGCAAAGGTGAGTTTCCCTATTACTTTGGGTTTCGGAGGCATGTTCTGACCAATATTACAGGTAGCGACAAGGAGAACGTTGAACCATTGCAGCCGCTATGTGTACCTACTAGTTAAACCCGTTAGCAGCGCCTTCGGTGGGCAGTCCCACTACTACACTCACTACTCCGTACTCCGTAGTCTCTTACGCGAGGTTATAGGTTGGACATTGGCAACCCCTATAGTTATCCTTCTGTGTCGCGAGGCCGTAGATGGGCGCCTCGAGTATCTCAGGTCGATATTGGCAGGATTGATTTTGTTTGTGTCACAGCGCGTAACCTTAGGAGCATTTAAAGCACTAACCGCTGCACTATCAGCAAAAGACTACTCCGTAGAATATGAAGCCGTCGGCTTCATACTGCTCTCGCTTATATAGTCATGCTTGCCACGCCGTTACAGATTGTCCCTGTTTTCTAGCTTTAGTGTACTTATGCCTGGTCAATTTCCCTTATCCCAAAGTCCTCTGCGACGGATAAAAATCAGAATAATTGATAGAACTAAATGAGATTATGTAACTATTTCGACTCTTGCTAAAAATTCATTCTACTTTACAAAAGACTTCCAAACTAATCCAAATCCCAACGCACAAGTTTAAGCAGGGGTATATATAAAATCAGAGAAAGGGGAGAGTGTGAGGAAAAAGAGAATAAAAGAATATTGAATACATTACTTCAACACCTCTGGGTCGTTCTGGGCCTTCTGCAGTACCTTCTTCATATCAGAATACAAATTTGGATTGGGGGTTTTCCACCTTCCATTGCCAGGGAAAACATCCCTCCGTAGCTTGTTGACCCAAGGGACCAATGGTTGATAATGGACAGTAGTGTTGTCATCCATTGTTTTCAAGAACACATCCTCTGCAGCAATCACACCTATCTTCATTCCAGCCAACTCTTCCGTGCTCACATAATTCCACTTCTCAAACCGCGGAACAGTTCTCCCTTTCCCCAATTCATCATAGTGAATGCATATCCAGAAAAGCACCCAGAAGAATGACTCGAGATCATGCATGAAGGAATGCTTTTCGCCGAGAAGCACGCCAATGGACATGAATGCCCGTGTGCCAGTTTTGCCTCGAGCTCCTGAAAATCCCTCCCGTTGTTCCTTGATCGCAAGGTCCAAGTCAATCAGGAATGACCGAAAGGAAGGATTACTGTCATCTTCATTCATCATGAGGTTGTTTGGTGAGATATCACATTGAAGCATACCAGCCTTTTTATGTAAAGACTCATATCCTTCAATGCAGCCCTTCAGTGTCTCGAGCAGGGCAACCCTCGAACTTGCTTTGTAGATTGCCTTCCCGTAGTCACGGATGATGACACGACGATGCACGCGGTTTGCAGTACTAGTTTTTGCTGTCTTAACTGGAGAACTAGACTGAATCCGCTTTCTTGGCGGCGGCAGTGATGTGTCGGCGCGGCTGGAGGATCGCTTCCGCCCAGTGGTACTGCTACTTCGTCTATCGAGCGAGGTACGGGACTCACTTCTACTCAAAGGCAGTATCAAACGGTTTGACGTCTGTGTAACATCCAGGCCCTTTCGAACGGCGTTAAGAATATCATCATCTTTGCCACTCACGCAAACCGTCTCATGATGATAGTATCTCGCTACATTGACCACGTTCTTCCCAGTCACCTCACGCAGCAGTTCACCTTCTTCGTCACGCTCCGAGTATTGCCACGAGTCTTTGATCACAAGAGGTATCTGTGAATCACCATTCTCTTGATGGGCCTTCCAGCAAGTTGTGGCACGGCCTGTGATGCACTGCGCCCGCGTCATCAATCCATCAATGATGAGACGTTCCTTTTGTCCATTTCGTTCAATGTCAATATACTTAATGCCTTCAGCATCAATAATGGTGGGATCATATCCAAGCTGCTCCTTGCTCATCCAGAGAAATCCAAGCACAGTGGCGACAAATCGCTGTCCCTCTTTATTGATGTCAAAATGCGTGGATGCGATCGCACCCAATCGATCAAATTCCCATAACCGCATAAGAGATCCGCAGAGTGTAAATCCAAGAACAAAACGACGAGTCTCCTGACACAAAAGTACTTCTCTTGCATACCTTCCCAGATCAAGACCTGCCAATGAAGGTTTATCATATTCGCGGTCATTCTTCAGTTCTCCTGGCACAAGAATCTGCTGCCAGTGATACTTAACAGCTTTATCAGCAGCTACACCATTCACAATGCCAATATCAAGCTTACGTTTCGCCGTTGAGCCTAATAGAGGTTGATGAGGCTGTATCAATAACCTTCGTTGAATGTTGAAAGTTGGAAACAACTCCTCAGCATAGCCCGTGAACAGAGTTATCATTTGAGAAAGCCATTTCAAGACATCTTGTTCCTTTGCATCCCCAGGCCATTCCTTCCAGCCATCCTTCTCATGATATTGCGGAGTATCGCCCTGCATGCATTTCTTAAAAACTGTATCAGCAATGTGCTCAAGATCCGTCACCTCTTCAAAGAAAGCTTCGTAGAACCCAGGGATATCAATGGACATCGGTCCTATATCCTCTTTCAGCACATTATCGACGTCTTTGCGATATTCACTCGAGTTGACAAGGCTGCTCATATTATACGTAATTGGGGTTTGTTGAATAAATGGCGTGCTAGGCGGAGGAGTGGAACGCAGGACAGTAATAATGAGGTTGATAACAGCAGTCCAGATGTCGATGTCCAGGGCCTTTCGAATGACGAGTTGTGACAGTGCACGATAGACTTCATAGCTGAAGTCATTCTGTTGAACATATCCGAAAAGATTAGAGATGTCCGAAGCCAAATTGCGATTGCCTAATCGGGAGGAAAGATTGAATGCTGATTTCTGTGTCATCAAAGCGCCGAGAAGGTCTGATATTGCCTCTTGACAAGCTGAGGACGGAGTATCAACAGCACTATCATAAGAGTTTAGATGCGGGCGGCAGAAATGCTCTGCATCTTCAAGAATAAGTCGTAGATGATCTAAAGAGTTTCTCAATGGGTGCTTTGCAATGACATTGCAATCGCTCTGGGTAAGGCTCGTCATTTCCAGAACCCAGGTTCAGTTTTACTACAAAGCGAGGTTGTTTTGGAATTATCACGAGTACCTAGGTAATGACGCGCCAAACGACTAAAGTCATGTGATCCTGATTTTATCATACTTTATTTAGTAAGCCTGACAAAATAATTTATCACCCTCGCGACGAGGTTGCACTTCTAACCAGTGCGAGGGACCAGTAGTCCCCTGCCTCTGGCAGTTTGACGAAGCTAAGATAATCTCTACTCTCTGGGACTGACACGAGCGCCGCGTTGATTCGATGAAGCCGACTGAGCCATCAGCCAGAAGCAGGAGAGCTACGGCTACGAACAAAAACTGACACCTCTCAATCCTCTTCGTTTTCAATGAACAGTACAAGGCCTCTACTCTAGACAATTCGTTGGTTCCTGTCATCAACGACCTTCCCCTTCGTCTCGAATCCTCGTCCTATGGCCTACGGCCTACCTATGCCACCGATGAAGTTGCAAACGGGTAACATATCACTCGAAACGCGGTGGATATTCTCTATGAAGATACAAAACGAAACATCTACACCAAATTTATGGAAATACCGCATGGAAACCTTGCTGCTTGAAGACCAATGTTTTTTTAATATCTGTCATATATGACCCCCAAATTTTGTAATTGTTGACAAGCGCGAAGCCCTACGTAACCACTAGGCCGTAAAGGGAATGGAACTAATAAATAGAATAGTAGTTACGTTACAGAGATAAGATTCTCCTTTCCGTTCCACAGGCTTATTATTGTCTTTCATCATTGTTAGGATTAAGCGAATGAGCTCTCCTCAAATGAAAAGCATTAGAAACAAACTGTTCTCATTTGAGATTTCGTGAGTATTAGACAAAGAAATTTTCCTGCTAATAATACTCGGAATCTATCTTATTGCTTGCAGCCAGTACCAATATGTATTTCACAATGAGTAAATAGGTATCCCGTTTCACATCCACAACACCCTTTGTTATTACATATCGAGTAACACCACTGATATAGATCTAAATGAATTGTGCCATGGTTTTCGTGGGAAATGAACAAGCACTGCTCCGATTCGTTTCTCGCCTTCAACACTGAAATAGGTGAGCTTTGATACAGATAGAGCTCTCTGCCACTGCCAGCCTACTTCTATTCTGTTTCCTCCTTGGGGCCCATGCGTAGATCTTGGGGTCTTTGATTGCGACCAGGGGGACAATTATCGCATCATGTTTCCCTCCGGCAGAGAAAGACTTTTCTAACACGACACCGTGTGATATTGGATCGGGAACTGTGAGTAAGGATTTTTCCTGCCTTCCTCATTAGATTACGCTAGAATAGAGGGTGTAGACTCACTTTTTGGTACAATTTTTTGGCCTCCACGACAGGTAAACAGTCGTCTGGAAGATCAAATCTCGGAGTCGGGCTGGGCTCGGATACAGTGCCATAGATTGCCGCGGCTGCCTTTTCTGCAGAAGGCTCGAATTCTTCTGGTAACGGTAAATATTTGATGGGATCGTCACTTTCTTGCATCTTTTCGACGTATCTCATCCATGCAGTCTTTAGCCGACTGCATTCGACACTAGACCCGGAAAGGTTTGGTCGGTATCTTATAATAATAAGTACTCCGTAGGATTGATGGAACGTTAGATAATCTCTCCCGCTACCCGGAAAGTTGATTAATAAATAAATCTTGTACACGAACGTGAAAGAATACTGAATCTCATTATCAATGAAGCGCAATTAAATTATTTTCGTCGTGGTGGGGCAGGAGAGCACGTGATTCAACGACATTTGACAGGTGAAAGTATATTGATATTGATACCAACCAACGAGACTAGTTTTTTGTTGGGGGTCCCGGGGGTTGATCGGCCCTTCTACCAGCAGTGCGCTGGTGGTGACTGAGCTCTTTTGCCCCAGTAGCCTACAGGTTATGAGACCGTTTAGCGTGAGCCCCGCTGTGGTCAACATGCATGGGTTTGATCCCAGGATGGACTTAAGAATAAAAATCCCAAACAATATCCCAGACATTAAACAGTGCCAAGAGACACCCTAGAAGTTTGCCCTAGAAGTTAGCCCTTGAAAGAATGAGCCCTAGAAGTGAGTCCAGAAAAGAGGCCGCTGAGAGGAGCCACTAAGAGGAGCCACTGAGAGGAGTCACTGAGAGGAGTCACTGAGAGGAGTCACTGAGAGGAGTACTCTGTGGTAGCTGGTCCGAGGGGGGTGTTGGGGGTCACGGGTTGATCGGCCCTTCTACCAGCAGTGCGCTGGTGGTGACTGAGCTCTTTTGCCCCAGTACGCCTACATTTTTCCACTCTCTAGGTCCCGTGACGCCAGCACACTGCACCATGTGTTTACCAGCAAACGTTTCTCAGGGACTTTGAGCACCATTCTTTGATTAGTGATTATTCGACTCTATGCTGTCCTTGGGATCACTAAATTGCTAGAGTGGCATTCTAGTATTATAACCAAAATACACTATGCTCAGGTAAAATATAGTGATTTTGGGTAGGTACTGTTGGAGTATCAATTTGTCAAGCAAAGTTGGACGCCAAGGTTAGGTCTGGTAAAAGGATTCGTTTGCGATAGGAGGGATATGCGGTAAATTGGTGAAGGCGGAGGATGAGTCAAGATCTAAGTTCAGCGCGGCAGGAAAGGTATTTGCCTGTGGCGTTGTCGGAACACTGCCGTATCGGGGGAAGGCGGAGAATGAGTCAAGATTCAGAGTCGGTACGGCGGAAAAGGCATCCGTCTGTTGCATTGATGTTCCTGATGTCGCTGGAACAACGCCGTACTGGGGAAAGTCGGAAAACGAGTCAAGATGTGGCGTCAATATTCCTGATGTCGCTGGGACAACGCCGTACTGGGGAAAGTCGGAAAATGAGTCAAGATTCAGATTCGGTGCGGCGGGAAAGGCATCTGTCTGTGGCGTCAATATTCCCGATGTCGCTGGGACAACGCCGTATTGGGGAAAGTTGGAAAATGAGTCAAGATTCCAAGGTCAGTGCGGCCGGAAAGGTATTTGCCTGCGACGTCGCTGGAACACCGGCGTATTGAGGGAAGGTGGAGAATGAGTCAAGATCCGGGTCTAGTGTAGTAGCAAAGATATTTGCTTGTGACGTCAATGGAACATCGCCGTGTTGGAGGAAGGTAGAGAATGAGTCAAGATCCAGGTCTGTTTCAAGGCTGCGACCAGGCTGCGCCCCGAGACCACTTGCTGTTGGTGACGGACTATACTGGCGAAGCCATTGCCTTTGAAAGTAGTATGCTTTAATTGAAACCCATGCCTGTTCAAGGTAAATTAATATTGAAAATTGAGGTAAGGTAATGTTGTTATATATTCATTGATAGCATCGAACTCAATGGGGTACCAGGCGCGTTTTTCAAACCTGTTATAACTTAGCTCTAGTCTTTATAATTGGGAGAGGAGGCTCTTACTTGTTTGTGTGTGCTGCTCCCAATGACAGAGTTATCGCAACATGCTTTAACCGTCCCCATTTCCACCCGTACCGTGAGAATAGCGAAATGTTGTTCCTCTTTTGTTGTTTTTCCTCCTCTTCTTCAAGGTCCCCCCAAAGCTGTTTCGTGAGATCGCGTAAAGAAGAGGTTAGGATCTCGGTATTCCGAAGGGAAATATCTTCGGCCGACTTCTTTGTTCGTGATCTATTTCTGATACTCTTTTTAGCGTGGATATATTGTTGTGCTTCCTCAACCTTCTCTGACATGACAATAAGTAAAACAATACGACCACTGCTATCATCACGAATTCTTATCAGATCATTGTAGCAGCGCCGGATGATGCTCGAGTCAAGCGCAACTCCTTCACAAAAGTCTTGAGGGTCAACACTCCAGACTACTGCGTAAGCAGACTGTCTTGAGACATTTGATTGCTTTCGGCTTTAGCCCCCAATGTTTTGTGATTAATACAAGGTCGTCTACCTGCTTCTTAGATAGCCATTTTCCACTTTGAGATCTAAATTGTGAGCACCATGAATGGCGTTTAGAATATGTCTCATCACGTTTAGGCCTCTTAAGCAAAGCTCGACGCAGGGATGAGAGTTGGTTGGGTGATTGTCTTATGTTGCTTAAGTAGTCGCCAACCTCCTTGATGAGTGAATTAGCATTGTGAAGAGAAAATGAGCGATGTGGTTTTACAAACACTATCTCCAGCGGCACGAATGACGTTTTCAAGCTCTGAGAGCTTTGCGCTTATGGCCTGATTATACTTAAAATCGGTCAGCAATGATAGTTGGTGGTATATCTCAGATGATTACTTACCGTAGTGGTCATCTTCGAATATTGATAAGGCTTGGAACAATAGAGGATGTGAAAGTTAAGGAATATTCAGATGGCAGATGTGTGCCATGCACACATCTGTATCTGTAGGCTACTTGGGGCAAAAGAGCTCAGTCACCACCAGCGCTGCTGGTAGAAGGGCCGATCAACCCCCGGGACCCCCAACAACATCTAAACTTTAGCGCTAAATTGCTTACTCAGAATTGGCCCCCACAAACCAAAAACGCCAACATCTATCAGTTTTTACTTTCCGTAATGACTCTCTATTTGTATATGTCTCATTTCCTAGCTCTTGAAAGATAAGTGCTTGGTTATGTTGGGGGTCCCGCGGTTGGTCGGCCCTTCTACCAGCAGTGCGCTGGTGGTGATTGAGCTCTTTTGCCCCAGTAGCCTACAGGTTAATCCATTCATGCAAATTTGGGCCATGTCTGCGTAGTAATGTAACGTGACTCACCACCCAACGAACTCCAAAAAGCACTCTATAGAGCTGTTAATTTTCAACCATAGCACAACAACACAATAAGATATTAATATTATTTATCTCTCTATATATTATAGAAAAACCAACTTTTCTGAGTAAAATGCCCTGTAACGTGACCTCACATGATATCACATGCACCTCATCAAATTCACCTGATGAATCAGAACAGCTGGCTCTGCAGTCTGTATAACTCTGATATTAATCTTCATTCTTTCCTTTACAGATGTTCTCTACTATATTTACATTCTTTATACTCTTCTCTACATTCATTACAACCTATACATTCATTAATATACTCTATTTATTATAGAAAAACCAACTTTTCCATGTAAAAAACACTGTAATATGATATCATGTGTATTCTATTAAAAATATTTGAATGCTCTGACTCATACAGCTCAGATCAATCTTCAAATCTTCATTCTTTTTTTCATTCTGCTTCTTTCATACATTCTTTATAGTATTTACATTCTTTATACTCACTCTTCTCTACATTCATTTTGTCAAATGCTCTGTAACATGATCTCATATAATATCATGTACACAGTACACTTCTTTGAATTCAGATGAGATTGAACAGCTGGCTCTGCAGCCTGTACAGCTCTGATTAATCTGATAATGATGATGGAGGTGATACAGAGTGAAAGAGAGTGATTAGAGTGATAGAGGTGATCGAGGTGATAAGAGAGAGGTAGAGAGGTAGAGGTAAGAGAGTGAAAGTGATAGAGAGGGCTACGGGGCGGTAGAGGCGGTGATGATGATAGAGGGGGTAGAGGGTGGAAGAGGTGATAGAGGTGGTAAGAGGGAGTAGAGGAGGGTAGGGGCGGTGATGGTGGTAGAGGGGGTAGAGGGGGTAAGAGGTGGTAGGAGTGGTAGGGGTGGTAAGGGGGGGTAGGGTGGAAGTGGTAGAGAGGGGCTGCGGGGCGGTAGAGGCGGTAGAGGCAGTGGTGGTGATAAAGGGGGTAGAGGGGACTACGGGGCGGTAGAGGTGGTGGTGGTAGAGGGGGTAGGGGTGGAAGGGGTGTTAGTTGTGAAGTGGTATAGGGTGGTTGCGGCCGTAAAAGGCGTAGAAAGCTGGTGG